CTAAAGAATTCGTTAAGCAAATCTTGCAGTGGAGCAGATAAGCCGAGCGTTCCCATCAATGCGTTTGCTGAAGTGTAACGCTGTAGCACATCTTTACCGAATCCCATCTGGAGAAACACAATACCCAAATCCCAGACATCCGTCTTCATGGTCGGCGAAGTATTCCCTTGTGTCGACTCAGGAGGCAGCCAAAGTGGTGATTTGGAAGCTTCTAATGACTGTTTGCTGCCGGCAGAATCAGGGAGGGCGTTTTCAATACTCGCTTGCAACTTCACAATAGTGCCACCTGTCTGGGTTCTCAGTATCATGATGCGCCCGCAATGAATATCCCCGTGGACAAAGCCGCTCCGGTGATAGAACTCGAGCGCTTCAAGAAGTTGGATCGTCCAGCTTCGCAGAGTTTCCACAGGCACAGACCCTATAATATCCAGAAACTCGGACAGTGATCCCTTGTTTGCATGCTCGAGAAGAAGATAAACTCTCCAGGTGTTGTCCTGAGGACTGACAGGTTCGAGGGGCCTGTAAATCTTAAACCCAACGAAATCCAACAGATTTGGATGTCGTAGCCGTTTAAGAGCTTCCAATTTATCCTCGCTGCTACGCATTTTCTCTCTGAATGCAAGTGGCGATAGCTGCGTCTCATCGATCGAAAATTCCTTTAGAACAAGGAGAGGAGCATGGCACCTGTTCTCAGTGACTACTGGTCTCACAGTATACGTGTCTTTTCCCTGGGCACTCTTGAGAAGTGTCTTCCCATAAACAGCGCGGAAAATCAATGGCCCTTCGTCGCTGTCGGCCATGACGAGGGGCGGGTCAAAGGAGATTGCGCCTGGGATATTCTCCCCAGCATCAATTTCGCTGCCTGTATCCATGCCAGAAGTTCGACTCTTGCGGCGTAAGAGTCGGGCTTTCGTTCTCTCTCTAAGCCTATCCTCCAATAGCTGTTGCAGTGCTCGTTCCTCCTCCGCAGTGGCGGCCTCTTGTTTCTGAAGCTCTTCTTGCCTTTCTAATTCAGCGCGCTGATTGGCGGCAGCTTCCTGTTCCATGCGCTCCTCCTCTAGGCTGGGTAGGTCTTTATTTTGAGCTTTAGCTTCTGCCACATCCTCTAGAACATCTTGGATAGAAACAGCAATCTCGTAGATCATCTCAGATCCCACGAGGGATTTCGGCTTGGTCCGTATGATGTCATCGATCCTCGACCGAGCCCCTTGTCGGAGATCATCTAAGTTTTCCAAGAAAAGGTTCGGATAGGTTTTAGGATAGGTGGTCGGCAGTTCCACCAGCAAATCAAGACGGACCTCTGGATTGGATGAAGCACGCAAGTGGAGTTTGAACACTACATCTGACGATTGCTAAGATCGGGGATGACAATTAACTAGTGCGGACAAGAAGAATGGCGAGGGAAAACAAGACATACCTGCCAGGCAGATCGCTTATGTTCAACTTCTTCAAAATCGTCACCGTAAATTGAGCGGAGCGCCTCAATCTCATTCCGGTGGATTTCCTCGTAGTCAGTCGGGGCCACTACCGGCAGGGCGAGCGAAGGGGCATCCGGGGGGAATTGACGTTTCTTCTCCGCCCGGGGAGAGCCGTTCTTGTGGGCATTGCTGAAAGTTTTCTTCTGCTTGTGAGGCATAGCGGGGCGTCGGGCGGTGTGAGATAAAGTATTGCACCCAGGTCGAGATGGATCTTTGCCACGCGATAGCTGTGACAAAGTTGCAGCCGAAGCTGCAGCCCTCTATGCTTCAATAAGGAACATATTCGGACTGATCAGGTACCAATGTAAAAGAAAGAGGGCGGGAAAGGTACAAGGGGAGAAGTTGGTCACTATAACTAAATTAAAATTAGTGGGGGTGGGAAGGGAAGAACCAAATGACGGACGGGAAATTGGGAGTAAAAGAGCGGTAACTATAGGGCGAGCTAAACTGCCTTAAGGCTCGCACCGTTGTTTTTCCGCTGACCGCCTTTGGGTCGTTAGCGTCCCCGCTGAGCATCGTAAACAAAGCACAGCGTTCCACGTCAATCCCACGGCTCGGTCGTGACCTCTGATAAGACGCCATGGTGTCCGCCCCTGCAATGCGACCCTCGATCTCGTTAGTAATTTGATTCACCTTGTCCTGCAGGCGCGATGTTGGAGTGGATCACTGGGCAGAACGAGCAGTTTGCAGGTGCGTGTCTCTCGCTGGCCGCATGAAGCTTGGGCACGCGCCCCATGGTCGGTCCAATAGCGGACTTGCGATCTTCCCCCCAACGCAAAATCGTACGGCTGTCGCGCTGACTTGTTTATTCCTTGTTTATCTCCATAGACAACTCAAAGGTTTTGGAACCTCCTGAAACGCCTGCACCTGTGTTCGCCATTCGCGCTTTCAAGAGCGCCTTGTTTGGCACCCCTGGGGCTGATGACGAGGATCAGATGGAGCGGGAACCGAATCCGAATAATCTGACAGCCAATCAGCCGTCCCGCGCGAACCTGTTGCTGAAACCCACTATTGGGGACACGAGCGATGCTCCGATAGCCACGAAAGCCGACGTCGACATGGCTGTGAATGCAATGGCCTCCCCCACTAAGAGCATCCTTGTCACCCCTGGCACTGCATCAAACCGACGTAAGACGGTTTCATTCGGCGACGGTGTTGTCGACAATGAGCGCAAGCGAGGAGAATCACCTAACAAGTCATCAAGAACTCCATTGACTAGCCAGTGGTCTATCAATTCTTCAGATGGGAAGGCCAAACCGCGGAGCAAGTTAACACAGGCACTAATGGACTCGCGCGAGAAGTCTCCCAAGGAGTCGGAGACCTCACAGAACCCTCAGTCCACTGAATCGAAGCCCGTGGTACAGTCAGCATCGTCAACGGAAGATGATGCCGGCGACGACACTATCAACCTGAACGAACCTCGCTCTCAGTCTGGTAAATACTGGAAAGCCGAGTTTGATAGCTATAGAAACAAGACTACTCAAGAAATAAGGAAACTTATTCAGTATCGCTCCGCCGCGAAAGCGTACGCCAGGAAGAAAGATGAAGAAGCCCTACGGTTAGCCGCGAAACTCAAGGAGGAAGAAGTGAAGGTTTCTGAGATGGAACGTCACGTTACTCAACTCGCGTCGACGATGGTTGGAGAGAATTCGAAAGCGGACAAGGAGCAGTTGGTGCAGGAACTCACCAAGCAAACCGCGCTGGCTTTGCAGTACAAACACCGAGTTGGCTTATTGCGCAAACTCCTAGAACAACATGGCGTTGTTAATAATGACGTAGAGAATATGGCAGGATCTTCCGAGACCACGAATGACACTTCTGGGGACACAGCCCAAGAGCTCCATAAGGCCCAGCAGGCACTGGGCGAGGCAAACGCCAAGCTGGAAGAGATGAAACGTGAACAATCGGAGTTCACCAAGCTCAAAGACTTGGCCCAAAGCTCGGAACAGAAGGCTTCGAATCTTGAGAAGGAAAATGCGACACTGAAACAAACTCTAGCCCGCGTTAAACAAGAAATGACCAAGTACGAAGGACGACGCAAAGAAAAGGAGGCAAAACTGAAGCAGAGAGAAGCCAAATTAGAATTACGTGTCCAGGAATACAGAGAACGTCTGAAATCGACGTCGCAACAGCACCGCGAGCAGGAAGAAGGTCTCAGGGAGTCGTTTAACGAGGAGCGCCGCCGCATGCAGGACCAGATTGACCTCCTGAAGTTGAAGTTGACCACTTTCGAGCGCCTTCCTGAACTCCGATCGCGGACTCGTCACTCGGACAGGGGCTATACTGGAGTCCAAGTGTATGATTTTGGACACGACAGCCCTCCGAAGGAGCAAAACGATGAGACCCAGGACATCGACGAACCTCCAAGCCCAAGCCCACGTGCAAAGGATCGGCGCTCGCACACCACCAGAACAGTATTAGGCGAGCTAGATGTTAAGCGGGCATCAAAAGCCCTAGGCCTGGAACCAGGGGATCACAGTGAGCAACTGGCATACTTAGATGACACACCCCATAAACCAAAAGAAACCCATCTTCTGGAGGGCGATGGTATGCCGCCTTCATCGCCCCCCGATTACCCATCACTCGAACCTCCCACCCGCCGCACCTCTAGACAGAGATACAACTCAGAGAGCTACCGCTCATACGTCCCAACCCATTCAACCATAACATCCCTGGCTCATCACCTCGCGACCCGCGAGGACAGCAAACAAATCCGCACAGAACGACTGCGAGCTCGCCGCTCCCCCTCGAAATACAGTCTAGACGCCATAACAGGTCTGCCGGAAACTTATCACCTCGCAGATCGAACCAGAAGGCGACAAAGTCTCGCGTCCGTCCAACGGGACTCCATCCCCGTCGATCGAATGCTAGCCGCTCAAGCGCGCCTCAAGCGCAAACAAGACAGCCGCAAGATCAGACAAGATGGGAAAGAAAACATGATTCGAGCTTAATGGGCTAAAACTTTTCTTTTGGGTTTTTTTCCTCACCGTGAATCGGCAATAGTTCTATTTAATATTTGGGTTTTCAGGAGGGTAATTCACTCATTTTTCTGTTTTTCCAGGCGCGCGCGGGGGGGGAAAGCAATTGTGGGTATAGGCGCTCTCTCTTATTTTGGAATCTGATGTATCCATCTCCCTGTTTCTCTACGGTTCTCTTGTTTCCCATGCATAACTGGGATAATCGCTTTCCCTTTTGTTTTTTTTGTCCGATACGTCATGCAAGTGATAAGCCCAGCACATCTCTGTGCCTGGAATATACCCTACATTGAACAGGCTACCCCTATTTCATTCTATGTTGTCCTTATCACTCACTTACCTTGACCCACGAGTCTTGAGGCTTGTTGAAGTACGCTAATTACCCGACTGCAAAGTCCACCAATACACATTAACTGGATATCTCATTCCAATGATGACATCATCTATCTGTTTACCTGTATTCTGTCCGTATCTATATGTCCATCTATACATCCGGTGCTTCGAAAATCTAAATCCCGTCTCTGCGTATCGCAAACAAGTAATTAGTTTAAGCCTTCCCGTCAGAGAAGGACACAACAGCCCACTTTCCACTCCAAGCCCATTTCCGGGTCTCGGAGCCCCCGCCGTTAGGCAGCTGGCGGAGTCTCTCGTCTTCGCCTGCTGGGAGTCCGACAACAACATCGGCTTTGCAGGTCCGGAAGGCGAGAACACGAACGCCGGACTTGGGGCCCATTGGACCGATGGCGGTCGTGAAGGGGGTTGTGGGGTCCCAGGCAGCCTAGGTAACATGTTAATGTTTGCGGGGGGTTCAAGGAAGAGCCAGGGACCACTTACATCACTAGTCAGCTTGCGGTAGTTGAGATCACCCTTGAAAAGGACGAGCTCGCTCGCTTGCAAGTCCTCGAAGAGATCCTTTGCTGTGTTGGGCATGCGCCAGTAGCCTCCCGGGGCGGTCCAGAAGGCGTGTGGGCGGATGACCAGCTTGCCATCTGCGTGGAGCCGGGACCATTGTTCGAAGAGGAAGTTTACCTCTGACAGCTCTTTATCGGAGAGGGGGGAGTGTTCTCTGCCCGACTCATCGGCGGCAGTGTAGAATGACTGCGGGTCGGCGAGTGCGGTGATAAGATCCCTGAAGTCTGCAGGCGTAACATCCGATACGAACCAGGGGATCAGTTTAGGGTGCAGTACAACTGTCGTAGCCAGGCCGGCAGAGAGAAGGTATCCAGCAAGGATAAGGTCAACGAACAGTTCGAAACCGGAGTTATCGAGAACAATGTCTACGCGACGCTCCCCGGTCTTCTCCTTGCGGGCCTTGTTGAGCACCTCAAAGGCGGCTTCCAAATCGTTGACAAGAATGTTCTTCTCCGCCGCTTTGCGCGCCTGCGAGCCCTGCAGTTTCTGGATATCCTCGTAGGTAAGAGAGGTCAAAAGGGACAAGTCAGTGGCATTACCCCACAGACAGATCTCACACATCTCGGAAAAGAGTATGCGCTCAGCCTGTTCAACCTGCTCCGTGGTCTTTCCATCAGCATGACCCTTCTCCGCCTCCTGGGCGATTTCCTTGTATCTCGCGGCTAATTCCAGGACTGCCGGACGGGAAGATTTGAAAGTAGACATCTTCTGGCGGGCAAATACGTCGTATCCTTTCCAGTGTGTGGACAAGGCGAAGTAGGCACTGATGCGCCTGTCTATCCTCAGTTAGCACGCCTCTTCGCCATTGCTCCAAAGTGCTTAACATACAGAGGTAGCATTCAGAGAACAGCCATGCAACATCGTGCCATCTCGGGTTTCCTCGTTGTTCCAACTCCTTATTATATTCTTCGATATCTGGCTGGCCGTCGTCAGGGATGGGGCTATGCGGCCGCACAAGTTAGTGACTTTCTTGACATAACCTGCGTCAAGTCAACGGCGCAAATCACTCACGTCAATTGTCTGTTGTGTTGCAATTCATATTTGAGCGCTGCAAGCTTCTCAATGATACTCTTGCCCTCCTTGCGCTTCTCCTCGTCGTTTACATCACCAGCAGTGCGGTGGAGGTCGTCAATAGCACCAGTCTATAGTGGCACAAATGATTAGCAGGAATCAGGTAAACTAAAGCCTAGACGATCGAGACACTCACGATAATCACGGGCCAGCGGTCATGAGCGGAGGTCGAGGCGAAGCTAGATTTGTCGGAAGTAAGGTATTGCGCTGTTAACCAAGACCGGTAAAGAAGTGGGAGTTAGCTTCGTTGTCGGATGGTTGTATCTTCTCGCAATGAAGGCACGTACGGGTCTTGGGATCGAACTCCATCGTTTCCTGGCTGTCAAACGGGGCTATCACGCCGTTCTGGTAAGTGATATAATGGGGAGAGAGAAAAGGTGGGATTGAGCAGAAAAGGTACGGAAATAAGGTGGGGAAGCCGAAGAATAAATGTTGGAGTCAATCGCGGGGTCTTCCAGCAAAGCGGTCGGGTTTCCTAAAACTACAACTCCGACAAGAAACTTGAATGCGCGCGAGGTCTAGTCTATACCATTGGATACTGCAATCAAGTCGCTACCTAGCCACCACATTCATATCCAAGGAAATAGTAAGAGGAAAGCCAAATCATCTTACTGCCCAATCCAACGTCCTCATACCTGCACATGGGTATTCATTCACAAATCATTGTTCCGCTATGCAAGAAGTTCAAATCATCATTCAATAGATACAGTATTTGGTATCTGAGAGACATCTGTCGTTATTTCAGTCTGCAGGTATAACCAAAGAGCCCCAACGCTCATTCCAGAACCGAACCTCTATGACCGGTCAAGAAGACCACTCTTCTCTGTCCACCCATAAACGCCGTCCCATGCAGAGGAAAATCATCTCACATCATGGACATAATCGAGTTTTGTGCATAAGCCTAGAAAGAAGCACGTCAGTCTTTGCAATGCTTAAAGAGGAACAGAGTAACGAGTAGACCAAAAAGAACAAAGGTAAAACTAACCATAGGCTTGATATCAGGGTGAGGCACAGCTTCAAAAACTTGGAAGTCCAGCTTAAGCTCTGGTCCAACGTTGATGAAGGCTCCCTTGTTCTCCGTGGTATCACAGTACTTGGGGGCGGAGAAGACGGTGATGCACCGTCCGTCATGCTCGACCTCGTAACCCTCCATACGGACTTCGTGAGAGCGAATGATGGCTTCCAGTCCGTTCTTCTCACAGAACCTCTTGGTAACATCCGGACCAAACTGGAGACCGACTCCTCGCTTGCTCGGGCCGCGACCAGGCTCCGTCTGGGGATCAGTCCAGAGCATTTCCATCATCAGGCCTTGCTGTCCGGGCTGGCGCTGGTTGTGACGGTCCAGTTTCCGGATGTCATCCAAGGATGTATTGTCGTCGGAAAAGAGACCACCGTGGAGAACAAGATACTTGCTGCCGATCAAGGTAGCCAAGGGCAGAGCAGAGAAAGACTCCGAGAACACCTTGAACATCCTCTCGTTGTACTTGGCCTTGCACTCGCCCTCGAATCCATAAACCTTGTTCATATCGTCCGTCTCGTGGTTTCCACGGTTGAGGAAGATGCCATTGGGTCGCAGCCACTTGTATGCGTAGAGGAGCAAGGCGATCTCAGTAGACCAAGAGCCACGATCAACAAAGTCACCGTTGAAAAGGTATGCGTGCTTTTCGGTTGGGTATCCGTTCAACCGGAAGATCTCCAGCAGATCGAAGAATTGCCCTGTCGCAACGAGTCAGTGAACAGGCGAAGGGGAAATCGGGGTTGAAGAGAAAGGCGCAAAACGAGAAAGAGACATACCATGCGTATCACCGCAGACCGTCAACTTATTACCCTGGTCCACACCAATCTCGACCATCGTTGGTTCCGCATACACGATATCCTTGACAGCCTTGACGATCTGGAAGGCATACTTGCGATGGATTTTCTTGCCGTTCTTGAACCGCTCGATCATATCGTCGATGAACTCTTGCGTCATTTCATTCTCCAAGCGTACACCATCATAGCCATCATCGACCGCAATGGCGTCGATGTCCAGGCCCTCGAAGGCCGACGGCGGGTCACCCACTTCAATAGCCTTCTCAAACTCCATCCGACGCACAAGCTTCTCACAGTCTGCCAGTTTTACCTTCGCATCGCGGTTATTGGGCTCCCTCTTCGCAACGACTTTGAAGTCTCTGAGGGCATCTTTGTAGTTGAGGATGGCGGTGTTGGCTAGGGCTCGCCTCCAGTATGCCTAGATCGAGTTAGTCGGTCGACATGACACTTCTTCCTCGAAAGTACGCATGTATCTTCAGCAGTACAGCATTTTCAACGGGGAAAATAAAAAGAAAAGAGGAAGGGGAAAGGAAATATAATTGTAAGGGCGTATGCCACTGACCTTGGTGTAGCCGGCGTCGAGCTCAAGCGCCTTAGTAGCATCGGCGATCGCAAAGCCATAAGCTTCGAGTTTGATATGCGCCTAGAGCAGTTAGCACGCTGTATCCTGTCCATCTGCTTCTCCCTCACTCTCGGGGCCAGAAGCAGAGCAGGGGGTAGGAAAGAAAAGGTGCCCAGAGCGTAGCGTACCTGAGCGCGATTGCTAAAGAAGGATGGCTCGCGATCATATTTCGCTACGGCCTGGGTGTAGAAATCCACGGCAGTAGGCCAGTCATGCTGACCGAACGCTTTATTGCCCTGCACCTTCAGCGCAGTGGCAGCCTCGAGGTCGGACGACGCCATCGGAGAGAAAGAAAAGGATTCAATGAGGGGAGAGGGGTTTTCCGGCAGGAAGGCACGAGAGCGTTTGCAGAAGGAAAACGGTTGATCTTCCACGGGAAGGGAACCTTAAGGCTGACTGACTCCTTCACTAGCTTGGGGGAGGAAACCCGATTTAAATCGAACGGATTAATGTTCCTGAGGGCAAGAATGCGGAATTGCTGCAGGAATTCGGACCCTTGAATCTCTTTTCTTATCACTGGCTACTAGATTACTTTTTTGGAATTGAATCCCGAAGATCCTCCAGTCGCCGGCCTTGGCATTTCCTTTCCGACATCAAATCAATCCATCCAAATCAATTCAATAACTCCAACAACCTCTTTTCTCTCTTCATTCCGCCGCCGCTGAAGCCACCTCCCCCCCCCCAAAGCCTCCCAGTAACGAGGTCCATCGTCGCAATTTAATATCCCACCGAAGTCCCTGCCCTCTCAAAACAGCTCAGCACATGTCCTTCTACGTCGCACCCAGCCAGCAGCGCACTCTTCGCGCCTGCATGGTCTGTTCCCTCGTCCAACTGCACAGCGTACGTTCCAAGCAGGACCAAGACTGCATAAACAAACCAAAAAAAAATACCTCTCACACCCGCAATGAGCTAACGCCTCCTGCACAATAGAAATTCATGCGCGAAGGCTGCCCCAACTGCGATAACGTCCTCGGCCTTCGTGGCAACAACGACGCCATCCAAGAATGCACCTCCCAAGTCTTTGAAGGATTGGTCACCCTCCGTGACCCGAATACCAGCTGGGTAGCTCGCTGGCAGCGACTCGACAGTTACGTGCCGGGAACGTACGCGGTCAAGGTGACTGGATCGGTATGTTGTGATTGGGTTATGTCCCTACGCTATGTCTTTAGGACGTCGAGGCTGATATGATAATTTTTTTTTTTGCTTTGCAGCTCCCTGACGAGATCATTTCGAGCCTGGAGGATTCGGGTGTGAAATACATTCCTCGTGATGGTAGCACTGGTGAAGAGGAGACTTGATCGATGTGTTTTGTGGTTCGGGGGCACGCATTATTACAATTTTTTTTCCCAGGTCTCCTGGCTAGAAAGGGTGGGATGGTTGGTTCTGTTGTCGGGGATTTCATAGCGGGCTGTTCCTTCCCGTTGCACGCACTTGGGAGTTAGGGATTTCGGTTTACGTTCGATATACGTCTTTGGGTATGGGCTGCTTTGTTATTACGCTGGAGTTGTCCCTTTCTTTTGTCACTCATCACTACTTGAGAACTCATTTTTTTTGAAGATAAACAGCTGGATTTTGTTCGATACCCAACATGCAAAATCGATGCACCTTGGGACGGCATCGGATTGCCGTTTGCTATATATATATAGTTTTGCTAACAGCTTCAAAAAAAAACATAACTCGTAGATAGCGTGCCAATCAGACACGGAGAAACCCAACCCAACCCAACATTGAACGCCAGAATCTGCCACATTAGGGAAACAGAAAGAGATGCAAATTTAATGGAAAATGCCAATCATGCAAACCACAAGTTCCTTACAGCTGCTTGATAATCTTCTCGATGCTCTCCAGGAGGATATCAGCTGCAGACACGTTAGCATCGGTTCAACATATTTAAACTAGGGTAGAGATGTGACTTACCATGGTGCTGCTGGAAGATCAGCATGGGCCTGAGGCGGACAGCATTCACTCCGCTTCCACCAATGTTAACACCGACACCCTTGGCCTTGCCAAGGAATTCATCACGCTTGGGGGTATCCCAGGCAATGAAGGTTCCCTGGCCCTTGCCACGGAGGTTCTGCAGATGCTCGGGGTACTTCTCAGCAAGGCGCTGGAGACCAGAGTACAGGTAGTCACCCGTCTGAGCGGTGTGCTCGACGAGGTTCAGGCGCTCGATCTCCTCGATGATACCACGGAAGATGAGGGCACGAGCGGGGTCACCCATCCAGGTATTGAACTGACGGTATGGCTTGTTGGGACGCAGGGCGGGGTTACCGTAGTAGTAACCGGCGGTCTGGGCCTTCTTTGAGAAGGTGACCATGTCGGGAGGGGTCTCGAGGTTCCAGTGGTCGTGGGCCCAGAACTTGCCAGTGGCACCAACACCGGTCTGCACCTCATCGACGATGAAAAGAACGTTGTTACGCTTGGTGATCTCGCGCAGGCCACGGAAGAAGGCAGGCGAGGCGTGGTTGTCTCCACCCTCGGACTGGATGGGCTCGACAACGACGGCGGCGACAGGGTTGTGCCATTCCTTGATCAACCGCTCCGTCTCCTGGAGGCAGCGCTGTTCCTCCTGGGCGTTCTCCTGAGCATGCTCCTCAAGCGGGTACTTGAGGGAGGGGAAAGGCGCCTGGGGCCAGTCGAAGGCGGGGATATCGAGCTTGTGGATGGGCTTGCTGCGGGTGGTGGACAGACTGCCAAAGAGACGACCGTGGAAACCAGACTTGAATGACATGATAGACAGCTGGGGAGAGCCTGGAGCCTGGTTCGTCATGGTAGTCTTCAGCTCCTCCTCAGTGAACTCCTTCTCGGGACCTCCACGCTGCAACTGACGGTAGTACATGAAAGCGGCTTTGTAGGCTGTCTCGTTGGCGTCAGATCCGGCCATGGCCGTGAAGACCTGGTCCAGGCCCTTGGGGGCCACCTTGAGGATACCAGTGTTCAGGATATTAGCCCAGTCAGCAGAGGGGAAGTTGCCCAGGGCTGGACGGTTGATCAAAGAGGTAATCATCTCGGGCGATTGAGCAACTTTAGTGAGGTGGGGGTTGTTGTAGCCAACAGGGATCGAAGCAATCTGAGCATAGCTGGCGATCAAGATTAGCGATAAGGCATGGAAGACGGAGACGCTATTAGAGCAGAACTTACACATCCAAGAGGACATTTCCATCCAGATCAGCAATACTAGCACATTGTTAGCCACTGTCGCTGCAAGCTTATGCTACCGCAAAACAAGGAACATACTAGTTACCAATCGACTTGGAATAATCAGTAAGCATGTTCAAGCTTCGCACGTCAAAGACCTTGTCCAGTTCAGCTGTGGCAGCCTTGTTCTTAGGGCCCGGGATGGCGGTGGCCAACTTGGGGGCAGTCGGCTCATCAGCGAAGAAGGGCTTCGCCGCCGCACGAAGGTGCGGGGTGGTGCTGATGGTGCGGGCAGTCGGCACCCGCGTCACCGAACGCAATCTGAGGCTGGAGCGAGCAATAGAGGCCATTATGACGGATGTACTATGAGAAAATGAGGGTGTACAGAGGTGTGGCGATTCTCCCGCTGCGTGGGTTGGGGAGAAGAATACTCCTGGCAGCAGATGTGGGGAGACGGTGATAAGGTAGATAAGAGCTCTATTGCTTTGATCACAGCTCAACCAAGCTCGAGTCACAAGGCAATTGAATCCGCCCGGGGTATATTAGGAAAATTGAGTTGAATACGAAGGAACAAGGAGAATTGCGGCGCCCAACTCGTCTTATATCACCAAGAATTCCAGGTCTTGAGCGGAATGCCGGCGAATTTGGAGCTCTCTGTTGAGCTGCCCCGCGGCCGGGGGGAGCTATCGTCGGCGATTTGGACCAATCAGGATACGATCTGCCACCGCCGTCGGCGATAAAAGCAAAGTAAGGGCATGGAGAGGGAAATGGTCTGGCTAATCATCTCTGGCCAAATAAGTGTCCCAATGAAGAAGGTCTTCGCCGGAATCTATTGCAAATGATGTTAGTCAAAGGTTCTCAACATCAATTGATGTTTGTCATAAATATAGGGAGTGTGTCCATTCCCTCTAGGGTCGAAGTTCTTTAGCTGGAGTCTTCCCCAATTTGATAAGCGATAAGACGTCACGTCACGTTTATCAGTGCGATAAGGACTGGCACGCGCGCGTGATCACAGAAGATCTCATCCGTAATACACAGCTTAAACTTCTCAGTAACAGAACTAGCATTATAACTGTACTCAGTACTAGTAGTAACTACTCGTATCACATATTGCCGGTCTAGTCTCGTGCCAGCGATAAGATCATGTAGATGTTACATGCGTACCAATCTCCTCCGTTGGTGCTGAGCATATGCATTGCTTTCTAAATTATATATATTCAGGACAATCGTTGAATTCTTTCCATGTCACACCTTAGTAGTTAACGAACGGCATCTACTCGCCTTGAAAATAGCCCAACATTATGGATGGAAGGTTAGTAGTACAAGTAGTCGCTAACTCAACATAGCACATGCCGAAACGATCCTGTACTGATTAATATGTTATCATTACTTAAGTAGAATAAATTTGAATCCTATCTGCGAGATATTGATGTAAGCCATATCGAATCCGTCATTTAGTTTCATTTGTCACAGAGAGATTGTATAAGTCAGCATATTGTTAGCAAATTCGGACTCCACCAAAAGCAAACATCGGCGGTTGGCCTAGCCTTGTAGGAGGATATATCCAACAACCCAGCAAAATATTAGTTACTCAATATCTAGAAACACCAATCCACAGCTCGAGTACTAGTAATCATCCTCGGAGGGGTTGAGAAAACAGGCGATTGCGTTAGCCTCAGCCTCGTAGTAGCTGTCGCTCAGATCACTATAGACCTCAAATAACTTGCTATATCCCTCACTCGACGAGTCCTGACGCTCATCAGGTGAGCATTCTAAATGAAGAGAGTCGCCTTCGTCCGATATATTATTGGCCCGTCCTCTTAATCTTCTTCTAGCACTTGAAGATGTATCTGGCAAGGAATCCACTAAATTCGATAAATTGGTTGCTGAGGAACGGGCTGTAGATCTTTTGTTATACTCTCTAAACGTAGGTGGGATAATGGCCTCGTACTAATCATCTATCTTAGCGAGCTCGCCCCATTCCCAATGTCCAACAAACTCTTCTCCTGAAACCACCCAGAGACAGAGATATTCATCTTGATAGTCCTCATAAGACATGCCAAGTGGATCCCGTACCCCGTAGTAACGCATTTCACTAACCATACTGAGAAGGTGTCGGCCTTTGGCCGCTCGGACCCTGGGATTGATAACCGTAAGCATCTGAGAGCCTCTCTTCCATGCCTTTACTTTGGCAAATCTCTGTGCAGCCCCTGGGGATGTAGTGAATGAGATGTACGGGGTTGGTGCCTGGTCGCCATGATGGGCGTGGATGGCTAACGATATTGCCCCGGTCTCGAAAGTATCTAGTAGTTGACTTGAACATCGTGAATACATGCCGATTGTTGATGTCGGCTTGACACCTGAGTGGCAATCCCAGACTCTGAGAAGTGGCTGATCTAGACCCAGGTGAGATGCCTGGTACCACGGATGCATTTCGTCCTCTGTAGGTGCTGGGGCATATTCCAGAGGAATAGGTGCAATATCCTGTGTTAGGATGGATACTTGTGCCATTATGTTTGAAGGATGATGTTCAGTTGCTGTATGGTTTGTTATTTGGTGGTTAGCGTTGTGCTTGTTGTATGCTGCGAGAAAGTTGGGTAGAGACTCCCCATCTGCAACTATAACAGTAAAAACCTTTTTCTGTGACTCATCTCAAGTCAACACATATCATGGTAATCATGACGACTTCTGCTGGTACCTATATTAATAAGGCACCCATGTGTAGTACTGCAACTAGAAGGTGCATATCGATGGTGGCATGTAAACTACTTTCTTTATAACCCTTGTTAGTAAAAGAATAAAGAAAATTTACTACACATGAGATTGACGATAGTACTGCTTTCGTTCCCTCCTGAGGCACACGGCGTGAAGTTGAGCTGGCCCTAGCATGACATTATTGATGGAGGGTCTATGGTAACACAGTAGTGTGACATTATTCAAAACAGGATACTGCCTTTACACGTTAATAGCCACTGCTGCTGATGCCCACTCTATCAGGTGAGTGACTGGTCGACGACAGACAGTTTAGATCCAGGCTGATCTACATTTCGCAGGTTGGAGAAGTTAGTAGTCACAAATGATTACCATTGCAATGCCAGTCTGCATGGAATGATAGTCGAGTATAGCAGTGGCTGTTATTGCCAATATCGGATTGTTGAGTACGAGAGATGTGGACCGGGTGGACTAGCCTGGATCACACCAGAAGTCTAGAACGTAAGTAGACTGGGCCTTGAAGGACCACCGAAGACAATACTCGATTGTAGCCGTCTATGCTGCCTTTTGTCTTGCATGTAACCCTATCGTGGCGAAACCTGAGGATAAGCGGACATATCCGTGGTGCCTACTAGGGATTTGCTTGAAAAGGCTTCAACGAGGGAGTGTTTACTGAGATCAAAGATAGTCTCGAGTCGCCTAAGATATGCTTGGATCATACGGTGATTCATAGCAGCTGAGACAATTAACATATGCACCTAGTACGGGGATCAATGAAAGGAAAGGAGTCTATTGTTCAAATAGGGGATTTCCAATTCGTGTACCTTGGTCACCTCTCGGTCAGACCTTGAAAAAATGAAGATACCTTGTTTAGCCTTCTCATCTGCTCCGCTGACTCACATGCTGTCTTTCCAAATTGGCCAAGACCCGAACATATTGGGTAGATCTCAGTAGCTTGCTCTATTAGGTACTAGTGAGCTGAATGAGACTAAAGGAGAGGATACCTATAGTAGACTCCACAATCTCACATAAGTATCAAGCTACTAGTAAGAAGGAAGATCAATCAACGGTGCAGATGCAGCTGCAGCTGCAGCTGCACCTACGAGTACTAGTAGTAAGCACGGCCTAGTGCTCAGTAGAAGAAATTCCAAGTTAATGAGACATCAGTACATTTGTTAGTAGTACACAAATGTTATGAATAGTAGTGACAAGGATAACATAATCGCGACATTCGATAGTCATATCCCTGACGATAACGATGTATCAAATGTCAGTAACTTCCTACCGTTATGGAGGGTATTAGGCTAATAGGCTTCTTGGCAATCCAGGCCCTACAGAGATCTGCGCAGGGCCCCTTCTAACCTGATACATCTCCGCCCAGCGCTAGTATTCATCATTGGTGCTTCGTATTCCACGGAGATTGCCGGCCGACGGAGGCCGGGCATTCTACGGGGTAGTCTACCACGATTTGCGAAAATCGGCCGAGCTCGCTCTCTAGATTCTGGGCGAGCAGGGATCTATACGACTAGATATGCACGTAATTTATAGTGTATGGACCTGCATCCATCCTTAATCTTTTAGTAATAATACTGACGTGTTAACCAGGAATCATGCCACACTGGCGTCGACATCAACGGGTTTATTTCGGAAGTGTGGGGATGGTGGGGATGGCGGGATTTATTTCACAAGGGCTTTGTGGTGGAGCCTGCCTGTGTGCTTTTGCGTAGGGAGGGTGGAAGTATACAGTGCTCGGGTGTGTTCGTATTCTAGTATTCATTCTCTTTTATTTGGGAATGTCCGATGTGGATCGTATGTATTAATACATGTAGTGTTTAATTGTACAAGAAGTTAATGTACGGCGGGGCGAAATAAGGTATGGGAAACGTGCGGTTTCGTAAAGAGAAATCGAGCTCAGCGATCGTAAAGTAGCAGTCAATGCTTATTGGAACATGATGATGGTAGGAAAAGTAGAAGGAGTGTCATATAGAATGTTTGTCTTTGAACGGTGAGCTGGTTTGCCGGGTAAGAGATGCCGAAGACTTCTCGCTGCCAGGCGATGTGTATACCGCAGTGTTGTACTTGAGATCGAAATCGTGGTTGGGGGTTGTGACACGGGCATGGTTAGCTGGCATACTATGAGTATTATCGGTCGGCTCGCTTGGATTCCGGGATTCGGTCCAAGTTTCCATCTCAACCGTTCGGTAGACCTCAAATCGTTCCAGCTGGCTGTCAGTATGATGATGATGCGATCGGCCCCTGGAGGGTCTGGTAGAATGCCTAGACGGGTTGACCGACGACCATAACTTCTGAGGACGACTTTGACCATACCCAGACGCGTATCTCTGGGTGGACTGGAGTAGCCGTGGCAAGAAAAATGCAACGAGAGGTCTCAATGCGGGTGCAGAGGCACAGATCTGATGAATATTAGAATTGTTTCCCAGAAGGGATTTTGCGAACTTAGACATACCAATCCCAGATTGATCTCTATGGATGCAGCAAGGAACACCGGCCAACCGAACCAAGTCATGTCGTACGAGGCGATCATACTCTTATACACATAGACCGTCCGAACGGTACCGGCAACATTGACCACAATTCCAAGGCTGAAAATGGACATCACAGCAATTCGCTGCCGGGCCGGCAGTTTAAGGTTCCAGATCAAGGGCATTGGGATTACCGTAGATAAAAAGTCGGTAAAGATATTGACGACACTGGCGGCAAATACAACGGCCCCGTCATTTAAACAGTGATGAGGGTATGTTGGCTGAAAGTCCCAGTAGGCATGGATCGGGCTGGCAAATTGACGAAATGTGAGAAGCAAGAAGAGGCAGATAGAGAGAAGGTAAACATACCTGCATTGGAAAATGCATACAAACAAAAAGATGATACACAGCAGTGCCACCAAGACCATTGCCCCGATCAAAACTATATTGTATGTAGTATAGAGACCCTTGCTACCGGCTCCGAGTAGTCGTTTGCAAAACCATAAGAGCGCAAGTTTCGTGATGCTGGATGATAGGGAAAAGAGGATTTGAAAAAGGAGGTTGAATTTTGAGGCAGTTGAAAGCCACTCCAACGGGACGTCCCATATATGTCTGTTGCATCCATATCGTTCAGTGGCCAAGCAAATGACCACGCACATCGCAACCGTAAAGGCCTAGTAACAGGTTAGAGTCAGCTAGTAAGGCCATGGTTCTTTTGTAACATACCAGCGCGACTACGATTAGAATGTCGTCGATACCGGGGCTGCATGTTATCTTGAAGCGAGTATAGAGTCTGAGACAAGTTACGACAAAAGCTATGGCAGCAAAGACGATGGTCACGATAAGGACAGAATCCCCACGGGTGGTAGGGTCAATATAATTGGGTGTTGGCCATGTCGCCAACACATCGGCTGGGGGAAGCTTCATGTTTCGTGGTTAGTCCGGACAAGGGTAAGTCGTTGCTGATGGTAGTTCTTCTTGTCGCTGCACGATGTCGATTTTTGTTATTCAGTCCGATATGGTAATTGCCATTAGCGTCCCGATCGAGTGGTAAGGATCGTATAGGCCATCATTAGGGTGTCAACGTCGTGTCAAGGCTTGTAAAGAGCGAGAGGAGATGGATCGATCGAAGTGGAATACCGACATGAGGAGACTGGCCAGATGATATACTCTCTAATCAGTGCCCCAGAAGCAGGGCACGCCCACTTTTGGATTGAGACCAGCCAGCGTATGACAGCCCAATTCGCGAGAATATCAATCCTTGTCCCTTTGGAACCAGGGACGCCGATCAATAATGTCTTTTTTGAGAACCGGGGGACAGCGCTCGTGGTGAATTGTGGGCTAGCATTTTGGCCTTTTATAGTCCCCCATGACCGACCCAGGTCTGGAGCCACTGCATTCACTGCAGTAGGTTCGAAAGAAGGCACACCATAGGCTTTCGAGGAAGGCCGGACTGCCCCTCCCCTGTGCAGTGTGCTGCCACGCGATGGCAAAAGCAGAAGCAAATCCGAATACTACCGGGGTTTCACGTTCAGAGAAGCATGGTGATAGGCAGATCCGTGACCCATCGTTCACGTTCTGCTCCACCGTGGTTTGTGGCCGATCTAATGATGGACCATTAATGGTCGCAGCAACGTCTGGACCCCTGGCTGGGAGCCACCGAGTCCGAAAAGTTAAAAAGAAATTCCAGTACCTGGGAGAAGTGACATTTTCCGGGCGTAACGTCGCTGATTCGAGGACATTCAGCCGACCGACGCGTCCCCCTGGAAGACAGGGACCAATTAGTGGCCATCGCATCTGCGAGTTCACTGAAGCAATTGCCAAGTCCCGTGGACACGAGGGCTGGCGACCAATCGCATTACATTGCCTTTTCCACGGTCCATGCACTAATAATCTATTATGCCTTCCTCGTATTATAGCATATTACTATCCTAGCCATTGTCATGGGTTTAAGCAGTTAGTCCACTACTTGGTCCACTACTAGTAATACGTAGTTTCAAGTCCGTGTCCTCCCGTGCTATACCCCAATGATCAGTACGGTGGGGCCACTGGAAAGATAGGACTAGATCTTGGTAGCGAAGTCGGGCAGTCAAGCCTCACCTATATTTTCTCGTTTACCTTACGTACTATCGACGGAATGGAACAACCCCGCGCCTGTTTGAGTGGGTTCCCTTTCACTCCAACGTGGCTAAAACCAGTACCGAGGCCTCACACCGTGGCAATAGTACAGTATTTATTATATGTGGAGGGGACTAACACTATTTGGGTAGCAGACCACCTGACTCGAAGCCTAGAGCCCACAAGGTATTCCCAATTCTAAGGGAAAAGACTACAAGACACAAAGCCCGAGGTAAACAAGAACAAGAGAAGAAAAGAACAGCGGTGGAAGGTTCCAACAAGTATCTCCAACGATCTAATACCATGGTCGAGTTTCGACTCAATGGTTTCATGAACTCAAAAGGCAATCGAGTCAAACATTGAAATTGGGCCGGTGTTTTGCATGTGTTTCCTCGGCAAGCCTCAGCTAGTCATTTATTTAGTAGCTTGCTATTTCCTCGGCCCTCATGAGTCATGACACAGCTAACGATCTGTTTTTTTTTTTTTTTTACTTTTTTCAAAAACCCCCCCTTACTATCACTGACCGGCCCCGTTCTTGATATAAGATGTACATCACTGTAATGAGGACTTGGTATCTGATGGTCTCGGCTATCTCATAGACTAAAAGTTGGACCACGTACAACTGTATTCTTAACTGAGGGCCATAACATCTAACTAGAAGGACTATGCCCTACAAGACTGTTCTCCTTTGGCTCGAAAAATGAGGGGAAAAGAGAAAAAAACGAGAACTCGAGCCACACCTGTCAATCCAACTTATCCGCCAGTTCCGCCCTATAGCAACTTTTCAGCATTATACCATCGCATTGCAGAAATGATAAGGTTAAGGTTACGGCTTAAGTAAGTTCAACTCCGTTCAGCCGAACATTGAACCATATCACCTACTAGGTAGATCAACTACTTGTCGAGGAATCTCATATTTGAGTCTGGCCAATGAATTATGACATCACCGTCTCATCCGTACCTGGTGGAAATATTTCGTACTCGCCACTCTTCCTCCAGAGAGGTACCATTGTACCCACTCTGAGCGGTTAATTCGATATCCATGCCCTCAAAAGGGGCTTCTTTTTGGGAGAAGAACCCTTCAGTGTAGATCATGTCAGGTGGATATCTCTCTGGCCGGGTCAATGGTGGGCAGGGTCTATCCCAAGAAGCTCTGGGAGCGTGCCGGCAGATCATAAGTGGACACCAACGAATTTCCCATCATTCAATGGCAATGATTCGAATCAACTGGGACATTCGTCTTTTGGCTTGCGGTTACTATGGCTTGTGGTTACCAATGCTTGTGGTTACTATGGATTGTGGTTGCTAAGGCTTGTGGTTACTATAACCTGAGCTGAGCCAATTTTGCTGCCCCTATTTCTTAGCTGTGGGATAATAACACCGCACTCCACCCCAAATTCCGAGCCACTTGCATAAACAGGGCAAATCTCCCAATAATCCGAGCTCTTTCACTCCAAATCAAATACACAAGTCAAGTACACCAGCACATGAGTAGGGACACTGTCCTTGTTCCATCATGTATGGTTTTGCGAGAAAATCTATATAACTTCATCTAAAAGAAACCTTGCTTCGTCTAGATACCACAAGGAGGGTCCTCTCTTCATGCAAGGGTCTCTCTGTAAAGCAGTATGTGAAGATACATCAAGCACATTCCGATATCATCTGCCGAAGCGATGAGTCGTTTTTGATGAAGCTCAACAAGCTTTGTTCCAACGGAACGGAATATCCCCTGGATGAACTTTTTAACCAATCACCTTCACTTGAGGTCCTATTTTCAAAAACAAGAATACAATTGAAAGCTTGTTGGGTTGTTGAAGTGGATGTTCTAATGCACGTAGCCAGTGTCCCAGGAAAAGAGAATTGATAGCGTTATCGCATCGATGCAGGCTACTGAATGTACACCGGTCAGCGATAGGGAAGTGAGACCGAAAAGCTTCCGTTTCGCAGGCGCGGTGATAGATTGCGATCCCAGTTAGTGTTTACCATAGTTCAATAAGATTAAACCAAACATAATTCAGCCTGCGTAATCCGGTGGACAGGGGTATAAAGGTTATGTTGCTTTCAATGCATATAGGCTAGATCTTCAGTGAACTGCTACTCCACCGGTAGTTCTATCCAGGTCAAATCTTGCAACATCTGTTGCCATACAGTAGCATCCCAATCTTCAACTACCGCTGCAGACTCTGTGGCTCGAGGGGGATATTCGGGTATTGGTTGTGGTAACATATGAGCGTTCTCAGCGTCCTGGGTGTTTGATGTATCTCCTCGAACTTGTACTGATTGGGGCTGTGTCCGACTGCTCTCTAACCATGAGAGCATGGATCCAATCACTGTACGGCAATTATCCCAAACATCGTTTCTTCGTGACATTGCCTCCATTTTCTGCATAGCAGCAAGGCCGAGATTGTGGATATCTTTGTTATAGACTTCGACTGCCTTGCCTCTTGTCGCGGTATCCGAAAGCAAGCTCAGCTTCGATAAAACAAGAAGGCCGTACCAGATGGATGTGTAACTGAACATAGGGAGATTAGGTGTGACCGAAGCCGGCGATGCAAGGAATATCATCACAATATTGAACGCGGAACGCGCAATGGTGAGCCGTTGCTGTTTCTCATACTGGCGATGGACATCTCTTTGTTGCCGAAGAGCATGCCCGAGAACAATGGCAGGAATTGCCTTGAGCTCAAAACGCAGGGACCCTAGTCAAATCAGTAAATGGTGAAACTAATCAGTCTCAGATAGATATACAGGCATTACACTGTGTTTCTTGTACAAGAAGATGCTCGATTTGATTCTCAAGCACGTCCATAGACTGGAACAGCTCGTCCTTGCTCATCGCACGGATAGGGTCTTCGACCTCTAGCTCCGATTGCTGCCCAAGCGACTGGATTTTCATTAATGCTTTTAGAGACTGGTCAGTGGGATACCCCGTCCCTTGCCTTAAGCTATCAGCACAATACTCGACCTAGTCTGTATGTTTCATGGTCAGCTGTCGCCGGAATATTGAGGCTCTTATTCTGTTAGTTAATATCACTGTACTGTAATTTAGAAGCTCTCACTTGGAACATAGATAACAGCCCTAAGAAGGCACGCTGCCCATCAGAAGTCAGATATAGTACTTGTCCTTTGTGTAACTCCTCCGTCCCTTTTCCATTATAAGAGATACACTGCATTTTGAAGTTGTTGTATCTGTCAAGTCCCAAATCAACAACGATGGCCATAGCCATCTGGAGAAGCATGTACACCTGGGTATGATAGATACGCCAAGGATCGTGATACCATGCGATATGAACCAGTAACCCCCGAAGTGTATCCATGTCCCTCTCCATATTCATTACTATGCGGGTAGAGACAACGGTTCGAGCTTCAGATTCCAATTTCTGCTGTAGAGTGGGCTTGTGCTCGAGGCAAGCTGTTATTATACACAAGAGAAGGAATGGAGACTGCTTGCGCAATTCAACAAAGTTCACTTCAGGTAAAATAACGAATGGAAACAGGGGAATCAAGTCAGTACGGAACTTCAAGAGAAGTTCTTCACCCTGAGTAATATTGAGAAGTCCCCGGGTAATAAAATCGTTAAACGGTTCAGGTACAGGGCTTGGCTGTAACGAAGTACTACTGATGGTAGAAGGGGATGGCGTTTCTGTTGTAGGTGGCAGTCCCACCCTCGAGCCCTAGTTGAAACAGTTGAGATAGTCTTCTGGTAGGGAAGGGGACGCATCAGTTTGAAATAGGATACCTTTTCAGTATATAATTGAGCAGCAAGTGTATCGATCTGATGCTGGATGATATCGACGCGGCTATTTCTGGAGAAAGAGAGAATGTTACCCGACAGCCTACCCCAACACAGGTGTATATGATCATTGGGCTAACCTGATGCTTGTATTCCTACGCGAGCCGTCTGGAAAAGCACAGTGTCGGTCGAGTCTCGCACATCGTTGACACCGTCCATTCTCAACCGGAACACATTTCACTTTCAACTGAATGCATCGTACACATGCATGCCGCCTCGAGGGAGCTTTAGGTTGCATTGCTCTTTGTATTGGGAGATAGCTCTGATTCCAGGGTGATGAGTGGCACTGTGGTAGAAGCCGGTGGCAGAGGCCAACGCGGCGCGCGGCGCGGAGTCGGAGTCGGCCTCGGCCTACTATGCCAACAGACTACCTAATTTAGTAAACTGTTAGGAGACCAGGGACAGTATAAAACCTGCGGTAACATTTCGAATAACTTCATTGTCATAGACAACTAACACAATGGTTTGAAATCTTGGTCAACCTTGTTGATAATGTCCTCAAGTCCTGACGCGATGTCCAGAGCACAGCCGGTCGGCTCTGTGAAGCTCTATAGCATCTTGGCCGGAATTATAATAGCCACTTTCCTGATATCATTGGATGTCTCTATTATTGCTACTGTGAGTTCATTGAAAGTCTCTCGGTTCTATTACTTGATTTTTTTATGGAACTAAAAGTTACCTCTCAAAGGCCATTCCTTCAATATCAACCCACTTCCATGCTACAACAGATATCGGCTGGTATGGAGCTACCTATCCGCTCACGATGTGCGCTCTTCAACCTATCAGTGGCAAGCTCTCGTCATTACTGTCGCTGCGATGGACATACCTCGGGTTCTACGGCATATTCCTTCTAGGATCTCTGATTTGTGGTGTAGCAAACAGTTCCGAAATGTTCATAATCGGAAGAGCAGTCGCTGGTGCTGGAGGCTCTGGGGTAGTGTCGGGTGGTCTCTCAGTTATTGCATTGATAACAACCCCTCAGCAGCGTCCACTGTTCACTGGGCTGATAACCTCTCTTTATACCCTGGGAACTGTTGTCGCCCCAATTATCGGAGGCGCTTTGGCTGAATATACTTGGAGGTGGTGCTTTCTAATCAATCTTCCAGCAGGAGCAGTGACTGTGGTGACGTTGCTTTTATTTTTCCATCCACCTCAAAATACTAGGGCCCAACGTGTGTCCTTCCTAAAACAGCTCGATTTGATCGGATGTGCTCTCTTTATACCCTCTATCATTATGGTGATGTTGGCCTTACAGTGGGGAGGTGGCGAATATCCCTGGGACTCAGCGACAGTGATCGGACTCTTTATCGGCTTTGCAGTGATGATAACAATCTTTATCTTCTGGGAATATTACATGGGGGATCAAGCTATGGTCCCAATCGTACTTCTGCGGGGCAGATCGACAATGCTTAGTATTGTATTTGCCTTTTTGTTTTTGGGGTCATTTGTCATTCCGGTCTACTATCTACCGGAATGGTTTCAACTTGTTAAGTCTGCAAGCCCTATTCGCAGTGGAGTTATGCTTCTGCCTTCGGTTTGTACTCAGGTTTTTGGATCCCTTGTCTCTGGAATACTAGGTAAGGACAGGATATATTCTCATCATTTCACAAAAATTTATACTGACGCTGTATTGCTATAGCCAAACACCTCAGATATTATAATCCGTGGCTCTTCATTGGTTCTACCTTTCTCTGTATTGCGAACGGGCTTTACACAACTTTTACTGTATCCTCAACGTCCGCATCGTGGATTGGTTATCAGATCTTCCAGGGCCTGGGTTGTGGATTTGCAGCCCAGATTCCTTTACTTACAGTTCAGCTTGTATTGAAGGACAGACCTAACTATGTTCCAGTCGGGATAGCGACTGTTCTCTTTACGCAATACTTTGGAAGTGCGGTGATGCAAAGTATAGGAGGCGCTATCTTTCAGAACGAATTGAAAAGACAGCTACGAGATCAGGCATTGTTGGATTATAAGCAGATCGAGATGCTTCTTAATACTGGAACTCTGCGGGTACGGGAAGTTGCTGTACAAGCATTTCCGGACCGTTTAGCCGATATTATTATTGCATATAATAAAGCTATCACAACTATCTTTGTGAGTTAATCTTCTAATCTTGTCACCTCCGTGTTAAGCTGGCGATGCTGACTCTACTAGTATCTTCCAATAGCTGGTAGCGCTCTGGCATTTATTCTATCCGGCGGAATTCCATGGGTCAATACTCGCCCAACACAGGAAGATAACAATATACATTGCACAGAGCAAACTGATAAGCTTCAGTCAGACAAGCAGGCCACTGTGTGAGGAATCAACGTTGCTGCCCATGGTTCACTGGGGATGCCACTCCAAGCAGAAACATACTTTGTATCTAAGACCGTCTGGAACCTGGATTGGCGCCTGGACTAAACCTTAGATTGCATGGCTGCAGCTGCTTCAGACCAATCTCATTTTGCTTGTCGTCAACCTGTAATGCTCCTTGGTATATAGGTAAGCACAACCCTTCTTCGGTGAGGCCCTAATACAGAAAAAACTTTCCAAGATGTCAACATAAATAGTATTCGGAATAAACTAGTAATTCTATGGCCAAAGATATTAATGCATGAGCGTCTGAATTCCTGGATAACTAGAGCAAACTAGGCGACTAAATACGAATCACTGAGCATTTTGGCCACGTACATCAATAGCCAAAATAAGAAAAATTGTCATATAGATAGAATCATAGAATCGGTAAAAAATTGTATGACGTTAACGTATTCGGAAAGCGAGCGTTCCACGTAACCGAGCATTCCAACCCTCTCGAATTCCACGCATCGCATATTTTGAATCTATTCAAAACACCAAAAATCTGTATTTCTATAGAAAATTCAAGTAGCCTGACAATTGGAATATTGAGTAATTCTATACCCTAGGATATTATATCCAGAGCACCTTGATAGAGCGCCTACACGCTGACTTTCTACTACAGATACTATATCTGCCGGGGTAGTAGATATAACTTTTATTAGTAGAATTTCTGCTCTGCATAAGCTCCTGAGCTTCCTGGACTGAAGCACCTACTTCTATAGTAATCTGTCTAGTAGAGAACTTTTTTTTCTTTTTAAGCATTCTTTCATACGCGGCATATAGTTCTCTGCTTTTCTACTTTATAATAATAGCTTTATTTAGAAACTCGTTTATAGTCTTTGAAAAGCTATTTTATTACTATCTTAGTAGACGAGTCAGGGCTCTTTTTACAAGCTCTAGGCAGCTTCTTTAGTATAATCTCCTGCTTTTGTAGTTACTTTAGAGTATAAGATACTTTAGACATTAAATTAGTAGATCTACTACTGTATCCACGTTGACGTCTGGATTTCCGTGTTTGTATACCGATTGAGCCTTCTACATTTACTATACCTTTCACGTCGTGGACTCCTTAGGTTGCTATTCGTAGGTACGCTATTCCGTAGAATAGTACATAATATAGTAATACTTCCCAGAATTAAGTACTACTAGGAGCATCAGACATCTTAGGGCGGAATAACTAGTCGATGAGGTAAATCAAGATCAGCATGAATATTTTCCTATGTAGGCCAGGTGGCTTTTGGAGGCCACTCGAGAATGAGTGGGTGGAGGAGGGTATAGAGACTGCGACTATACATGACGCCAAGACCACCGAGGTATGTACATATTCATACTGCAGAGTGGTTCGCCAAATCTTGAGGTGACTCTGACTCCTACGCAATAAATTTGAAGCAGATCCTATATTATAAGGTGATTCTCGTACAATCCCATCACCACACGAACCTCATATCTCAACCTTATGAAAGACCTCTCTGATTCGAATAAGAACTGAACCAATCGTAGTACGCTTGAAAGTCGCACGACGATATCCCTCCGAGCAAACAATACGTCGTCCCGTGGTAGGAATGCTTTCGTAGTTTGCAACCAGACGTATCAGATACCGTCCTGTACAAGAGAGGTACTAGTACTTCTTCCATAATTCAGGATCTTGTCGTGGCCAAAATAAAAGAGAATTAACAAACTGATCCTGACCTCATATTCTCCATTTTTTTCAAGTCAAACATCCAGCAAAATAGCACTTTATAAATAAACTAACAGAGAGGTTTCTCTCGTTAAAGAATTACACTAGATGGGGAATCAGCTGGGATGCTCCACCAATTCGGCTTGTTGACTGGATGCACCGTAACAGGACCAGGGGTTGAAAACATACCTTTGGGCTTACCTTCCCTTCATCTACACCAGTTATCCGTTTACATGAGAGCAACAGGTCCAGCGTATTGATTTGAGCATTGGCGGTCAAATGTGAGCTTTATATATAGTTATTAAGTCTGATTCCTATTATATATTCAACCAATATATTAACGGCCAGCCCAACCAATATTGATCTTGCTAACCTCAGTATTGAAGCACTACCAGGCCTAAACAAGAATATTACCAATGAACTACATTTAAATCACTCTTTAAACTGGCTAACTAGCAGCTGATAGAATCTATATGTCCATCGCAGGCACTTATTGTACTCGGGGTATATAAGCGCAATGTTCTAAAAGATACATCCACAGTTTTTGATTTATGAATGCGAAGCCAGCTTCAGTGACACCTCGCAGTTAAAGATGGTATATGTGTGTATGCGAGAGATCAAGCAGAGCTTCGAATCATAACAGTATTCTCAATGTGATTCGGCTTCGCTTTTCTCCGCCGAGGGCCCAACGCCTTTAGCAAAAGAAAATTGACTTCTCTTACTCCGGGCTAAACTTTTCTACTTGGATTGCATGGCCAAGGTCAACCTTACCCTTCTGAACGAGCTGCGTACATGAAATGCTGGCTACTGATTTTTTGTTGCACAAAGCTAACCAGTATGTCATCTTCGCCATCATCTCTCTGCCGATTACTTTACCAACGGAGGTTGTTTTGTATGCCTCCAGGTGGGTGACAAGCTGATTTCCCCCGCAAGATGGCTTAGCAAGCCCCACCCTGATACTGGAAACTGTATCTGCTGGTCCTGCTGATGTATCCGCTAGCACTTCTAACATCCTCGAGATGACGGATTGTCTACCTTCAATTCATGAGAACCTTTATGACGCCGTGATTTTCATTCAGCTGTGGCCAATCTACCATCGGTTAGGTGGGTGGGGTATAAGTACTGCTGTGCACAGCCCTTTCCTAGTGTCGGGTGATAGAACCTATCATCGGGGGCATATCGGCAGATATTGTGGTACTCTACGGTGAGAGGCTATGCGGGAACAGATCGACAACGAGCTAAGCAGCCCTCGTATGTGAAACTGATGCCGGCTCTTCTTGTCAGCCCTTTTTTACGTTCCCTTCAGCTGGCCATCTCAATTAAACCCCCGCAATTTATGCCAGCGCTTGACTTTATGGCCATGTAATGATTCACGAAAACCAGCGATTATCACCATTTAACAAACTCGACGCATCCCGCCCTTTCACTCTTCGACCAAAGAACATACTCAGCTATCAAACCTTTTGGCATAATCAAGAGGGTGAAATATATTTATCAAGCGAGACACTAACAGCAAAGAGGCCTCAGATCTCGCTAATCTTTGATTTCACTCTGTACAGATTAAGATACGGGACAACAGTAGCACAATACAATGAGTAAATCTCTCCTAAGAAGCCGGGATAAAGAGTAGCTTGGGGGCCAATACAAAGCTCTATAGGGTCAAGGAGCACATTGCCAACCTTGGTGGTGAAGTAATCGATGATGAGGAACCAGAGGCCGATGACGATCTTCCCCCGTTCCATGCACCCGAATACCTATATTTTGCACCGATATATCTAACACCTAATTAGTATGCGGTGGGATGATGAGGGCGACGAATATGAACTCGTGGATCGTGAGATCTGTGACGGTTTTACGTCTGAGTGAAAGGATGAAGAGAAGGAGAGACTCAAGAAAGCTGCTTGGGGTGATAATTACCACAATCAGTCGATCGAGCGCTCCTGGTGACAGTGGCTTAACTAAGCTACCATCCTGCATGTTAACTAACTGAAATACTGTATTCAATGAGGAGTTCTCGAAGTGGGGCAGCATCTGCCAAATCAGCGGATTCACACCGGCGTATTTCCATTGTACGGAGTACATAATGGAGTAGTATAGAGTAGAATCCCTGCAGATACTCCAGTGTGATGCTACTGTATACTTTATCTCTTTCAAACGCGGAGAGCTTCTATCATCCTAGGTAAAATTTCCAAGTATGGTTTGCGACAAAATAGACATAGGTTGGGTTGAGTTTGTGCGGTTATTCTGCCAGGAAGGCAGACGGCCATCTATTTTTCTAACGATATGTATATTCTTCTCTGTTTACTGCAGCAGTATCTGCTTATCCTGGTACCCACATAGTTACAGAGAGCTAGATAGATAATTACCCTTTATTTACACTTCGGTGGTAAAGTTATCTTGCTTGACTTGTCCAGATTCAGGATATACAAGTTCTGGATTACAAGGAGACTATTCTCTGCACCGAGTGATCTGGATATCCATCTATCAACACAATTTAAAATCGCTCGATGCTAGGTAAAAAAGTATCCCTCAGCTAGACTATTCGGGGAAGAAAATTCGCTGGAAAGCTTCCGTAGAGAAACAGTTCGCGGGTAGGCAATAAAAGTTGGGAGAGTAGCAACTTGTAAGACATCCACCTAACTTTAAGTCTATTCTAAGTTACCCGAAGCCACTAGCCCCTTATTCAAATCCTGCTGTGTGTCATCAAACTGGCTTTTCGTTTCCATGTCAGTCGATAGTAACACGATAAGAAGGTACTTTAGATCCCCATGTGATATGATTTTATTCGACTTCTGCCAATAGTTACAGTATATTCCTTGTAAGCGTTGCAAAGTGAATGAGTGAATTCTTCGCAGTCCCATCGTTTTGGAGTGACTCGGGAACTTCTCAACCACCCGCAGTGGAGCCGACCACTAGGTGTCTCCATCGGCCCAATGAGCCGAGTGCTGACTCGTCTGACATCGAGCTATGCTATTTTGAGCACCTAGTTCTCTCCGACTCGGATGAAACTACCGGTCGATAAATATACATAGATCGTACTGTGTATTGGCATTCTACAGCATCTTACATTTCGCGCGAGAGCATAGATGGCCTGAATTCGAATAGTTGAGAACCCATGTCGCCTTAAAACATCTCACGATATCTAATCGTTAAGAAGCAGTTGTTCAGTCAGATGTCATGTGATTTCTAGAAAGTTTGACACGCACGAGGTGGGACAGTCAAGGGAGTGGACGGGCGACTACTACTACTACTACTACTAGTAGGTAGGTAATATACTGGCCTTTTTTAGTAGTTCTTTACCAGAGCACTGGTAGTCTTTCCTCGGGGAAGAATGCAGAGGAAAAAGCCGAATAAACTCTATACGAGTCTATTCCCTCTCTCTTTTTCTTTCTCTTTTTTTTTCTTTTAAGGATGCGTTATTCAAAAATCTCACCCTACCAGAGGAGAGCTGAGCCGTGTTTCAAGTGAAGGCCAAAATGTATGGAGATTTAAATTTGACTTTGCCGCCTCCGACGGTCCAGAATACTCCAAAGGAAAGGGACACAGCGAATGAATGGAGCGTCTGGTCAAGAGCGGATACTCCCGTGCGACGTTTCGGGGCGTGGCGCAGTTCAGGCCGTTGCGAACAAAGTGAAACAGGAGGCCTGGACCCAAGCCATGTCCCCGTTCCATTGGATGTCATATCTCCCGGTTCTGCACGTCAAAGATCCACTCTTTACACGTCCGTCCATCAAAGACATGAGAAGTTATTCATGGACTTACGCACTACACCCTCCATGGGACTAGTCCTTCCCAAGGGCTAATCCTTTTTTCACACCCATTTTCTTTATTCTTAGATTCTTAGCACTGACGCTGTCTGTGAGTCGGAAAAATTATTCTCTTGGTGTTCCCCCCGGGGCTCTCGAGAATCGGGACCCCCGTCTGCGCCCACTTAAGGTTAATGGCCTGAAGGCATTTACTGTAGATATAACCCCGGCGGACCCATTCATTTAGTTCGATCTCGTTTCTTCTCCATCTTTTTGTCCATCGCTTATTTCTTAGTTCCCTCCTTTTTCTAGTTTTAGTCTGGCAATTTCATTTATTATCCTTTGCAAAAGGGTCTAATCACCCGCTTTCACATCCATTCGTTTCTTTCTCCTTTCCTTTGTTGGTGTCTCTATAGCGCTTACACCCATACCCTCGTTGGCCCCGTACTCCTGATCCATTTGCACACTCCCAAACTCTCCATGGAGGGACACAGCTCACCACCCGCTGCCGACGTGCCGGCACAAGCTGGAGAGGGTCCTGCTCCAGTTCAAGCCGACATTCGTTCTCATGCCGTTCATCATGACCAAGGAGCCGTCCCGGAACGAGAGTCATCACCAGGTCGCCGTATAACCCCACGCCCGACCTTTCTAGACAACCTTGCCAATACTCGAGATTCCCAGTTTATGCTTGACAGACGGAACTCCAGCGAACTGGATCGGTATTTCGTATGTGATTGAGCTTTTATCATCTATGAGATATGAACAATGTCCTAACTAAGTTCCACATCCAGCATGGCCCCCGTGACTTGGACAAGCATTCGAAATGGCCCACCTTTCTCCGAATGCATGGCAGTGTGCTGCCCAAGATGATCCTTCCGTTATGTTTTGTTGCGGCATGGGCTACTCTGATTACACTCATCTCGAAATTTGTACATCCTCGTTAGTATCACTGGGAAGTTCATGAAGGAATACGTTCGGCTGATCAACGGTTAGTGGGGATCAACAACATTCTGCTCACAGTTACGGGTTTCGTCGTTGGTTTGGCACTATCTTTCCGGAGTTCCACGGCCTACGAAAGGTAAGCAAGCTACTACCGAATTTTATGCTTCTGAGAAAGTTCTAACTGACTCATATAGATGGGCCGACGGACGCAAATACTGGTCACTGCTGATCCAGACCTCGCGCAATCTTGCTCGCACTATCTGGGTCAACACTAGCGAGCGAGAGGGAGAGTTAGGAAAGGAGGACCTTCTGCAAAAGCTGTACGTTGGAGGCAATCCCAAACGACCCCAGATGTATATCATCTTTTCTAACCAATATTAGAACCGCAATGAACCTCATCCTGGCCTTCGCTGTTGCGCTTAAACACAAGCTCCGTTTCGAGCCGGATATCGCCTATGAAGATCTTGCGGGCCTGGCCGGCTACCTTGACACCTTCGCCAAAGATGCACATGACCGCCAGCGCCTTCAGCCTCAGCGGAAGTCACTCTGGAAGTCGACAGGTGAATACCTGGGCGTGTCCTTTGCCGAGTCGAATCCCAGGAAGCTCATCAAGCGATCCACGAAGCCACTGGGCCATCTTCCTTTGGAGATTCTCAACCATTTGTCGGCTTATATCGACAGATGTATCACAAACGAGACTCTCACCATCAGCTTGCATCAAGCACAAGCCAGTATGTCCCACTCGCGTCTTTGCCATGCTATAGTGAAATTAAGTACTAACATAAGTTCTAGTCAACGGCCTGGCTGCCTTGAATGAAGTCGTCACGGGAACTGAGCGCGTGCTCGACACCCCTCTCCCGACAGCATACAGCATCGCCATCGCCCAAATCGCCTGGCTCTACGTCATGTCTCTACCCTTCCAACTCTACAACTCCCTCACATGGGTGACAATCCCAGGATCAATCAGTAAATAATCCATACCCTAACCCCTTAAAGAGAATCCGTGGAGACTAACTAGCAAATGCAGTCGCCGCATACATCATCCTCGGTCTCGCCACTATCGGCAGCGAAATCGAGAACCCCTTCGGTCAGGACGTCAACGATCTTCCTCTGGACACCTACTGCCGACAGATTGCTTTGGAACTGGATATCATCACTGCTGCCCCACCGCCTCGTGTCGAGGATTTCACCTCCCGCGACGAGAACTTGGTGCTGTATCCGCTCAGCATGGACGGCTATAATGAGTGGAAGGACCGGAGCGTCGAGGAGATCAGAGCTGCGCTTAGAACGAAGGCGATCGCCAACACCCCTTCGTCTGCATTGGGGTCGGATGAGTCGACTGTTGTTGGAAGCATGGACAGTAAACAATCAGTTTAGACGAAGATGCGTCAAAAGCTGGAACTTGGACTTGAAAAAGAGAAAACCCCAAAAATACGGAATTGTTCTTTGAAAAGTTGATATCAACGCGGGCATTGGGTCTCTATTTGGAGCATGCGCGTTTCGGTGTTTCTGTTGCTTAAGGACAGGGAGTACTCCACTCGTTACTGCTATATTACATTCATGTCATTCGTTGTGAATATGTTGCTTTGGGAAATTTGCTACTTGGTGCGCAGATGTACATGTTGGATTTATATATTAGACTGTTGATATTAAAAGGATTGGATTGTTTGGGCTTGGGCAAACGGCTCTCTTTCTTGCAGTACGACTCATAGATCTTCCTATAAGATCTACTGTAAGAGTGCACCCGAAATCACGAGGGTGCGACTGACACCCGAGCTTCATTTGTTGCAGCTTGCCATACTACCTCGAAATATAGCTGGTGCTCCACGCTTGGTCACTACTAAAACCATCCTTCAGCCATCTGGGTCTCATGATAATCCTCCGATTGTTCCCGGACCCGGGACGGGATATTAGTTCTCCACAACATCGCATTGCACGGTGAAGTTCATTTATAGGGACTGTTCATCGTCCCGACTTCTCGTGGTACAGCGTGGGAGTGTTGTATACGTTCGCATAACCATGTCGTAGGAGGATGACCGACCCCGAGAAACTGGCCTAGTCCACGCTATTTTTGTTTCTCCGATATAAACCGAGAGATCACTAAGATGCACAATTCCCCAACATCACAGATCATGGAGCGAACAGATCTTCCCCGGACCCCTGAGTCAAAGCTCCCAGATAATTTCCCTTAGCACAGACCCTCCACGCCACACTACCCACCGAGCTACCACCAGTGCCTCCACCGATCCAGGAGCTCACCGCTGCGACGACAGAAGGGGCATCTTGGCGCGGGACACGCACCCAGATGAATTTATCCGTGGGCTTCGGTTGTGGAGCTTCAGGGAAGATTTTAAGGATATCGATTGAGATAGCTGTGCCTGACAGGCCAAGAAATTGCGACAGCGCAGAGTTGATGTATGTTCGAGCTGTGAGCGGGTCGAGAGGCTGAGATTGGACGGCGGTCGATGTGCCTGGTTGGTGGATTCTATAGCATACAGACGTTGTGTATTAGTAGGGTTCACTGCTTGCATGTGAACAGTCATGAAACACATACAGCTGTAGTTTGAGATAGGTCCATGGCGGATTGCGCGCAGTGAAGTGGATCTCTTGGGACGGAGCTGCTTCAGACGCGACACGATCATCGGGGGCTTTTCGTTTAGAGGACGTGGGTTCTGAGTTGTTGGAAGACATTCTGACTTTCGGGTTTCTTTGTTGCTGATTCGGTTTTTCTCATAGAATGGCGGGCTACTTAAGCACAAATATTTGCGGATGGTGTTTAAAGCAAATAAAAAGATCGGCTGTTAACAAAAAAGAAAGTTCGGGGAATTCCCGTGATGTCACGCCGGTGTCCCACAGTTATCGTGCGAGATCACCAGGATCAGGCCGATGATCTTCTTATTTCTTGATCACCGCTTCCTCCAAACTTTGACGCACTTGCTGTATAAATTTCTCTTCACCTTCGCTCCCAATCTCTAGATCAGAAACACAAAGTGTCTTGTCGCGCGATTTTAGACCGCGAATGACGTCTACCGTGGATTTGGGGACGTTGAGGATCTGGTTATCGTGAGATAATTAGGTTGATATCTTCTGAGAATAAATTTTTATTTATTCATAGGAATGAAAAGAGCGAAGAGCAGTACCTGGGCAAACACTCGTGATACAGCCGCGTTGGCTTCGCCGTCTCGTGGGACTGCAGCCACGCAAACGTCCACTTTCTCGGGGCCAACGGCTATGATGCCTTCCCGATTTGCAGACGCGTTGGGCTTGACGTTGCAAGAGATTTGTAGATTGTACTTGTTCGAAATTTGGTTGGGGTTACGGCGTTTCGTGGCCGTATTCTGGATGAGACGGAATAGTTGAGACGATGAGTTCGACATTGGTAGGGTCTGAATTAGGATTGAAATCTAATTTTAAGAGAATTTCAGTTGAAGAGATGGTTTGCTTGTAGTCAATTGGTGTAATGTTGTGCCAGTAGTTGTTAACGTGTGGATGTGGGGAAAGCCAACGGTTTGTTTACTTTATTTATACTACTACATAACAGCAGTTTATTCCTTTGTTTCTCCAAAATTTCAGTCTTACTTCCGCTCTTTCCTTCCGTCTTCTTTTGTTTTTCTTTTTCCATTTTATCTTCAATACAGACGAAATTTCACCCATGAAACGAGAGAGAGAGCAGTAACCAAAAGCCCAATTGTGTTCGCAACTGAAGGAGCCTACTACTGGAACTCCGACTGGATACCCAATATAACACGACATCACTAAAACCTTGATTGCAATGATTAAATTATACAGCACAGGTAAAGGCTAGTAGAGAAAAAGACCAGATGGGAAAATGTTTGCTGTATTCAAAGGCCACAACCGAATGAAAGCACATTTCTCCTGACTCTCTTCCATTTGCCACTCCATGTAAAATCAGGGCCGACAATTTATATTCTAACTACCTTCATTCTCATGTCTTTCAAGCTAATCACTAGTTGTACAGTACATTGCACACTATACTTATCCTTTGGTCAAAAGTTGAACCTGTATGGTCTGTATTGGTATACACCTCTTAACTCGGCCCTGTTGCTGATCAACTTGAAGTGAAGTGAGTCTGTTACAAGAACATTTACAAGAGGTATCCACTCATGTCCAGCAGGTCCTGTCGGGTCTCTTCCCGAGACCTGAGCCATGACACCCCCCGGAAACCAGACAATATTCACTACAAAGATGGTAGACAGTCCAAGTGGACATACCCCCATGATAACACCTGCTCACTATGGTCCTTGTGGAGTGATCCTGGGAAGGTTGAGAGTGAGGAGGGCTCACGACGAGAGTGAATCCAACCCAAGCACCATCAGCATGCACCGGATGGAGACCCAGGGTCGGGATAACTCAGATTCCGCTGTATGTTGACATTTTGCTTCACTATTGAAGCTAGCTAGCATGATGCTTACATTGTGATTCACAGTGCACTGCGCAGAGCCAACATACCGCCTCGCATATTATCATCTTGGATTCTCCTAGCCCAACAAACCAAACGGCTCGACTAAGGGGGGAACATGAGGATGACGATATGACAGCTTCGCATAATGATCAGGATGACTGGAGCATAGAGAACTTACCGGATATCTTGTACATCCTGAAACCCGAACATGGAAAATCCAGACACGTTGTTCGTACTACCGCACACAAGATCTTCGGAAAGCACATCAATGCTTTTTCAGTCCTCCCGGACCAGATATCCTCCAAGATAGAAGGGTGGAGGCTTGAAGCTTGGATGCGTCTCGATCGTCGGATAACTGGGCAAGACATCATTGACCGGGTAAACCCCAGGTACAGGCCTAGATTAACATCAATTGACATTGAACTTCGCCGGAAGGCTTTCCGAGAACGATTTCATGTTGCCTGCTGGGGAGCACAAAAGACTATTAATAATATATCTCGTCTGGCTGTATCAAGGGGAATAGACCCGGCGTCGAACACCACGAGAGGTCTAACACCGGGGCTAATCGACCCTTCTAAAGGCGAAGCCGGTGGGCGCATTCCGCTGCCTCCAAGAGCAGCCTACGATAGTATCTCCGATTCTATTTCCCACGCAGGTCACTCAGATAGTGATATCTTGGAGCAGGCTCACCTGGTCACGCAGAGCTCTCACCCCGGTCATATCCCTACGGTAATCCTCGATGAGCCCCAGCGAAGCCACAAGACTAAACCAGCGGAATTCATCTACCAGTTGCACTGGGATACAAAGCACTTACGGAAAAAAGGCGTTCCGAATAGCGATCACTTCAGACTTACAGATTCCTATCTTGAAAGGCCAAGTTTTAATTATTCTGCGAGGTAAGTTGTTCATGCACGACTACTATCAGAGGCTAATCCAGTGAAGCAATATTGAATATAATGGCACACACAACAGAAGGGATAGAATATCAATTCAACAGTACCCCTCCGACTTCAACTCCTACCCCGCTACACTACGTGAATTGGCTTCTCATGGAGGGCCTCCAGCTCGATCCTTCTCCACAGAGACCGAAGATACTGAAAGGACTATGAGCCTGGATGATTATCTTCACGGAAGCCAGCTTACGTTCTGGGAGTATCTTGATCGTCGTTATGAGAATAGTCTGAGGGATATTAAACGGTTGTCACTGAGGCCCCGGCGTTGACCGGTAGAATTTACGTGTCGTTTCTCAGGATCAAAGTACGCTTACTGTTGCTCTGATGGGATACAATTTGTCAATATTTTTGTTGAGCTTTCCATGGTGTCATTTCATTTTGTTTATTGAATCGCATGTTGGCTTTATTCAAAATTAGCAGCCTTCAAACATCACTCCTGTGGGAAACATGGACAATGCGATGCTTGACAATACCTAATATATGTACTGTACAGCCCTTTTGCAGAGGGAAATCTTCAAACCCTATACTCCTTCCCCACCTTTGTCTTACATTCGAAATGTTGCTACAGCAGATGCCTACAGAACCACATGGGTACTACTGAGTATATTTCTGTCGTTTTGGTTTCTCCCCCATCCCACCCCATTACGGGGTGACTACCTTCAGTTTCATGGCCCAACTGGGGAAGGGGAGCCAGATGATGTAGTCCCGCTTCTATTCATTGAGCTTGCTTCTGCATCGATCTTACAATAGAAGCTGGGGAACTGTGATTGGACGAATGCCTATTACAATATACGTCAGAGCTTTGAGAGACCTCGGGGAACAATCATATTCACTCTCCCTCTAGGCCTCTATATACTCTCGCCCGAGAACCAGGACAAAGCTACGTTCTGCTTGAGTCACACCAATCAGAGTAGTCCCCAGCCTTCCAGGACTACAATGATTTATTTGACTCATGAATTATGGCTTGCTCAGGGGTAGGTCCGTGACACCTGGTGGGTCTACTGGCCTGGGGAACTGCATGCTTGTCGAGATGCTGGCATCGCAACTATATCGGTCGAAGAGCCGCACCGCCAACGCATGAAGAGTAGTATAGCAATATGAGACTCATTTGAAACGCGAAATATCGCATATCTCATCGCTTCAATTGCAGAGAAAAGCAATGGATTGCATTTTGGAAAGTGAGGGTCAAAGTTGACGAGGAGGGGGCTTGGAGCAGGACCTCACGACACAACTTCAGTGAATAGTGAATATTGTCGACAGCGACTTGAAACCCTCTCAACTTCCCAATTGGGACGACTATACTCCCAACCACCCCCGTTTCTATTCAGAGTAGACATGAAGAATACCGCGCTGCTAGACATAATGGCTCGCCCACTTTGTCCCTCGAATCTTCTTGACAGAGACTTGGGATTGCTTCAACCGCTTCAGACCTCTTCGTCCATATTACGAGACCCTGAACTGCAAGTCAGCTTCAGCATCAATTGAACTCCGTTCTCTCGTTTATCTCTCGCTCACATACTGCTCGATATCAGTGGTAGAACAGCCACCTCTTCAGGGTTTATCTTAAGAACGAGGAAGACATCATGTCTCAGGTATGCCGATGCTAGTGTCATTCTCCAGTCAGCTCTTTCTGGTGCCCAACAGTATACGGGATATATTAATATCGATTTGTATACTAATATGAATCATAGCCAATTTCGAAGATGATTGATCCCGAGGAAGGCCTCGAGCTGTCCCAGCAGCCAAATGCCTCCATGAATCCTGAGACCCCAAAGAGCGCTAAGGTCAGTGCGAAGAAAAGCAAAGGAAAGAAGGAAAAGGGTGAGGCGGTGCTTTCTCTAGCTAAATAAAAAGACAGTGCTGACAACAGCATAGGAAAGCCAGTGCCCCGGCAGGACAGCCCTCAAGCCATTGACCCCCGCAACTTTACCACTTCTCGACTGGGCCAGGATGAATGGTCGTGGACAGATCTTCCCGACATACTTTACCAATTCGAGCCCGAAGACAAGCGAGATCGTAAATCGGACCCGCCCCGCATGAGCTACCCTATTCATGGCGAATATTTGCGCGATCTCCCGACACTTCCCGACAACATTGCTTCGACGGTCGAGGAGTTCCGAGTGGAAGCTTGGATGCGGCTTGATAGACGCATTCGTCTCAGAGATATTACTGACCGAATGCACCCGGTTTTCAGAATCCAAGACAACGCGCTGCAGCAACGCAGTGTCCGCTTCCGCCAGCAGTTCTCGCTGATTGCATGGGACTCCGGTAACAAGCGTAGTCAGCAGCTCAAGCATGACATACTTCAAAAGATGCAGAATATCGGGATTTCCCCCGCTTTAAATACGACTCGCGGTATAACTCCCGGCTTGATCAACCCAGCCCTCGGAGAAGATGGTGGAAGAATCCCGCTACCCAATCAATACAACAAGGTGAAGCGAGTAGCTCGAGGTAGAAAGCCCTCAAAGACGCCCGTGCAGGAAGAGACTGCCACGGAACACGCCCACCTCAATAACATCGTCCAGGAAAAGCAGTCGGTTGGCCTTTCATATACCATTCAGGAATCGGCGAGCATTGGAAAGGTAGACCCGTCGAAGGAGACCGCTCAAGAAGGGCCGTCCCTAGTGGTACCCCTTGCCGCGGAGTCCGTTTCGATCGATTTCACAGTAGATAACCTCACAGTCGAAACTGTCACAGAGCTTTTCAACTACGTTCCATCCTATATTCCATTTGACGAAAGCAACGACAGCTCAGAGGGATCTCTGCCTGTCATCACAGGATGGATTCCGGATAACGAACTGCCGGAGACCGTTTGCATGGCAGAAATCGACTTGACAGTGAGCATCAAAGATTCCATACCACGACGCAATACTAAAAAGGCCTTGAAACCCATCGCGCCAGGAAAAGTCCAGCGTAGACGCCCTTCCCCATTGAAACTGGCTAGGGGAGGGTTTTGCGGCAACACTTGCCACTTCGGGAAGTATCCTACACCCATCTATACCAACCTCACGCTTGTGTCTGGCCCAACTGGCGCTGGTATTTGGCACGAAGAACTGCTTCCTCCTTCCCATGGACTGTATCCTGATGTACTGACCCCGTACTCCGCCTCCGATCTGCCATTTGATGTTCGCCACCGAGTCTTTGACAATCTGTTCGAACAATGCCTCTCCAGGGACAGATACCTCTTCGATATCCCAGACATGGCCCCCGAGGACATAGAGATGATGGACATCGGCGATATCAATGACATTAATATTGACGATTATGACGACTATTTTCAAAAATAGTTTCTCAGGTCATGACAGGAGGAATTGGGTAGGGATGATGTTCAGTTCCGCAACGCGGCACTCGACATTGTCTGCGCTGCCGTTAATTTCAGCTTTTTGTATTCACACAGCGATGCCTCTCGAATCGTGTTGTTTAGCCTTGCTTGTCCGTCCTTGTTCTTTGATCGTTTAGTCGTTTTACTTTTGTCCCATCGCGAGTTTTGTTGTTGAGCTTCCCAATACCCAGAAATTTTTATAATGTCTGAAATTGTGAGTCAAATCTGTGCTCCGATATCCCCTGCTCAGGCGTACTAGCGATTTGTCCTTATCTCTTTGTTTCTTTGGTCTTTTGGTACTGCAGCGAGAATATTCGCCGGACGCGTTGATGTTCATTTAAAGTTGCATGCCAAGATGTATTTATTTCCGTCACAAAGCGCGCATGTCAACTGCCTTGCTTCGTGCTATGTATGTACAAACTCTGTACAGCAGTGCAATATAATTATTGCAAATGAGTTGCTTCTGTTCGTTGGGGGAAATGGCTTCTAACTCCCTAGTAATGTTAGCTAATGTTGTAATACTAGGGCATATGTCCAATGTAAATTTGCTGGGCTGACTTGTACATACAACCATAGTCATGTTGAATTCAGAGCTCGACAGGACAATAATCGTGTCGAAGATCTGAGACTCGAGAGCAAGTGCTGACGGAAAGTCAAGGGGATATGTAGCAAGTAAGAAGCTCGAGGGTGGCATATTTCAAAGTAGTGATGGACAGAGTCCTGTAGGTCGTAGATGGTATTTTATGTCTCTTTGTCTGGACCACCCTTCTTCTTTGTTTCTTCGAGTTTCCTTTGTGGCTTGCTTCTTGCTAACTGCTTGCGTAAATGAGACAAAAGAGATTGGGTCTCACGCTAGGTCTCCAAATGGTAAAGTATATCTCAGTGAAGTGGCAGGAGGCAAAGCCATTATATAAAAGACACAGTGGATATTCTAGATGGACATTGCCCCAATTAGAAGACATACCTATTCCTGATACGCATCATAGATTGCCACCTTGTCTTTGTCTCTTTAGAACTCCGATTATTCAAGCTTAGCGTGTGTTTCACCATTGCATCTGGCGTATATAATCCTACTGCATTGATCCAATCCCATTGCTTAAGATAAATTCTTCACCGAAGCATCATGGATTCAATCACCAAGATCCAATACTATTGCCTAGAGTATCCAGTCAAAGCATTGTTATTCACGTAGACATGTAGCTCTATCATTCCCACAAGACGGCTATAAAAGCAGTCCTCCTACCCCTTCAACTGCTCCTCCTGACAGGCCAAGCCATCCTTCCAAGCTCTCTTCCCGACTTGCCCAGAGTATCACCATTGTGCTTCAAGGATGCAGTGCCAACGTAAGAAAACATCCAATCACTAGCACAACGATGTGCCTCCTAACAAAAGCCCACAGATACCTCACCCCCGACAGACCGCTACCACACCTGCCCACACCCACACCACACCCCCTACTCGGAAGTCAACCTGCCCCCGATCCTGTTCCGCATGGACGCACCCATCGGACAAGACCTCCCCAACCTCTCCGCTCTAGAAGAAAACGGCGAGGCAGCACTCGACCACGAAGGCAAAGAGATCTGGGACTTCCCCTTCCTCCCGCGGTACATCACCAGTAACCCGCCAGGCTGGCTGCTTGAGTACTGGATGCGCACCGATCCACGCCTCACGTACCGCGACATCCGCGTCCGCATGCCCGCGCCTCCGCGTCTCCGCCCCGCCGAAAACGCCCTCAACATGCGTCGAGAGCGCGACGCCCGTCGTCCCCTCCGCCTATCCTGCTGGACATACCGTCGTGGCACCCCAGGCCGTCTCAACAAAATCGATGTCGAGCGCGTCGACCGCTGGTCCATCGATCAGATCCGCTACAACACCACCATGGATGTTGTGTATGCTGATGGCGCGCCTGTACATCTTGCTGATCGTGCCCTGGCGGCGCATACGCCTTCCACTTATCCGCTAGATTACTTTCTCAATGAGGGGAGGGCGGAGATCCCCAGTGAGCGGATAAGGGTTGCGCAGAGCGTGTTCTTTAGGTTGTCTGAGCGCGCGAAACAGTTGGGCCTGGCTTCTTGGAGGCAGTTGCCTGATAATGAGTGGCCGGACACTTTCAGGTATAATGTCTCTCGATGAGGTGTGATCGATAGAATGGGGGGGGTGGAATGTATGTCCAAGTTCTGACGATGCTTGGTTGTGCGGTGAATGGCTCACGTGGTCAACTTCGGAGGTGCCAGTTGATGGGGGGTTTGAGGGTGTTTATATATTTCTCTGATGGCTGATAAAATATGCAGTTGCTGCAATACAAAGAAAGGTTATTTGACTGTGTGAATAGTTTGTTCATGAGTAGTGATTGGCAATGTTTCATAATGATTCTACGTGCTCATTCAATGTAAGAGGAAGAAAGTTTATAACTTCACTTAGACTGCTCTATATTTCATATGGTTTCTAATATACTGGTTCTAATATACTGGTTCTAATAGAGAAGAATGCTATCTAAGCTGGAGAATCCTGTTGCAACTCCTCCCTCGTTGACATCCTTGGACTTGGTTCTCATCAGCCATCCGCCTTGCTCATTGTGGGTGATCTTTCCATCGGCCTGATCCCAGAGAATAGTTCCATAGACACCCAACTCTCCGATGACTTCCCCACTTAGAACCTCTCCATCGGTTCTCAAGGCAATGTTCTTTGCCTCAGTAGGTGGTCTGATCAACTCCATAAGAATCCAGCGCTTCCATTCGCTTTCGGGAATGGAGCGTAGGAAGTCTGGAATGGCTTCCTTATAGATGTTGTTACCACCGCCCTCGCGCTGGGGCTTAAGAACGTGGTTCATGGCTGTTTCGACATTCAAGGCGAGGTCCCTGCCACGGCCACCAGAGGCCAAATCGTATTGGGGCGCAAAGGTTTTCCGGAGCCTTGCAACAACGGCTGAGTCGGTATCAGGTAAGAAGCCTGCAAGGTGGTCGGGGCCCGTAGTTTCGGCTAGTACCTGTTGTACAATCTTACAACCGGCCAGCTGGTTTAGAACTGTGGGGCATTTGATCGCTGCAGAACGCTCGACGTGAGTCCGTGCTTCCCAGTCACGCTCCGATTTGAAGTCAGTCGGCGCATAGAAGCACCGGAGATAAGCTGTCGTGACTTCAAATTGTGTTTCTGGGGAATGGGGAGGCGAGTATATAAGGGGCCGTGATGGGTTGGAGCTAGGGATCGACGTGTGATCGAGAATCTCGGAGTTGAGCAAACGGAAAACGGGTATCTTGTGAGCCTTGGTCAGCTGCCGGAAGAGCGCCAATTGATCAAATGTGTTCCTCTCGTTCTCCTGGACCAGGAATACAATACACGTGGGAAGGGCTGGTGTGGACTTTGACGGGCCGTAGGCATTATGCGCTGCAGCTAACCCAGCGGAAAGAGTCTCCACTGCTGTGTTCTCAGGCGGTGCATTCGACTCGAACAACGGGTGATTCGGGTACGCAATTGGATGGCCAGGAGGAGAATCGAGAAGTTCGGTATGCAGAGATGTCACAAGTGAGGACAAGCCTCCGAATGATGATGAAATAGTGTTGAATTCAACCTGCTTTAAGGAAGGTGCCGTAGAGCTGGACGGCACATGGACCATATAATCCGACCGATACAGTCCAAGTGACAGTGTCTGAACGTATCCTTCCTTTTTGACAGCGAGGTGGACTTTCCACAGGTGCGAAATGAAATCATCCACATCAATGAGACTACAAGCCAACATCGTTTAGTTCGGTTCATGTCTAGTTCGTGAATGACACGCCAATTGAGTCGCGCACGCCGCTCAATTAGAGATGAATTAGGATGTATCTTACTCTTCCATGATCTTGCCAATCCATTCTTCGTTACATGTTATTGCAGCGTAGAGCCGATTATATACAGTTTGCAAAGCCGTCGCCTCATTGAAGCATGATCTCGGGAAGGGGCTGGGGAAGAGAGTGACAGGCGCATTCGTCGCTAATACCCCAGAAGGATCAATTTCCTTTGAAACAAACGAAGGCGCAGGGCGAACCAGCAATCCGTTCTGCGTGGCCCAATCCTTGATGGTGGTCACCAAGTATTCCTTCTGTGCGGGGTTCAACGGAGGAGGATAACTGGTATAAATTTCGCCCATGGTGGATGCAGCTGACAGACTATATTTTCAAAAGGAATGAGTAGGAGAAGTACACCAAGGGTAGAACTGTTTTAAGCAGGAAACGCCTCAGAAAGTTGCGCAGAGAGAAGAAAACCGATCTCATCAACAACCAAAAAGTGGGGGGCAGCCTCAACTCTGCTTATCAATCCACTTTATCGTCGAAATCTCCGAGACACCGCTTGATACACCGCCCTTCCAGCCGGCAGTAACGCCAACTTTACTTGCAGATCAATTTACTTTTCATTTCCTACTGAGCACCGTGTACTCGACGCGTTGCACGTGCCATGTTGCATAAACTGCTATTTTGAACTGTAGTTACTACTAAATCACAGACAACGCAGGCCTCTGGATGTGATTCGAGGGCATAATCAATTCCGGCGGGCTGAAAGCCCAAGACCTGGTGAGATTACTTGCATGATCGGGAATATTTAATTACCTTGATGGCTAAGAATTCGAATTGAACAGACCAAATGCCAGATGAGGGAACAGATCCTGTCGACTGGTCTGTCGACGATGTGGTCCAGTTTCTTTGCCATAATCCACACACCCCATGGTCGCAGTCCGTGTCAGGGGCCCCTCGGCCTGACCCTACCTCCTTTGAGGCTGCTCTCCGCGACAATCTGATCACTGGAGAAGTGCTTTTAAATGATGTCGATAAGAGCGCACTGCGAGATGATCTAGGATTGAGGGCCCTTGGACACCGGAGTTCCATGCTCACGGCAATACGGTACCTTCAAGGACGCTCTTTAAAATATCAGATCTCTAAAAGTCGGCTTGATTCTCCTAGAGAGTGTCACACTCCAAGTCATTCAGCATTTATTACACCGAAAATTTCTCAGAAAGTCATCCCGTCGCTTTACCATGATCCTGTATCTTTAGACGCAACTCCACAACGTACTAACTTACTCCCCAGTGTATCTCCGGTGGTGAGTACAAACGCTGTTAATTTGGCAGGCGTACCTAACTCAGGAGAACCTACGGCTCCTTCAAGTACTCCTCAAGATGCTTCTCATGTCACAAACTTGCAGACTCGTGTAGAAGATTTGGACCCCGTTGAGCGTATCCGCTCACATGAGCAAATTTTCGTCGATACACATGGGAAGAAACGGCGACGACTAGACCTCACTACTCTGACTAAAAGTCGAGTTGATAACGAGCATGCGTCCGATCCGGTGCAAGCCAAGGAGTGGTATATGGGACCGGGACAAATCACACCATCCCAATTGTTCTACTCTCCTGATCTAGACCAAAATGATGAGTCCTTCACAATGGTTGGATCAAACTTTCCAACTGCACAGCGTCTGTTTGTGAACAGGTGTCTTCATTATTTCCAGAAACAAAGGCCCATAACCCTGGACTCTACCCAAGATCAAATCCGATCAGCCATAGTACCATATAATATGTCCATGGTGGAAAGTGGCGAAAAACGTTTCACATTGTACACTGCGAAGAATGGAAAGGTCTCTGTTAGCACAGAAAATATAGAAGACTGGCCGCAACTCACTCGGTCGCGAGTAGTCTCTGGAGAAGTGTCGGCAGAGATGCTAACTCCTTCTGACCCTTTCTCTTATCTTCTCCAGCGGTACCCAGTGCAAGATGAAAGTCAGGATACATTTCCATTGTATGGAGACTCAGGATCCGAGGGTGAGTTTGATGAAGAGACTTGGCAAGAAATTGAAGATGAACACCCAGAAGGATGGTCTGGGAAACCCTCTAAACTCACGCCCAGTGAAATGGAATCGGTCATCAGAGATTGTATTTCCCAATATGAAAGCAAGTGGCATGATACCTGCTTGCCAAAGGAACAGCGAAAGGCACGCAAGCTCTGGTTGAAAGCTAAGAAGGGAAGGTTTACCAACCTAGAAATTAAAGGGCTCGGTCAGAAGATAACATCTCTAAATGAGCGTCTTAGGAAACTGCAGGACGCAGTCCGTGAGAGTGAGTATGCAACGAGGACCGAGCTACAAGCTCAGTGTCAGAGCCTGGAGCAAACTGTGATGGATATCCAACAACATCGGTGGCGTGTTTCGACCCTTGAGCAAGGAACGTGTCCTCCCAAAATATCGGCCCCTGTCATGCCTACACCCGCACAAAGACTGAAACGTATCTCTGGGGATGAAGAATCACTTCACTCAGAGTCAGGCGATTTGTCTGATGTTTCTATGGATGATTTCATTGACAATTCTGATATTGGGGACCAGCCCATACACGTTGAAGATGAAAGCAAAGCTCGAACCCCACCAACATCGGAAAGTGACGATGACATTATCAGCCCTTCTGGCATTAGACGACATACAAGGGGGAGAAAACTTCCTTTTCGGGAGTCTAGCTCTCCGTCTCCGTCTCCACCTCCTTTGCAAAAGAATACCTTCCCCATAGAATGCATTGACCTCACAGAAGACTCACCAGCGTTAGATAATGAGGAGTATAGGGTTGAGACTCCGCCATTAAATCCGCTGCCACGCGCTATCACGCAACCTGTCGAGGATCCTATCAAATCGGGACGGAGTTGCTCAATTTCCCCTGAGCCATACATTGGTCCCAGAGTGATGGTCGAGATTCCCGTTTACAAAACAACGCAACTGAACCAGTTCAAACCCAGGAAGCGGCCAAGTCTTCCTGATGTACACGACATGGACAAGTTTGTGTCGGTGCCTTGGGATTTAATTGAAGAGCGACAAGACCGCCGGAGACTATTAGCAAAACTGATTGCAACCCTTTCTATTGAAGAGCGAAATAAGTTGGCGCAGGCAGTTCCTCGATATTCTAGTTCAGATTTGCAGCAACTCACAGGAACTGGTCTAAAGCTCTTGCTGAAGAATCAAGAAATGATTCCAGAACTCGAGGCAGCTGAGAGCCGTGTAGTCATGCGTGTTACTTCCTTTTATATCTCGTGGGTAAACTGTGTCCATCTTGCGTCGGAAGGAATTCAGAAGAGTCTCGTACTCAACGCTCAATCTAAAATCAGCAGCTTTGCCGCGTACTTCAACGAACTCTGCGCGCGCCTCACTGATTACCGCAAGAAGAGGAACTCCAAGATGCATCGGCTCAATGAAAAGGAAGAGACAGATCATACAGACACTCCCCACAAAAAGCGCAAGAGAGAGGTTAAGGAGAGTCAAAATGCGAAAAAGAGTCAGCAGAGCGCACAGCTCCGTGTCGCGCTGCAGGAGAAGCAGAGAAAGATCCTCGAAAGGAAAATAGGCAGCACCAACACTGATCCTACACGTCAGGCAGTCAGCTTCGGAAATCCTGCAATTTATCTAGACCCTCAAATTGGGTTGCGTGTTAAGCCCCACCAATTGAATGGCGTTCAATTCATGTGGCGAGAATTGATAGAAGATGAGAACAAACAAGGTTGCCTGCTCGCTCACACAATGGGCTTAGGGAAAACGATGCAGGTTATATCGCTCCTTGCAACAATATCTGCAGCAGCATCTTCCGATGATCCCAAGATACACCAGCAGGTTCCTGCAGCTTTTCATAGATCTCAATCGCTGATTCTCTGCCCATCGTCCTTAATTGAAAATTGGTTTGAGGAGTTTCTCATGTGGGCTCCTGTCCAATCGGGCATCGGGCCCCTAAGGAAGATAACAACTTCCTCCACAATGCCAGAGAGGCTGCAGGAGATGTGTGACTGGGATGAGGAAGGCGGGGTGCTCATCATGAGCTATGACCTATTCCGAACATGGATCCTGAACAAGGAGACAAATAAAAGGGGAAAGCCGCTAAATGACAGTGAATATGAAAAAGTCAGAGAATGCCTTCTCGAAGGACCCAATATTATTGTTGCCGACGAGGCCCACAAAATGAAAAACCCAGCCACTGGCATCTCGCAAGCAGCCATGCAGTTCCGCTCTAAAAGCCGCATTGCCCTGACTGGATCCCCTCTTGCAAACAATCTTATCGATTACTATGCCATGATCAACTGGATTGCAGAGGGCTACCTCGGTGAATTTGTGGAGTTTAAGGCAAAGTTCGTGGAGCCTATCACGGAGGGACTTTACGTAGACAGTACGTACACCGAGAGGAGAAAGTCTTTGGTGAAGCTTCAAGTCCTCAAAGAAATCCTTGCCCCAAAGATCAATCGTGCCGATATCTCTGTGCTTGCTGGTAGTTTGCCAACCAAAGTCGAGTTCGTCATAACGGTTCCCTTGACGAACCTACAAAGACAAGCATATAATTCATATGTCGAGACTATATTGCAAGGGAAAGGCGCTTTCGGCAGTGCACAACTATGGTCCTGGCTTGCGATTCTGAGTCTATGTTGCAACCATCCATCATGCTTTAGAGACAAACTACTAAGCCGAGCAAGCGATGCGCAGAAAATAAACAAGAGGCTAGGCGAGGAGATGATTCCCGGCGATGAACCTATCGCGCAAGCAGGCCTTCCAGATTCGGAAAAGCTGGTTTCTGACCAAGAACAAATCTTTGCCAGAGTCCCTGACATAAAAGCCTTAGAAATATCTCATCGGGCGCGGATAATGAACTCGATAATCGACGAGTCTATCAAGGCTGGTGACAAGATCTTAGTTTTCTCACACAGTATCCCAACGCTCAATTATATTGAGTACATCCTTCAATCATCGAATCGAAGATACTCCCGGCTAGATGGACGAACACCCGTTGTGACTCGACAAGATGCGACAAAGAGATTCAATCGGGGCTCGGAGCAGCAAGTGTACCTAATCTCAACACGCGCAGGAGGGCTTGGCTTGAATATTCCTGGAGCGAACCGGGTCATCATTTTCGACTTTAAATTTAGTCCGGTATGGGAAGAACAGGCTGTTGGACGCGCCTATCGCCTGGGCCAGCAGAAACCAGTGTATGTTTACCGTTTCATTGCCGGTGGTACCTTTGAGGAGGTAATGTATAACAAGGCTGTCTTCAAGACCCAACTTGCTTTCCGTGTTGTCGATAAGAAGAATCCGGTTCGTTGGGCACAAAAGTCACTCGGCGAATATCTTTTCCCAGCAAAGCCGGTCCCTCAAAAAGACATCGCCGAATATCTGGGGAGGGATCCACAAGTCTTGGACAAGATCATCATGGGCGATAATGGCGAGGAGAAGTCAATCTGCAATATTGCCCTCACGGAAACATTTCAGAAGGAAGATAATGACAAATTGACTGAGGAAGAGAGACAAGGTGTCCAACAGCAATTGAGTGACGAGCGCCTTAAGCGCACCGACCCAGAGGCATACAGTCGGTTAGTACTGGAAAGGCAAAGGCAGGCTTTGTCCGTGGATCAAGCTCCGCCTAGGGCCCCATCGTCATACGCGCAAACAACTCCCATGCAGCCAGGTCCTATGCAACCAGTCCTCATGCTGCCTCAGACACCTTATATGCCGTCAATGGTTCCGTCAAGCGCTCACAATACTGGGCCTCCCGCTCTAGCACCAGACATGAGCGTTTACGAAGAGCCTTCTAGGACACCTATGCCCTCAACATCCGCAGCCGCGATAAGTTCAGCTTCAGGAATCTATGCGTCGCGCTATGCTCAGAGCGAGCCACCTAACGAAAACACCGCACCTTACTCCCCTTTCAGGCTTTCACCTACCAGAAGCCTAGGACAAGCAGGTACTCAGATACCTCCTCAAATGGATGGCGCCAGTTTCGATACAAACGTCCAGCAATATGATGTAACCGCATATACGGCCCATACCGAGCTCTTGCAACCGACAACACCGTCAGACGATACTTCCGATGACCCTTGCCGCTACCAGTGAGAAACCTTAAATAACTAAAACTTGGCCATTCTTACCAACTTCGGAGTTTTGGTCTTTCCTTTCCATCCTGTTTTATCCTGGGCCTCTTTAGCGTCATGCAAGCATTGACAGTTGCAAAGCCTTGTTTCTATTCGTTAATCCACATTATCCCGTGAATATTGCATTGCATTCTACCAATTGTCAATACCCCCGCCCTTTTTGCGGCTACTTCTTGTACTTTCACTAATATTTCTCCCCTCTTATCCTCCAACTTCTCATGTAAATTTTATGCGTTTTCTTGCCTTGTCACCCAAAACATACGCCACAGCACATGTCTTTCTGATTTCAATACGGAGTTTTTTGGGAACCAAGGGACGGGTTTGCGTCAATCCATGCATGTGCTGCGCAGTGACGATTCAACGAGACATGAACAAATAACACAATTAATGAGATATCTTAGAGAGTGTATATGCATCTTGGTCTCGTTACATAAATGGTATAGCTGCTTAGATGCTGTAACACCCTTAAAATCGCTTGTTATTCCCACTTTAACCTAGCCAGCAGATCAAGTCTTCTCTAGTTAATTAATTCCGACAAAGATCGAAAGAAACAATGAAATAATGAAAACAGTACAAGAGAAAAGTAACGGAATTCTGACATGAGATTCCAGAATCTTCACACCGTTTCCATATCCGCACAGAAAAGGCCCGAAAGTAGTACAGTCCCGACAAAGGACGATGTAGATAGAATAGAAACCCCTCTAGGAGACGATAAAGATTTTTACAAAGACCAGTGTACACGATCAAGTAAGCAGCTTCTCGAGGTCCGCAACCCGAGTGGCTCTATCATCGACCTTCTTTTTCTTAGCGGTTTCGCGGAAAGCGGCCAACATCAACTTGCGCTTTGTTTCCTGGATGGCCAGGACACGATCTTCAATACTATCTTCCATCACCAGACGCCAGACGGTTGTTTCGCGTGTTTGGCCGAGGCGGTAGACTCGGTCAACGGCTTGGTCTTCTATTGCCGGGGCCCACCAGCTATCGGCGAGGATGGCCTGGTTTGCTGCCACTAGGTTGAGGCCGACACTGCAGACGCTCAAGCTTGCGAGAAGGACTTTGCAGTTGGGATCGTGTGAGAATCGGTAGGTGGAGTTGTCACGGGCTAGCGAGCTCATTTTGCCGTCGATGCGGGCGAAGCCGATGCCATAGCGGTTGAGGTGAGGTTCGACGAGGTTCAGGAATGAGGTCCATTGGCTGAAGACGACCGTTTTTGTGTTGGGCGCTTGGCCTTGGGCTGTGAGGATTTTGATTAGAGCCTCAATCTTACTGCTTGGGTTGTCGGGGTCTGCGACAACAGTTTCGATGCTTTCGCCCATTTCGGCGGCAGGTGCGACGAGTGTGGATGTGTCGTTGATCTCAGCACGACACATAGGACATTTGTGCTGTCGTTCGATTACTTGTTCGATGCAACCTTTACAGAAAGAGTGGGCACAAGCTGTGATAACTGGTTGGTCTAGGGTATCTAGACAGATGGGGCATGTCTCTTGACTCTCAATCTGGATTCGTAACATGTCTTGTAGGGCTTTGATGTTCTCCGGCGTTAACGGGACAACCTTATTCTCCTCCAATAGCCGTGCAAGCTTTTCGACACGGTCTTTGCAGAGCGCCCAGTGGTTACAGACTTGTCGGAGACGGAGGATCACTTCGAGGAGGTGTGAGTAGGTGGTGCTGGACTTGTCTTTAGACTTGAAATCTAGAAGCATGCCTCTCGCTTCAGACCTATCGTGATTGTGAGCAAATACCACGGACGCTTCCGGGGCCCGGTAATACATACTGGAACATATCATATTTCTCCTGCTCGTGAGTGTGAAACTTGATGCGGAGAACGCGGGAGGTAAGGGGCGGCAGACGCAAATTCACAAATTCCATATCCTTTCTACGACGTAAACAAACGGTACTCATAAGTGCCTGGAGAAGCAAACGGGCATTCGGGTCCTCAGACATGAGAGGTCGGATCAACACGCTAGTGAAAACCGTCATATCCTCAAGACCACCGGAGAGCCTTAGGAAGCGAACCTGAGAATAAAGATCCTTGAGGGAGTTGACAATTGGGGTGCCGGTCAAGGTCCAGCGAGAGTCTGCACGCAGATTACATGCTGCTAGCGCGCCTTTAGACCGTGGGTTACGGATCGTGTGTCCCTCATCAAGGACTATCCGGCGCCAGTGGACGGAAAAGATTCCTTTATTCGGGGGCACTTTTGCATTCGGGTTGTATTCCATTGCAAGGGCACCATAGCTTGTTACTACCACGTCGTATTGGTCAAGATTGGCGGCTTCTTTCTTTCCAGTCCCATGGTAGACAAGTACCCGTGGTGCGCTCTCGCTGTGTGTGTGATCTTGTATTTGGTTTTTCCAGTTGCTCATAACCCCTACAGGAGCTACTATCAGTGTAGTTTTGGAGGAGCTTGGGTTCTTCGGTGCGGAGTTTGCCAGAATTAGTGAAATGATTTGAATGGTCTTTCCAAGCCCCATATCATCAGCCAGGATACCGCCACTTGCGAGAGGTGGCGCAATGGATGTGGAGAAGTTCGTCGCGATGTTGGTGAACCTATTGTCCTTTCTCTTCCAGAGCTGTACCACATCATCAGACCCTGCAGCTGGGAGTGTGGGGCTTTCTTTCTCAAGCATCCAAGCCAGTCCTTGACGTTGATAAGGGAGGAGTTCCGTCGAAAGAGCAGCAGGACGATCTGCCATAGGCATTTTTGCTAAGTCTGCTTCACTTAACCCAAAGTTCTCGGCCACTTGACCGATATCTCGAGGGTTGAAAGTGCTGCTCTGGCCAATGAGTTCCTCCAGGCTCTCTCCCCCCTCAATACTGCCATCACCAGCGTATAGGTTGGAAAACATGGAGTTATTCGCCGCCTCCCACTGCTGCCCTTTGCCTTTGGCTAGCGCACGAGCTAATTTTTCGGCCTCTTTCCGGGCCTTTTCGCGCTCTTTCTGCTGCTGCCGCTCCTCGCGCTCTCTCTGCTTGAATTCACTTAAAGGCAGCCTGTCCTGCTCCATCTTACTTTTCAAGTCCTGTCTCCTAGCAGGGTCACTAGTGCCGAACAAGCTCAGAGCAATCGGGCAATCGTAAGCCCCAATATGCCCAGTCAACATGCCATCAATAACCAGCGACCTCGTATCCTACAAATGCAAGTTTAGAGCCCAACACACTACCAGCACTCATTTCACTGAGGACGTACCATATATTTCGCCAACTTAGCCGCCATATTCCTTGGGATATGCCCAATCTGAGCCCCCATAACGTTGTCAACGCGAATAGCATTCGAGTCATATTGATTCTCTGGTTGCCGTCTCAAAATTACATGTTCACCATAAGTGGCATGCCCACGATAGTAACGAACGCCCACAATTTTGGTATGTACATTCCCGTAAAGCATCGAGTTAGCAGCCGTCGGATCATCGGCAGCCTGGCTTCCCGGAATCACATCGGCAGCTTGCGCGTCATCTTCTTCATCGTCAGCGGCCACCTGTGACGACTGGCTCAAGGGCACAAAGAGGGCAGCCTCGCCAAAACGCTGTCCACCAGTGACGCGGGGTGTCTTGGGGGTCGAATGTCGGTTCTCATCATCACTTTGGGTCAGATCTATCTGATCAACTTGTCTCTTTCCTCTCCGGGCACCCATGATGGTCTGGAAGATGGTAAGTAGTTCAGGGGTTACAATTACTGATTAGGAGAAACAGGGTCGATTTCATTGTTCAGGGTTGCGACCAGTCGATCTCCGGGGTATTAATCGTGACTATTCCTCTTTTGGGCTAGTGCACGTCAAACATCCAACGCGCTATGACACGACCCCACGTGATCCCAAGATGAATCGCCAGTAAGTTGAAGTCACAACTACACAGGTTCTATCAGTGAATTCTATAGAGATTATATACTAAACAACTAAACACTATCTATAGGGTATTTTGAAGGGGTATGCTAACCAGAAATGGGATGTTCCGGATCCATGAACGGATCACAATACATGATACACTCAGTCGTGATGAGTGAAGGATGAGAATAGGCCGATGATCTCTATTTGAATGACTCGCGGGTGTTGACTCGATCAATGTCATAGGGATTCGCATCATACACGGTCTGGGAATTTATTCCCTCAGACCGGCGCGACGCCTGTGATGCTATAGACTTTCTTCGGTCATACTTGGAGGTAGACGGGAGATCATCCAGTTGCGAGCTCGCTGGGGTGGGCTCAGATGGTGTATCATCCACCTCTTTCGACCCTTCCGTGGCAATGTTCTCGTATTTCTTCTCAGTGTCTGTCTCTGCCGGAACATCGGTGCTTTGTTCCATCAACTTCTTCATAAAAGCGTCTGATTGCGCTGCATATTTGCACCGCGTCCTAATCGCTGGGCCGTACTTATAAAAGAGAAACGGAAACGGGACGCACGCGAGAGCTAGGAATGCGGGGATGCTGGAGGCCCAGTGCACACCTAGATCATTGTACATGTATGTGGTGAAGAGCGGGAAAACAGCACCGAAGATTGAACGAAGCACGGAATTGGCAGCCAACACGGACGCAGCAAATATTGTATAGGCATCAATCAAGTAATTCATCAAGCTGAGGAAGACCAGCACCATACCAAACCCAAACGGTGCACCAGCTGCGATACTGGCCATGAAATGAACGGATGGGTAATTCGTCCAGGCAAACCAGAAAAGACCAATTGGTATAACAACCGAGGCAATCAGGCAAGGGGGCAGGCGAGCCTCGGGGGGTGCAAATCCATTGTGGCGTGCCTGAGTTTTCACATAACGTTTATTATCCCAGAGTGTGTAGGCTACCGCAAGAAGCATTCCAACCATAATTCCCAGGAAGGCCAGACCAGAAACACCCTGGTTCCATCCTCGCTGACCTTGGTAGACAATGGGAAAGGCTGCAAACATCATATAGAGGGTACCATAAATAATAGCCATATAGATCGACAACAAGAGCACAATCGGTTCACGGAATAGTAGGAGCCACGGTCGGGATAGGGCGATCTGAAAAGCTTCCTTGGGTGTTTTCTTTCCTTGGTCTACCTCGATCTTACTTTGGTAGACTTTTCCGGTAACTTTAGAGAGTTTTGCTGCCCGCCGCTGCAGAAGGACAGGGGCATAAGTCTCCGGAACACAGACTGCCCCAGCAATCCAGAGAGCACCCGAGAAAATGGCTAAGAAGCCCATCACCCACTTCCAACCTTTCTCCATGCCTAAGAACCCTCCAATAATTGGGCCAAGCACTGGGCCTAGGAATGGGGCAGCTGCAAACACGCTCATTGCTATACCACGCTGGCTGGCTGGGAACATATCTGCAATCACTCCGCCAGCGTTGGTCAGCGGCGACGATCCAAAAGAACCTGCGAAGAAGCGGAAGATGATAAGTGACCAGATATTTTTTGACCCTGTACAAGCTGCGTTGAACACTGTCAACCCACAGTAACTGCCGATAAAAAGGTACTGTCGTCCATATAGCTCACTCATGGGCGCCCAGAGTAACGGGCCGATGGCGAATCCTACCACGAACAAGGATACTCCCAGCGTGGCTACTTCTGTACCGCAGTGGAATTGTTCCATAATTTGGTCCACGCCGCCGGTATATGCAGAAGACACTAGCGATACCGCTAAGGTCGCCAGGGCCACTGTTACTGTGTAAAACCATTTTCGGCTATCTGGGAAATTCATAGGATTTCGTGAATCATTGGGGAGCCATGTGACGAGATAAGGGTCATCTTCAGTGCCGGAGCCAGCGTAAGGGTGATCAATGACCTCCTGAGTAAGTATCGCTTGGTCGATGATAAGGCGCCAATGCGGAATGCGAGTAGGCTTGACAGGCTCGCCTGTGTCTGCCATGCTTGTGGAATATAGGTCAATGGCCTAAGCAGTAGTAACGTGTAGGGGTGTGGTACTAGTTCTGCTCCCCCTGCTTTTCTTTTTAATCTGTTTTCTCTCCGGAAACCCTCGAACAAAAGGAAAAGCGGGTAAAGTAAATCGAGACAATCGAATAGAATGCAGGAGGGGAAAAAAATAGATTGTAGATCAACCGATCAAGCACCACATATTTAAAGCTCAGTTGAGAAGCAGGTAAGAGAAAATCCAGTCTGAGGAGACCTGATTCAGAAGATATGGGGATGCTGAAAAAATCGAGAGCAAGGCTATGATCAAGCCCAACATGCATAACAGTCAGGTATTAAGTATACTGATACCCCAGCGGGGACTAAACCTGGCAACGACACCATCGGGCTGGACGGCAATAGTGACGGTACCATCATAATCAGTCAGCATCGAATCGGCCCTGTCATTCGCGGCGAATGGCTTCAAGATGTCGGCGTTAAGAACGTTATGCAGCAATTTTCAGTATAGCATAAAGTCTGCTGATAAATCCGGTATTGGATCTGATGATCAGTCGTTGATTAATCCAATCAGAACCGACGCTTGCTAAGAAAGCACGGCACCATGGTAGACGAAGGATCTAAAGGCGGAGAATGCCGACAATCTAATTCCGGAGGTCAATTCTCGAGAAATGCATCCGTCTCACAGCATAAAAACGATGTATCAAGGTGCATTGCGATGTATCTTCTCTCCGGGCGGGAGGCATCTCCACTGTGTTAAAAGGTGAACCTGATTAATCCGTAACTAGGCTAACTAACCAGGGAACTCAGTACGGAGTAAGTAGCGGTGGGCATTGGGGAGAGGAGAACCACTTCTCGATTACGAAAAAAAAAAGAAAAAAAGAAAAAAGGAAAGAAAAAAAAGAAACTGCCTATTATGGGCACGTGGTATCGAACATCATGGGATCCCCTAGTGCTGATGTGATGTAACCTTCTGATATACTACTTCCTTGACTACTACCAAGTATGATCCATGCTGGACTGATCGAACTCATCCCCAACGAAATCCATGGCTATACCATGACTTGAGCCCTGTTGACAAGCTTTCTGCAAGCTCTGATCTCCATGGGATTAGAAAGGTTCTTGCCGTACTAATACTCCAGATCCTCGGTCCGCGTGAGGCTCAGTGATTGCCGCCACGGCTTGATTGGTCTCAGCACGATAGCTACTAGTAGTACTCCGTACTACTAGCAGGTACACCTTCTCCAAATCCACTGGACTAATGCAGTTTACTCAAAATGGTTCTTAGCTCCATCAGCACGTTACCTGAATGAGATACAAGAAACGAACTTGTCTGCTCAATAGGATGCTCAACGGGGCCACTAGTACGATTCTTGTCATTGCCTGGAAATATATATGCCAAAGAAGCTGGAACATCTCCTTTCAAGGTCGCGTTATCACTGAAAATGGCGGTGGAACCTAAATATCAGGCCGTTGGCTTTCAAGAACCAAACTGCTCGATTTGTCGTTCATTGCTATCTTCGGAGCATCTTTGGAGCAGAACGTGCGGTATGACTGGTCGCATCGTGGCGAGCTGATTAGATGAAAAAGCAAATCCCACACCGACAACCCTTGCAGCAACTGTTACGATAAGCTCGCGGGTTCTGGCTTTATTCTAACCATACTGCATTCTCTTAACTAGTTTATTTAGATACATATTGTGTGCAGTAATATTATACATGAACTTCTTTCGTTGGTTTGTTGCAGTTCTGAACAGAGGCTAAATTTTGCTTTTTCTGTGGACACCTTTGCCTAGAATTCCAACGGATCACCCTTATGGCCGGATCTCTCCTTTCCTACCTCGACGTCGTTCGCGACAATCACGATCAATTGGACGCGCAAATCCAACACGGGGAGCTAAAACCGGTCTTTCTATGGCATTTAACCCTTTTCACAATCCTCCCATTATCGGCACTTGTCATTCCTCGTCGGCAAAGTACTCGCTATGTCCGACCCCTCGTTCTCGTCCTCATCTTCATTCTGTCCCTCGAGGCTCTCCGATATCGACGGGCCCTTCTTGGTGCAAATGGATACATGATAGGATTGGTGGCTGCATGGTGGTTCATATGGTCTGCGACATTGCTGGTGTTTCACGATGTCGAGAAGGAATTTCTGCGCGTTGAGCGAAGAGCCAGAACGACTGTGGATGTGACGTCGAAGCGCTCTACTCAGAACGGATATGCCCGTACGGACGGTGGATTAAAAAACGCAAAACCAACGGAACAGCAGTATACTGAATCCCTTATATGGCAGCCGTATCCTCGATCCCTTTCGAAAAGGTTGAATTGGTCACTGGGCCTTCTTTTAAACATGCGGGGCCCCGAATGGAATTGGCGTATATCAAGTATGGGCCCTTTGCCTCCCTTTGTGGAATCGCAACTCAAGTCTGGACCACTGTCACGATATCCCCGAGGCGCAAGTAAAGTCACTGCATCATATCCAGGAGCCGGGACCCGCATCCGCACCGTGGCCTTCGACTGTCTCAAGTACTATCTCCTGTTGGATGTCATAAAGGTTCTCATGATGCACGACTTATACTTCGTGGGGGCTACATCGCCGCCGCCTCCCCCTCCGTTTCCATTAAACCAGATCCTTCCACCTGGAGCGGTGTATATATACCGCGTCCTGATGACGGCATTGGGCTTATACTCCTCCGTAACCTTTGTGACATTATTTAACCCACTGATTTTCCTCGGGCTGTCTCTGTTATTCCCCAACGCCGCCCGTAGCTTAACCGCAACACCGCTGGATGCCCCTTGGCTTTATTCAGACATGTTTGGTCCGTTCTTCGTCCCCGTTCTGGACCACGGTCTTGCAGGCGCTTGGGGCGTATGGTGGCACCAAATTTTCCGGTTCGGATTCACGTCCACCGCCCACTGGATGCTATCGCTCCTTCCCAACCGATTATCGACAAACGCGGGTTTCAGGCGTCTTTTAATGACGTTCGTCGCGTTCGCACTCAGCGGTTTTATCCACGCATGTGGGAGTTATACCCAGTTGGCCGACACTAAGCCTCTTTCTGGGACATTTTTGTTTTTTGTTCTTCAATTTGTTGGCGTTACAATCCAGGAAATTCTCTCCCATGTCGTAGTCCCAGCATTACTATGTAAATGCACAGGTAAGTCAAGCAAGACTCAATTGCCTCGTTGGCTTCGGCGGTCTGCAAATGCAGGTTTTGTTTTTGGGTGGTTGTGGTTGACCGCCGGTTTGATTATGGATGATTTCGCTACAGGTGGCATGTGGCTGACCGAACCTTTGCCACTGAGTCCCCTGCGCGGATTGGGATTTGGTTACGGGGTTGAAGGGGAGGGGTGGTGGTGTTGGACAACTCCGTGGTTTCAGTACTGGGACGGAGGAAGTTATTGGGAGAGGGGGATAAGAGTCATGTGAGCGTTTCTTGTCTAAGGCGTCCTTCACTTTTATATTTGGGTGTGCGCCTCCCTTGCAGTTGATGCTATGGGGGATTGTATCCCAATGAGCTTCCAGCTCATGTAGAGGTTTTTAGAGGATAGAGTATAGACAGAGTCCTAGTTCCTAGATATATACGAATATAGTTCATGATATCTTGTGGTTCAATGTTTGTATTATACACATTAGCCCTCCATGGTCTCATCCTCGTCCTCATCTTCGTCTTCCGTGTCTGGGTCGATGTTCAATGCTGGCAGGTCATCCTCGCTGTCATCCTCTCCAGTATCTGCCAAGGTGGTCTGTGCGACGGCTGAGCCTGATAGTGGACCGCCCACGGTTGCTGTAGATGGTGCATTCATGCTAGCAACACGAGGAGGTGGAGCTGATGTAACGTTGGCTGAGGACGAAGGAACGGAGACAGCAGCGGTACCGGTAAACGTCGAGGGGGATGCTCTGTCTAACGATGGCTGGCTGGCAACAGCAGTGACGTCGGGTTCGACACGTGGTCGTTTACTTTGTAAATTGGATTCTACCTTCCTGTCGAACCGAGTGTCGGGAGCTGCGGTTTGCTGTCCTCCGCAAGGCTGCGTTTGGTTAAGGCTGGGGCGGCCTTATGGGAAACATCCGTGTCCATCATGTCGTGGTGTAGGATAGGAGTGGATGACGGCTGGAGAAATCCAGTGCTTTCAGGGGCTGTCCCAGAAACAGGCGCAGGCGAGTCTTCTTCCTCGTCCTCCTCCATATCAGCATATCCACCAATACCGGGGGCATTCGTCAAAACGGGCATCCTAGGTTTGATGAGAGCCTCCACCTCCATCTCCGCAGGGAAGCTCCGGGCTAAGAATGGCAGGATACTGGCGCTTACTCCGCGACCCTTTACAGCAGGGACAGGATTAAGGACACTGGCAAGCATAGTGTGCTTATCAGATGTTAAGATGATCGTCCGATCAATTTCAGCTCGGAGCGAAGGAGACAAGTATTCGGTCGGAGCGTGTGTAAGCACACCAGCTAGTAGCTCTGATGCGGCTCTTGTAAGGTTAGAGAAAGACGACATATTAGACTGGCGGCCTTGCTTCAACATGGGGTTGAGGAAGGAGTCAGCGTTTGCTGTAGTATGATTGGACTTGGCTTTGCCTTTCGCGTCAGATGATGCTCTCGCCGAGGCGCTCTGACCGTGCGTGGGAGGCAAAAGATCATGGCATGAAGCTCGGATCAAATCAGTAAGAGAAGTGAGGCTTTGTTTTGTCAACGATGGACCCATGCGGGTGAGCAGGGTCTGAACGAGGTCATATGCGGAAACGCGGATTTCTCGACTGAATTTTTCCGCGCGGTAGACCCAGAGAGTCTGCTCCAAAATCGTCTGTGTCACGGGAATAGCGCCGGTCTCGAGAGTCTTTACAAGGGTTTGAAGGAGCTCCATGCAGGCAACGTGGATACGAGGAAGTTCAGCGAACAGATGCTCCCTTTCCGAACGGCTAATCTGCGGGTTGGCTTGGATATCTCGTCCATCGGAGGGAATAACCACGGCAGTCAGTCGCGATGTTAGATCCAGTATGTGACCTATCGGAATGGGGACCATAGAAGCCGTCGCAGTGGTAAGGCAGGTAGAGAGCATTTGAAGGAGTACAACAAGTCTGTTCACACCTGAGTCAAGACCCTGCCAACCTGCGAGCCCCAAAGTATCTAGCCCCCCATCACTAACTTCCCTGCTAAAGTTTTGCGGTCTCGAGGCTTGTCGGAGAGCTGGATCCACAGATTCCCATTGTTCCACTACCCCTCGGAATACGTAATCTGCAGCCCCGTGAATAGAAGTTATTGTCATCTGGGAGGCATTCTTCCATTCCTCCCCGGATGTATTCTTCGGAGCGCAATGGTGCAAAGAGATAAACAGTCGTTCGGCAGAGGCCAGCGCAGTCTGAGGGAATATAGGCGACGTCGAGCCAATTATTGCTTGAAGGATACTGTGGATCTGCGCCGAGAATGGACGGAAAATAGTAGGATGCCGTGCGATCAGCTCTCCGAGGGCATTAAGGACGGTTTCCAAGAATGGACTGTGAGGCTTCAACTTCCTGATGGGCTCCGACGAAGGTTTGACCGAGATAAGATTCAAAGCTGAAGTGATAAAGCTTGGTAAAGACGGGGTTGTGATCTCGCGCACGAGGGTGGGGTACTGATAGGTAAGGTGGAAGATGCGTGTCAAAGCGATGATAGACATTTTCTTGGTGGAATTGGGATCGGGTTTCTGTTTCACGATAGTATCAGCATCTTAATTGGAAGTGAATCACTCGAATTCTAATTGCGACCTGTGAATCAAGTACGTACCGCAAGGATCGCAATGAGACCGCGAACAAGTGGTTCGCAGCCCCGTAGGATTTCCCATTGACCGGCTTCCACGACGGCTTTTACGAGCACGACCGCAGTCCACCGACCTTCCGGAGATCTATCCTGCAGCAAGCTCGCCAGGCGGGTCATCAGTTTGTGAACTTGAACGGCATTGTCCGACTCAGATTTGGACTTTTGATTCTGCGGCGCGGAGAGTAGCTCCCCGCAATTGCTCAACGAAGTCGCAAGACATGATGCAATGGGAGGCAATTGCGTGACGGGTATATTAGTCAGGCGATGATTGACAGCATGTAGGGACATCGACATAGAAGCCATTTTGGCAAATATGTACCGTTGTTGGGTATTAGTAGTGGGGGTGCCTTCGGTGATCTTGGAGGCTTTTTTTTTTTTTTTGGAGCGGAAAAGCTTTGACCACATGAAGCCTCGGAAGTACCGTACCATACACTACATACTGTGTTAAAACTTAACGGTAAGGTAAAAGTGGTACTAACCGTTACCCACCGACCAATAATTACACATGCGTAACCCCCAAGCGGGTCTCAATGGCGGTTCCAGTTGTTCCTCTCCCCTGGACAATGATGATCATCAGTTAAGTCCTCGGGAGTTGCGTCTTGAGAAGTACACTTTGTTTTTCCCTAGGTAGCAGATCTTGTGCCGGAGCCTCGGGGTAGGAATTACTAGTTATGGGTACTGTCTCGACTGCCCTCCCCAGATTCTGCTATTCTCCCCTTAACTTTAACATTCCATCCTTCATCATGGCTGTAAGTACTTGTCCTTAAACTTCTGCCACATTAGGCTACGTGTTACTCCCTTTCAATTCGTGAAAGAAGAATGCAATGTCTCCAATTCTATTGACACATGCTTCGGTTAGGCTCGAGATTCTGATAAGGGGCGTCGCTATATTGCTGCCTTGGACAACGCCCGTTGTCAGAACAAGTGGGATGAGATCCCCGAACTCATTCGCAAAGTGACCAAGCATGCACCTCAAAAGACTTGTAATATGCCCTCTTACTCGATCAGGTATCATTGGTAATCTGCAAAGAAGCTAATCGAGATGCGATAGGCCTGTTAGAGGTAGCCTCTGCTGAATATCAGGTCGCCTTACACTCCCCGCAACGGCCATCCTCTGCTCAATCTTCCTCCGCTTCCTCGTCTTCGGCGTTGCCAGAACTTATTCACCACCTTTTGTCTACCGTCGAGAAGGCAGATGGTCCCCCACAAGATATTTTTCAGGCTCAAGTTTGCCTAGGATGGGTACACTGGACACTCAATGAACCGGGGTTGGCAGTGGCTCGTCTCCCGGACGACTTCGATGAGACAGTTCATAAGCTCACAGGCACTGGAGAGGAGCTCTCGCCATGGACTAAAGTATGCATTGCTAAGGCATGCTATCTCAAAGGTATATATCTCTATTTCTGAGCGACTTACCAATTTCTAACGGTGATAGGTGCCGGGCAACACAAAGTATCCGGGTCCGCTAACGCACTGGACACTCTTCAGTCGCTTACTTCATGGTTGAACAGCCACAATGAGCTGTCTTCAGATAGCCCCCAATTTTTACACTGGTTCGAGCAACTGGCATCTGAAAGCGCACTGGTCGCTAGCACGGAAGCTCTCAAGACTATTCCCGTGATTGACGAAGCCCTCATGCAAACTGCGCTGAGACTCCTCCGGGCGTGGTCTGCTCACCCGCATGTTAAACAAGGGGTCTTGCCTCATACCGACGGCTTTGACGTATGTACACCAGGGCATTTAACGTGGAAGTCATACTATGACCTCTTATCAGCCACCCTGCAACACGATTTAGCTTACGTGCCGCCGGCAAGCGGGTCAGAACGCCAGCAGCTTGCTGCTGAAATACGGCGTGTGGAGTCGATGTACGAGAGCAGCCTTCTCCGTGAAACCAAATTTCCCACAGCATATGCCGAAAGCACACAGATCGAAGACTGGGTGAAGCAAGTAATCACGAACTGGGAAATACTCTGTGGACCTCAATGGACCGACGAAGACCTGGGTGAAGGGGGCCAAAACGCAGTGGGCAGAAATGTCCTTGATGTAAGTGTTAAGTGAAACCCATTAGTTGATTGCTCTAATGTCCTCTACACTAGATCCTGTATCGTGCAGCTACCAAAACATACCATTCCCACTTGATACTCCGGCGCCTATTTCACGTTCACTCAGCATTGGCAGACTTTGACCTCGCGCTAAAGGCTCTTGACTCGTATATCGAGATCGTTGTAAGTGCGAAAGAAAGGGCGGAGAAGTCGGCACAATATGGAGAATTGGAAAATGATGGCACTTTGTTGCGAACTCTTTCCGAAGGAGTTACTATGCTGTGCTGTTTTGGCTCGGCAAAAGAAGCCGAGAAAGCCAGGGAGTTGACCACTCTCATGAAGAAGTTCATAAACAAACATGTCCAAGAAGTTGAGGTTGATGACGAGGAGCAAGTAAGGCTTCTGGTCTCATCAGATACAAGCTCAACTCACTCTCAGGCAGTGTCTCCTACTGACATTGCCGCGGCTTATAGAGGTGTTGGTATAGGTCTTGCGGCCTGGGCTAACTGGACACCCGTGAATGAAGAACGTGACGATATACGGTCTGAAGCCATCGATTATCTGGAAAAGAGCACTGCGCCAGAGTTAGAAGACGAGAACAACTACTCATCTTTATATACGCTTGCTCTACTTCTCGCAGAAGATCGAGATCTGGATGGTGCGATTGACTGTGTCAAGACAGCGTTGACAGCGAAGACACTTCCAGGCACCGTTCCGGGGTATTTTACACGGGAACGAGACCTTGTTCCGCTATGGCATCTACTTGCCCTATTATTAAGTGCAAAGCATGATTTTGATATTGCTGAGCGCTCTTGCGAGGCTGCATTTGAGCAGTTCCCTGCTGCGGTCACGTCTCTAGCCCACCATGAGAGAAGGCCACAAAAACAACAGCAGGCCACCCAAGACCAGGCAAACGGCGCTGGGTTACAGCGTACCTTGATTGAGGAACTTCGAGGCCGCGAGAAAGAACGTATAATCGAGACGCGCATGACTCAGTTGGCGTTTGTTGAACTCCTGGAGGGCCCAGAGGCTGCTGTTAACCATAGCGAACAGCTACTTGGACTATTTGCAACTCTATTCGGCAATTTAGCCCTTGAAGCTGACGATAAGAAAACCTCCCAGGCAGATAACCTCAGACCCCCGTCGAGCTCCGCTCATACCGTCAAAAGTCTCCGCGGCAGTATATTTGGAAGGCATAAAGGCCCGCGCACACCAGACAGGCGGGTGCAATCTGGATCTGACCCTAAGACGGATGGAAATAACCCTTCGGTAGTACCGAACGAGTCGGACCAGGCGCCAACCATTCAGGTCACACACGAGGGTAAACACGTTGGCCACGAGAACCCTCAAGACTCGCGGAAATTGCGGAAACGCAGTAGTACCCTTAAAAAGGGAGAGAATGCATCTGATCCAAACCATAGCCACATAAATGGCGACGGTCCCGTCGCGAATGGCGTGGGAAGTGTAGAGCAACCGAATGGGGGAGAAACTCCGTCCCCAGACATGGTTGCGGCGGCAGTGTCTGCAGGCAAGGAACAAAGTGGAAAGCAGTCCTTGCGACCTGTAGCTCATAACATGAGCCATACGCGGCAGCCACCTCCCAAGGGTCACGCAAAGCAGCCGCCTGAACAGGATGTTCGTCTGCCAACATCATATGGGTTTGATTCTCCGACTCAAGCGGTGACTAAGTTCCCGCTTGCCCAGGCCCAAAAGCATGCCCTCTGTATCCTCGTCAAAATTTGGCTTCTCATTGCTGGGCTATATCGGCGAGCAGCGTTGTTTGACGATGCGTTTGAAGCGTGCGAGGAAGCTGCCAAGCATGTTTCACGGGTCGAAGCCCTTTGCGCGACACAAGAATCCTCCGCTAGATCATTCCGAGAGCGTGGCTGGGGTGCTCCAAAGAGTGCCGACGAACTTTGGGCCGACCTCCTTGCGGAACAGGCGTTCTTGTCGAATGCTCAGTCATACCCTCACAAAGCAATGGATCTGTTCGAACAAGCATTAATGCGCGACCTCGACCATCCCAAAGCTACCATTGGCCTGGCAAACCTTCTCCTTGACATTTGGGATCAAAAGATGCCGCTGCTGCCGCCAGAGCCTGAGATTGAACTTGATATGTCGATGTTAACGCTAGCGTCGCCCGAGAAACAAAGCCCAACATCGAGAAAGGCTGACGTAAAGGGCACAAATAGACAATCATTCGCTGAATCAATGAACACTGAACATAATCAAGCGCCACACGCTATCCAGGACGTGGATCCTAAACTCCTCAATCGCATCGCCGCTCGTGACAGAGCTTACGGTCTGCTTTCGGCCCTCACCAAACGCGGTAGTTCTTGGGACAACTCTGAAGCTTGGTATACACTCTCCAGAGCGTATGAAGCCGAGGGGAATACCGAGAAATTGAGAGAGGTGTTGTGGTGGTGTGTGGAGCTCGAAGACCGACGGCCAATCCGGCACTGGTCTAACCTCGGTTCTGGTGTATATGTACTCTAAAGAGCGAGAAATTGCTTTCTTGTATTTAAGCTTCTTGAAAGAGCACTTTCATCTTGCACTTAATAAGATACCTTCCTGTTATAGAACTGTGAATAGATACTACTTTATACATACGGGGAAATTTGCAAGGCGTTTAGATGGAACAACTCTGATGGAATCAAACGGCCAATAGGACAACTTTATTTACACATCACCCAACAATGGTCTTACAGTTGGGGTCAATCAGAACCAAGTTAAAGCTCAAGACTGCTCCTCATCTAATTACGGGGAGCGGCCACTGGGTCCCAAGCGGAGTACTTCGGTTTGACGCTGAGAGGAATTAGTGACCGTTCCTTCAAACAGGCTATCCTTCTTTCTCTTCTATCTCTTCCCAAAGGTCTCAAAAGGTGACAACTCACGTATTGTAGGTCTTGAAAGCAGCACGGGAGAGGGTGAGCGTAGGCCGATGCTCGGACAACTCCCAAGGGCGCACACCAGTCTGCAGGATCTTGTCCGCGGTAGGAGGCTGGTCGATCATGTAGGAGATCCAGGCGTGCCTATTCGAGAGATTTAGAAACCTGCCCTACAGCTGCCGGAAAATAGTAACATCAAATGGGATCCTCACCAGCCGGGCTCAATCTGTGAGGCGTCGTATTCCTTCTCCTTGTAGTCGACCCAACGTGTCCGGACTGCATCCCCAGTTAATACTGACCCAAGGATACCTTCTCTTAGTACTCACGAGGGAGCTCCTCCTCAAGATTCTCGAAAAACTTGTTGCCGAAGCGGTCGACGCCAATCAAGGTACCGGCTTTGGTATCACCTGAAGTCGCAATTGCGTCAGTAACCGACCAAGACCGGCCAATTGAGGGTAAACTATACCGATGTACTATTCACGCGAGGATCCGCTATGTAAGCATTCATCCATCACAATGTCCCGGGAGTTGCGTACCTGCATCTGGTGACCATAGTCCTGTGGAGAGATGAAAATTAGCTCTCGAATCCCCGCGCAAACAAACTCGAATCAGCGACGAACCTTGATACCGATCTTCCTCAGGTTCCGCAGCGTCCGAAGAATAGTCGACATCTTGGGCGAAGTGCAGCAGTAAGCTCGTCGTCCGTCTGCAATGCTAATCGAAGTGAAGCGGTTGGTTGTTCCGTTTGATCGATTGGAGTCGAGGACCCGCTCAATGCGGTCTAGTGCGGCGTGGGGTTTGCAATGTTTGCACCGATGCCCGTGATCGACGTCTGCGGACAGTTTACTTTCACCTCCAATTGAAGCCCCGCCTGCGAATTGCTGCTTTTTTTTTTCTGTTCTTGCAGGCGGCTACGGAAGGAGTAAAAAAAATGTTCGGTCGTGTCGGCGGTCAGACTTTCCGGTGTGTCGTGCGCAGGCCGATCGCGCGGAGGAGACTCTGTGAGCGCAAATTCTCGGCCTATACAACCAGCACCAGCCCCAGCGCGAATGCGTCCTCTACAGCTTCACCCTTGGGAAGTATAACTTCGGAGCTTGATCGGATTGCTCCCTGCTTTGAGGTTTCAGCTTCGCGGATCACAATCTTGGACTCTCCTGCTAGTTTCTATAGCACCCTCAAGGTACGTCTATATATGATCTAATCAAACGGAGATAGTCCGGGACTAATACGGCGGATTGCAGAGCAAGATACGAAAAGCCCGGAAGCGCGTCTACCTCTCTACGTTGTATATAGGAAAATCAGAGCACGAGCTCATTGAGACCGTGAACCAGGCTCTACATGACAATCCTGATCTCAAAGTATCCATTCTGACGGATGCCTTACGGGGAACTCGCGAGACGCCGAATCCCTCATGCGCTTCACTTCTGGCCTCGCTCGTCGCGGAACATGGCTCGGATCGGGTGGAAATCCGCATGTTCCATACCCCAAATCTCACGGGACTGAGAAAGAAATGGATCCCCAAAAGGATCAACGAGGGTTGGGGTCTTCAGCATATGAAGCTCTATGGCATTGACGACGAGATTATACTCTCCGGGTATGATATCTTTATCTACAAAGTTCATCTTCGGCACTATCTCCTAATGACCCATTTCCAGAGCGAACCTTTCGAACGATTATTTCACGAACCGCGTGGATCGATATCATATTTTTAACTCTAAAGAACTGGCCGACTATTACAGCCGTATCCACCACGCAGTATGCAGTCTGAGCTATTTAGTTCTACCAGATCCGCATAACACTGCTGGGTATCTTTTGGACTGGCCAACGTCTAACGGCACGGTATCCCCGTTGGAAGACCCCGAGAGCTTCATCTCCTACGCCTCTACGGTCTTGAGCCCTCTCATTCAACCAACTAAAACAAAACCCGCACTTGAACAGAAATCCTCAGACGGAACATATGTCTATCCCGTCGCACAATTCACCCCACTACTAAAGCCCGATACCTCTACAGAGTTCCCTGCAGTTACCACAATCCTCCGTATGCTATCAACCTCCTCCGCATTCTCTGGTGCCCGCTGGCTGTTCACCGCCGGCTACTTCAACATCCACCCTGTCCTCTCTTCTTTGTTGATCGCAAGCACCTCAACTTCACATACTGAATCCACGACACGTGGTACCGTGCTCACAGCTTCCCCCTGGGCCAATGGTTTCTACGGTTCCCCCGGTATTTCCGGTATGCTGCCCGCCGCCTATACCCATCTCTCTGCACGGTTCCTTGACCGGGTAGCTGAGGCACAGAGGACCAATTCCATCCAGCTGAAAGAATGGCGACGCGGAACGGTCGGGGAACCAGGTGGCTGGACTTACCATGCTAAGGGTCTATGGATCACGCTCCCCAAGGAAGAACACCCCAGCCTGACTTTCGTTGGGAGCAGCAACTACACCAAGCGTAGCTATAGCCTTGATCTAGAGGCCGGTGCGCTAGTCGTTACCGGCGATCGGGACTTGAAGCGAAGACTTGGTGCAGAGAGCGATCGGTTACAGAAGGAGTCTCAGGCTATCTCAAGAGACGACTTGAGAAGAACCGAACGCCGTGTTAGTTGGAACGTGCGCTTGGCGATGTGGATTGTCGAGAAAGTCGGCGGCGCCTTATAAGGTGTAGCAGCCATTCAGGGCTGGACTTATTACGAGGACAATATTCTATAGTATTGATAGAACTTGTATACCCATGTACTTATATGTCATATGTACAATGTCTTATATAGAGTAGAATGAGTGACCTTTAACCGGAATGCTCTGGGAGAAAAACTCACCCATTCAAAACCTACTTTCTAACGGATAAAAACAACTAGCACAACTATGGATTAAATAGTTGTGAAAAGATATGAGATATGAGATTAAAGAAAGTAGCTAAGCCAGACGGACGCCATCTAACTAAATAGGTATGATAAAAAGAAAAAAAAGACCAAAGATAAGCATAGCTATACAAACCAATGCAAGGCCAAGAAAGCTTTTCAAAAACCTCCACAACTCACCCACCAAGAAGAAGATATTATAATTATAATATAGAAAAATAAAGAGTATGCAAAGACCAAGACCGTACCGGTAATAGCAGCCGAGTACTCAAACTCGAACCACACAGCCTGTCCACCGAACGCGATGCGTTTACTCTCCTCCGTCGGATGAGCAACACTAGTCTTCTGATCTCGCACGGGCGACTCCTCGCGGTCTGGCATGATTGGTGGATCAATCGCATAGGTGATTGGCGTCCACATCGAGCTACAGATGATGAAGGCAAACGGCGGCTAGAAAGCATGCGTGATGAGACAGATGATGTCTTTGGCGCTCCAGTGTAACATACACGAAGGCGAGATGGAAGAACACCATGTAGTTGAGGAACACCGCCCGAAGACGGATGAACATGTTCTTCGTGAGCTTCGGGTCGCGCTCGTTAAGTGCTGCGGCTAGGGATCCGGTGGGGTTGAAGGCTTGGGTTTGGCCGCCGAGCCATTTGGGGAGGATGAAAGAGCGGACCATGCACACGGCGATGTAGGGTGACATCCATAGCTGGAATCAGGAGTTTCTTTGCCCGTGTGGTAGCCTGCTGGGGAGAATAATGTTGCTTCGCACAGTCGGTTGACGATGGTGGAGACGAAACAGGCCCACATGAGCCAACGGAGTTGGTCTTCGTTTGCGTACGCGACGAGATGCTTGCCCCACAGGAGAATAATGGGAATGGCGAATAGAGACGCAGTCAGGAGGAGAGTAGACAAGTTGATAATTGCGTAGATGAATCCGGAGAAGCGTTGAGCGAAGGTCAGATGCCGGACGCTCTCATCCCAGAGGCAGAAATTCAGCTTGGCAGCTGTGCCCACAATTCCTATCGCCCAGCGTGTACGGTGCTTCAGATGTCCACCGTAGTCTTCTGACACGGACCAAAACTGTAGGGTTCGTGGATGTATACCGTTTTCCAGCCTTTCCCGAGCATAAGTGTTGAAGTCGCGACATCTTCAACCCGGGTTCCCAGAGGGAAGTTGTCACTGTCCTCCAGAGCCTGGCGGCGAACAACATAGCCAGATCCAGTACACCAGGCCACCCCAAGGGCATCTTTGATTGGCTCAATGATGTTCACAAAGAAGTCCAGACTCTGCCCGAGGGGATCGGAGGCTGGTATGTTGTAGAAAGAGTTGTGGGGGGCACGAGAGGGCTACCTTAGGATCCAGCAGGATATGGGGGATACAAGCACGTAACCATTCCCACTCAGGGATCTGAACGATGTTAGTTGGTCAGAGGTCAAAGGTCAAGCAAGATAAATGAGGTTACTAACCATATCAGCGTCTAGTGTTGCCATCAATTCACTTGCTCCTCCAGGCAAATATTGCACCTGATCGAGGCCGTTCTTGAGGTTGCCAGGGATCTTTTCTTGTACCATGTAGAAGATGTTTGGATACATGGTAGCCAGCTCACCAATAGCAGATGCCATGGATGCAGATCTGGAGTCGTCCAGTATGATAACCCTGAATTTGTCAAGGGGATAATCTCGATCAAGGGCACCGCGGACCATATCGAGAACAACAGCATCGTCTTCTCCGCAACAGGTGACAAAGACATCCACAGAGGGGAATTTGTCTCCAGTCAGCCTAAGCTTAGGCCTGGTTCTTTTCTTCCATGCCATGATGGTCCAACAGTTATGGATCAGAGAGGGTATAGCCACTGCCATCTCAATGGCGACAAATACCCATGCTCCGCCATAGTAGATATCAACCGACCTTTGTGCCATAACAATATAGTAAATACGCAGATCAAGATAAAATAAATACACGGCTGTGTTGATCATGTAAAGAGGGGAGCGAGGGTGAACCCATCGCCTCCACGCGGTCGAGGTATCGACATCATCTCGATTATGAAGAATAGCTATATTCGAAGGGCCCGCGGGACTAGAATGGTCCTAGTTAACTTGCGCTTCCTTATACTAGAATTTGCCCAGGGGAAGTCCGTTAGCCTTAACATGATCACCCATAAAAGCATTAGAAAGAAGAGAGTAAATACCAAGGACGGTGAAGAGCCTGAAGGAATATTTGTGAACGAGCTGGCCGTATCAGAACTCTCCATGGACGCATGCCCGGGCGGGATTGGCATCACGCCTTTGGTATATTCGTCTTGACATCCGAAGCTGTTAGGGTTGTGTTCACATTCATAGATGTTCACGGTAGCTATTTTCTCTTGATCTTGATGACCCTCGTGGTGGTCAACCATCTTGAGACGGGCTTTGAGTTCAAGCCTTTACTGTGAAAGTATAATTGCTTAAATTATTCTCTGAGGACCAGGGACATTACAGGCAGGTTGCCAGAGAGTTTTATACATCGTTCGATAGCTTCCTATTAGCCAAACAACATTTATCAGCCGCAAAGGTCGCTTACACAAATCCCTATAGTATGGGTAGCCTATCTGTTGATTTCACATGCAGAGCCTCCACCCATGTTGCTGCCGGCAGTGTGAGATGTAACTCCTTCCGAATGGCACGTCAAGACTACATCCAGCAGCTGGTTCGGGTTCAGCGGTTTCGATACATACTCATCCATCTCGGCTCCGAGACAATCGCCAGTGATGGCATCAGCTGTAACCGCAATTATTGAGGCACGCTTTGTGTTGTGGGTTCTCTCGTAATTTCGGATCTTGGAAACTGCCTCGAACCCGTCCATTACCGGCATTTGGATATCCATGACGATCACGTCGAACTGTCGGCTTTGGTATGCGTGAAGCGCCTGAAGACCGTTTGTAACGGCTGTAATATCACTGGTGCACTTCTCAAGTGCCTTGACCGCCACCAGTCGGCAGATATCATTGTCTTCTGCTATGAGAACTGATAGGGATGTAGTTTGGCTAGGTTTGGGGTGTCTAGGGCGATCCTGTAGAGCGCTAAGTAGGGAACTCAGAACACTTTCGGCAGAACAGGGGGAAGTGATGTATGATACGATACCCAGGTCAAACGCTGATCTTATGGAGATCTTGAGGGAATTTGATGGTGTGCGACTGAACAACACAAGAGGTGTCGAGCCGAATTTTCCATGAGCCGTAGTGTGCAGGCCATTTCAAGAGTTTCCACTATAAGGGCATCTGGAAGCTGCTGTTGGTCCCGGTGCTCCTGGATTTGGATATCATGCTGGTTTAATACACGCACTTGAATATCAAGTTCGGCAATAGTCTCGCATATGGGGTGTCTCTCTTGATCATCTGATGTGATGTAGAAGATAATGAAGTCTCTCTGAGGTGTCGTCCGGCCAGTCATGGCAGTAGACGGACTTTCGAGCTTCAACGGACAGGTAAAGGAAAAAGTGCTGCCCATGCCTACAGTAGACTGAACCCAGATATCACCACCCATCAAGCTGACGAGCTTTCTGGATATAGCCAAGCCAAGACCTGTACCGCCAAATTGCTTAACCACGGAATCATCTGCCTGTTGGAACTTGTCGAAAATGAGTTCTAACTTATCTTGTTGGATACCGACCCCAGTATCGGCAACAGAGAACTCTAGGATGCATTCGTTATTGACACATGTCCGTGGATGGGCGGTCGTTACGGATAGTTCAATTCTCCCATTCGTGGTGAATTTGACTGCGTTTCCGACCAAGTTGAAGAGAAGCTGGCAAAGGCGGTTTGGGTCCCCAATAGCTTGTTGGGGCACATGACTGCCAACTTCGTAGGTCAGGTCAGTCTTCTTCTTGCTCGCCTCAACTGCCAGCGGCTTGAGCGTGTTCAGGACTGTTGCGCCAAGATTGAATGGAATACTTTCGATCGCCATACGACTGGCTTCTATCCGTGATAAATCAAGAACGTTGTTAATGTTTGCCAGCAGGCTTTTGCCCAAACTATGAATCAGATTAAAAGCGTCGTGAGCAGCTGTTGGCAGACAGCCCGCTTCCAGTCCCAACTGAGCCATACCCATGATACCATGAACGGGCGTGCGAATCTCATGGCTCATGGTAGCAAGAAGTTCGGACTTGCTATGGTAAGCCATCTCCACAGCTTTCCTGGCAGAATCACAATGTTCCACCCGTTTCTCCACAATTGAAGTCATGGAGCGAATGCTGTTTTTGAGCTTGATTATCTCGTTAACCGTGCGGATGCCGATATGCTTTTCGAAACCATGCAATAACGCAGCATCTGGTAGCTCCGCAAAGTAACGACCCATGCTAGAGCCGATTGTGGATGCATCGATAACTTCTGCGTCGATCTGCTGTTCCGTTGTCTCTTCTCCCTCCGATCCGCCGCGGAATGGTTCGTACAGATCCAAGCTTCGAGGTAGTTCCGCCATGTCATCATCGAGGTTGCATGAGATGTTGGCCGTATCGTTAATCCATTTCGTCATAGGGCGCTCTGTTGATGTACTGTCCTGAACAGATTCATTCGGGATATCAGCCGGGGCCTCCCTACTTTGCACCAGGGACTGAGTTCGCCTATTAGTCCATTTGCCTACTCCCTTTTCCAAGACACGCTGTTCTATGGCTGTCATATCTATAGATGTGGCCAAGCAAACTGAAGTTGTGACACTCACCTCTGAGAGTTTGTTCCTGGAGAACGCTGCTATTTCTTGCCTTGTTCGACATATCTTCTTGGCGACAAGGTCGTCAGCCCTCCTATAAGTTTCCAGCTTACATCTTACCGACAAGTAGTCAGCTTCCACTTGTGCTAACGCTCTCTCTGTATGTGTAGATTGAGTCGCCGCATCAAGGATAGTAGAGAGAACTTCTCGCTGGATTAGAATACTCTCCCCCTCTTGGCTTAGGGCGTCGTGAATATGCGACACAACGGCATCGAGGGGCGATTTTCTGGACATACTTAGATTCACCATCCACTAAGCTATCTGATGCGTCGCTGTCTCCGCCGAGAATCCGGTATCAAAGGGCAGCTTCTGGCGTGCTGTACCTGGCACAGTGGACACCTTTGCTCGCTAGTTTTGTAACGCTGCCAGAGTCAGCCAATAACATTGAGTTGAATTGATTTCATAGATGCTATCCAGACAACTCACCCCTGGATATCCACCGAACTGTTTCCTCGGTACTCCAGAAACCCAGACCTGGGGTGAAGAATGCTAGTTTGTGCGGAACATTCTGGCTCCTGAAATAGCGCAGAGCATCAAAGTTTCATCATCAGCCACCCTGATGTTTCCAACCTTGATCTCAATCAGGAACTTGAAGTGATAGGGATGTTACTCTGTTGGATATCAACTCAAGCAAAGAAAGTGGAAGCAAATGGGCAAACCCACAAGGCTCCCCTCGAGAGGTGCCAAAGATTTTCAGTGTCGGATGCAACTCCGAGCAGAATACTAAAATAGTACAGCATGACATCACATCAATCTTCTAGGCCCTTTTTCTCGGGATTCTAGGAAGTAGAATGCTTTAGCTTCCATCTGATTTGCGCCTCATCCCGGAAGGGCTCCCTAAGCGACAGTGGGCTTTACGGCACTAGGGATGTATAAAGATACGCAGGTGACCCAATCCATCCTTACTAGAACTTCAGGGAAAATGATCCGCCTATAACAGAGAGCCTTAAACAATTAGCCATGAGGATGGCCCATCGACAAGCACCGCGTGGCTTGCTTTCTTCCTTGCTCTGACATCATTGTCGATCCACCAGGCTGATCTAGTGGTTCCTTAGCCTAATCTCAAGAATGTTACTCTAATTAGTGATCAAGGATTACGTCCACGAATTGTTCGTTCTTATTACAGCATGGGTCAGCATCCACCAAGTCGGGATTTGGGCTTCGGTTATTCGGTGTGGTTGGATTGCAATGAATGAGGGCAAAAATAGAAAACAAGGTGCAGAGAATGCAGGATTCCTGACACTGCTTTGATTCTTTCCCCTTCCTCGCTTGGTAATGATCATCCCTCGTCTTTTGCTGACCCGACACATCAAAGATCATACCTTTTCATTCATGCATTATGGTCTCGCAAGTACCTCCATATATTGGACTTTTCCAGTTGGTATAGCTCTCCCTCAAGTTTCCTCTTTTGAAATCCTTCAGGCCCCAGCCAGACTATACGGAGGAAGCTGATCAGCACGAACGCTATGACACCATTCCTTACTTGTATATCCACGATTGGAAAAGACTCCAAAATAACATACAGACATGAGACATGGTATTGACTTCCCAAACAAAAGAAAAAGTCTTGTCCAACGCCGAAATGAATGCACCATCACCAAACCGATAGGGCACCAAACATCATGTGCCAACAAAACCGGACGCAACATCAACAAGTTGCAACCATCCCCAAAACTCAGTCAATGTCTGTCTTCTGCACCCCGATCGGAAGTTAAATCCGATCAAAATAAGACAGGCAGTCTGATAGGCCCATCGCCCTCTGGTACCTCGCAACTAGTATCCGTGTGGGTCTCCCTATTTCGGACTGGAAAGAGGGTCTGGAAGCTTCCCTGCAATTTCGACTGGTGCTGATCTCCTGGCGGCCCGTTATCGTTAGGCATACATTTCTGCTGCCCAGCGTCTGCGATAGAAGCCTTCCTCGCTCGTTCAGGGTGCCGCATTGGAAGGGCGTGACGTTCTGGATTCTTTCAGGGGTAAGTTGGGCCCCGCCGCTGGGTGGCGTTGGAGATTGGGGTTTGGCGTTGGGTTGCTTTGTCTGATCCATTGTAGACTTGCTGTTTTATGCAGTGCCTTGTGCAGCGATGTAAGAATAGTGTTTCTCTGCGGTGGAGGGCCATTGAGTTTGATTTGGTCGTCGAAGTCAATGCTACGTGCCCTCGTTTGAAAGCGTAACCCGGCTTAATCAGTTATGCAGAGATGTACCAACATAGCTAAAACATCCTCAAGCCTCCCATGTTGAAAATTTCAAATATCCTAGGACGTTCGGAATGGATTCTCAATCTATTTTGTCGCCGAGGGCATGCTCCAGATGCTCCTCTCTATACCGAACTTAGTGCCGTGGTCAATGCGAAACCAAGCTTGCAGTCTCCAAGCATTGTTACCCTGAAATAAAAAATAACATGAAGTATATTCAAGCTAGATCCATGAATTTCTATACAAAGGAAACGCGTTGATACAAAAGAAACTCGTTATATACACACCCCCTCCAAACACCATGCTCACAAAAACTTTTCAACCGTAACTAGAGACACTCAAGTCCTCAAATCTCTGGCTCCCTCCGATAAGGCCTGACTTCCCACCGCCCAGGGTGGGAAGAATTCACTCCTGGCCTGGCCCGTCGCATCATACTGCGCCAGGTCTAGATCCGGGGTCTGAGCTGGCGGCTGCAAGGTGCATTCGACCGTCTCGACCGTCAATCTGGCTCGCACCGGTCCCGGTGGCGTACGGCGAGGACCACTTTCGCCCGAAACGCTTCCATCGCTCTCCTCGTTCTCCTGGAACCAACTGTCTTCACTGGCAATTGTCTCCAAGTCCCACGCCTGCTTACCAGTCTTGCACGGGTTGAAGGGTGATGAGAGACGCTGTTTCGGTTCGTCGGAGTGTGCTTCTGATATTTTCTCGGATTGTCGTCGACTGTCGCTTTCCATTGCGCTGCTGGTGGTCGTGATGTTGAGCTTGCTCGGTTTCCGTTCGAGCTTTTTGGCAGATGCTAGGTCTGGTCGCGCTGAGCCGGCGGGCGTTTTCTGCTTAGGCTTCGGCAAGCCGACCGTAACTTGTGGGGTGCCTGGTCTGTCTGGGATGGAAGACAACGCCGTGGATGCTGGTGGTGGACGCGGCTTGGGCACTTCACGGGCTGCTAGTGTAGCAGGCTGAGGGGTTGGCGTGTCGACCGGCTTCTGGACAGGAGGTTTCTTGACTGGAGGATCAGGCTGTTCAACTATGGGGCGAGGCCTGTAACTGGCCGTCAACGGGTCGACCGGTGAGTTCGCCCGGGAAAGCTCGCTTGGTACCTCGGTGATTGGGGTCAGTAAACCCGGATCATCAATAATCGATAGGTCGTCCTCGCTAGGCAGAAAGTTGAATCGGGAAGCCGGTAGAGACGGCAACGGATGCGAGGGCATGTCGGGTTGTGAGATTCTGAGGTCTTTCAAGCAAAGTTCCCCAGGCTTTTTGCTCGCGGTGGATTTACGTAATGGGGGTTTGTCTTCTGTCGTTGGCACACGAGGCACCTGGTGAGATGGGACTGGGGGGAGGGCGTCATCAACTGAATGAAGAGATTCCGGGTCTGCCCCAGCGCCCGGCCATGGGGTTGGAGGGCGTGATCTCAGCTGGTCGACGGCGCTTTGGGGAGGCGTATCACTGGGATCACCCAGTCCTTGCGATTCGAGGAATCTTTTGACTTTGTCTCTGGGGCCAACGGCAAATGGCGGGAATGTGGTCAGGCTATCGGCGTCGGCCTGCTGGGGCTCTGAGTGGCCCACTGGGGATTCTGACGGGATACCTGGTGAAGCATGCTTAGGGGCCGTGGGTGGTTTGCTTTCCATGGACGTCTGCGTGGTAGAGACACGTTCGTTGGTTCGTGGCTTGATCGGAACCGCTGGCTGCTTCGGCGATGTCTCCTTAGGTCTGTCGACTTTACCGTCCTTTTCGTTTCCCCGGGATGGCACTGAAGGACGTTTGCCTTGTACGGAGTGAGAAGCGCCCGACTTCGAATGTGTCTCACCTGACAAGGCTGGCTTGGCTGGCGATGCCAGTACTTTCGAAGTAACGCCTCGCGAGGCTTTCAGTGCCGAAGACGAGCCTGGTACCATTGTCTCGACGCTGTGTGGCCGCCCGTTCTCGTCTCCCGGAGTACTTCTGCCCGTTGCTTAAAAACGCAGTCTTCTGCTGAAAGGCTGAACAAGCTACAGATATTGGCTGGAATGGGGAAATATAGCCATGATATTGCGCGATCCGGCTGCCTTGTCTGGCAGGAATGTGCTAACCCCCCCCCCCGTACCTGGCCATAATGATGCCCAATTGATTGACGAGTCGCGTACACACACACACACTCCACTATAGCTCAGCCCAAACCACTCAATCACCGGCGAGAAAAATCAGGCTGATCGTTTTCATGACAGAAGGTGATTGATTGCTGGGTCGGTGGAGCTAGGGCGTCAACGGAACAAATGTTGGGGAGCGCAAGCAGCACCGAATAGCTCCCTGCAGGTGATTTCCAGAAGCCTAACTGGCTCCACTGAGGCGTACCAGCGACTTAGCGCCTGGCTCTATAACTTCTGTTCCGTAGAATAGGGTTATTCTAGCGTAATATGTTGGTGGATGGCCGGCCAATGGAGATATCCATCCTCACGCCGAGAGAAAAAGGGGCTCCCGAGACACACAGTGGGACCCGAAGAGACAGAACGTTAGAGCCCATGTGTTTGGCCCACCCACGCCGAGACCCAAATGCTCTCAATTTTTCTATCGGGTTTCTTCGTTTGGTCGCTATTCCTTCGTAGTGGGATGGCCTTCCCATGCTCAAAAATGGCCACGTTGGACGGGACTATCGGTTTTCTGGTCTTATCCACCGTGGTGCCCACCAGGCGACAACCCATTCTTCCTACAGAGATGCCACTGAATTTTCCAACTGAGGCCTTCTTCGAGTACGATCGTAATTATCAAAGCATTATTAATCCGGCAATCCATGAATTATCCGCGTCTACCGCGGGCAGTGTTGTTTTCTTTGTTGAAATATCCCCATCTATCCTCTCTACGAAGGAAACAGTACTCAAACAAAACTAGACAATAAAAAAAGATAGAAAACAGACACATCACTTCCCAATGCACAGCTATGCATGCATCTGTGTATGCATCGCAGACGCCATGAAGAGAAGTACACCGTAAGCTGCAGCATCAAAGATTCAAAGCTATATCAGGAACTGCCCAACCCAAATTCCCTTTCTGGCAATGTGACCCAAAGCCCGCGTCAAGACAGAGAGAAACTTAGCTCTCTTCTCGACGGCCAGCCTTGGATCCACCTGTTGGTGCTCGTCCCCTGGTTCCGAGCTCCTTTGCTCCACAGCTCTCTGCCCAACCGGTGGGGACTTCGCGGCCGTGGTCCAGATTCGGTCGGTCTCTGGCGGTTTCAGCTGCGGTGGTTTTGTCTCTCAAGAGCTCATTAGGGTCAATGAATGGAAGTCTTCTGTGTGTTGGGCGGGGAGTGTGAGTGTCTTCTTGTTTACCTTTGTAGTTAGTGTGGTTGTGGTTGTCGGGCTTGCTGTCTACTTCGTGGGAAGGTCAGTAAGAGCCAGTTTCATATGTAACAGATGTTAGGGACTCAGTGGTCCAAGGGAGTAGGCGCTCGGTCACCATTTACATTTCATAGGAGCTGTTCTAGTTGAGATGGCGGTGGACCATCGATCACTCGTTGAATCCCAAGGAATAAAGCCCTGGTTGATTGTCTGTTTCACTGGCAATAGAAACACTAACCCAGATACATGATGCCATCCTGCTACAGCAAAGTAGCCTCAAAGGAACCCCATACCATCGTCCTTCCAAGAACAGCCCCATAAACCGTCATTACTTCAACCCAGTAACAACCTTCTCGAGAGCATCCCTCTCCTCCTGCTGGAACTTTGCAAACGGACCCTCCGCCGCCAACTTGCCAGTACACTCCTCATGTTTACGCGGTACCATGATCTTTTCAGCAATCTTCGGTTTCTGCGCAGGTGCATCTTGCCCATTCTTCCCCCTTTTAATGCTTTTCCATTCCATACCAAGAGCCGCGAGCAGTCCAGCAAGCGAGACCCCCATTGCAGCGAGGAAGATTTTCGTGCAAGCTCCGTTGTACGCCTGCTGCACATCAACCATATATTCAGGCGGGACGGTGGAAGCCAGGTTCGTAGCGCCACTACTGAAAATCTCCCTTGGATCTCGACCCGGAATGTCGGAGAGCTGAGAGACGAGGTAGTTGCTAAGAATCGATTGACCAATCGTGGCAAAGACACTACCACCCAGCTGCTGGAGGAAGAATACGAGTGCGATTCCGATCGGTACATCAGCCAGCGGGAGGACTCTCTGTACGACGAGACCAGACACTTGCATTCCAAAGCCCAGGCCGAAGCCAGATAAGAATTGATAGCCGATCCAATGGGATGAGTCGGTGTCGCGGTTGAAAGTCGACATTAAACCCAGTCCAACCGACAAGATACACGGACATAGGTACATGGCTGGGACATAGTATCCGGTCTTTTGTGTCATGAGTCCTGCTAGGAAGGTTGCGACTACCATGCTGAGCATGACCGGTAAGGTGCAGATGCCTGACTGGACGGGGCTGACGAGTTTGACGGTTTGGACTGATCTTCCCGTTAGCTGGGTATCGATTCATGAAGAATAGGAAGTTGCATTTACACCAGATTGGAAGGAAGAATACCATCAACATCATGGAGCTCGACACAAAGAAGGTGTAAAGTGCTGCACAACACATGCTTCTTTGAGTGATCACCCTGGCTGGTATCGTTGCCGTCTCGGGCCTCAGAATCTGGACGGCCGCAAACAGCAAGATTAAGACACCGAACGAAACGAAGAGTGCAATTATCCGACTATTACTCCATGAGTAGGTTGAGCCGCCCCATTGTAAAGCTAGCAACAGAGAGACAATTGCTGGCACGAAGAAAAACATGCCCAGAGGATCGAGCTGCTTGAAATGAGTTCTAATGGAAGCAGGTTCGCAGTTTGACTTCGGTGGCTTCCAGATCAAGAACAAGAGAAGTATCGTTACTGCTCCGATAGGAAGATTGATGTAAAAGCACCATCTGGTCACTCGAGTCAGTCAAGGATGATTTCCCAAGTTAAGCCCTAGATTGGAACATACCTCCAGGTGACCGAGCTGGTGAAGGCTCCGCCGACCAAGGGTCCCATAACGCTAGAGACACCAAAGACCCCACCAAACATTACTTGAAACATAGGTCTCTTGTGCAGCGGTATCATGGGTATTATGATAAGCATGCATCCCGAGAAGACCCCTGCGGATGCGAGCCCAGCTACAGCACGTCCAGCGATGAAGGCGCCTGAGTTGGGGGCCGCGCCACAGATGGCAGAGCCGATTTCAAAAACTACAATTGAAAATAGGAACACACGCTTCATATCATAAGCTCGGTATATACGGCCATAGAGAAGCTGGGAAGTTGCTCCCGTGAGCAAGAATGCCGAACCGTACCAGCCAATGTCTCCCAAACTATCGAACTCATCCGTGATCCGTGGAATAGCAGTACTGACAATTGTCCGATCCAGTGTGACGATAAAAAGGGAGAGAAGGTTACATGATATGATTAACCAGAATTTGAGAGTCTGGGGCTGGTAAAGGCTCTCAGACTCTCCTTCTGGTCTTTGCCTTGCCAGGCTCGGCACAATGCTCTGCTTCTCAACATCTGGTACTTTGTCTGAGCACATCTCCTTGTTTTGGTCCACCTCAGGGTGATTGTCGTGAGCTGAAGATGCCATTTGGCTGTTGAGGCACAAGGGAAGGTATTTGGTGTGATGAGTGAGCTTACTCTGGATGAGTCCGGCCTGCTGCACCTTTAGTCTGAAGCCTCGTTAGATTTGATTCCGACTATAAACAGATTGATGATGTTCTTCCCAGGAAAGACCTATCCATGTTATATAGGCCAGCCTATGACTCTGTCCGTCCGGAACCTCAAGCCGTGCCCCACTGGCCACAGAGTAAGATCCAGTCATACTTCGCAAGAAAATCCCATCCAGCATAGCAAACCCCACAAAATCGGTAACAAAGCAACAATCTTGACCCGATATTATGATAAGTTATAAGCCTGCTAGCCCTAGGTGTATCCACATTGGGACTAGCGTCGGAGACCATCCTTTGCAGTTTCGGGACCGAAACCACTCCTCCGGGACCGACAACATCATCAGCCACCCGCTCATATACAACCTACTGATCTTCATCCTGACTCAATCAAACGCCTTGCCATGAGTACTCTCACCAGAGGCCATTCATGTGTGCTGTGTCAGCAGCGCAAAGTCCGTTGTGATCAGCAGAAGCCCTGTGCCAACTGTGTCAAGGCACAAGTTGAGTGCCGGGTTTTGCCTCCGTCGCTTCCTAAGAGGAGAAAGAAGAAGTTGCATGAGCGAGATCTGATTGACCGGCTTAAGAAGTATGAGACTCTTATGTCTCAGCATGGAATTGACTTCGACTCGGTCCTGGCAGGCGGGGACACTGTCGCCAGTCTCGAGCATGGCCGCAGTGGATCGGGAACTGCTGCAGAAGGTAGTGCACAGAATCATAAATCACAAGAGCATGGCAAGTAAGTCTAATCTGGCTGTTATCGTTCTTTCCGATTGCTGTGTTATTGATGCTTTCCAGACGCTCGAAATGGTTTCCATTTTACCATGAGGTTCGTCCATGAACACGGTCTCTCATTCTGGTCCTCTACATCACCAGACAGGTGACTCGATATGAGGGATTGAATGTACCAAAAATCTGAATTTATCCAGTACTGCGCAACCGATGATATGCTGCGCGATACGTCCGACGATGAGAACGAGCGGCCCACTATCCATCATTCATTCGATACCATGTTTGGTGATACCGATGGCTTCCCATTCAATGCCTGTGGCTCGCCGGCCGAGATAACCGATTTACACCCGCCGGGGATCAAAATATTCCAAGCATGGCAGGCTTATATCAACAATGTAAACCCTCTCTTGAAGATTAGTCACGTTCCAACCCTCCAGTCACAAGTGGTCGAAGCAGCAACCGACCCTGCTAAGATTCCCAAACCGCTCGAAGCGTTGATGTTTGGCATCTATCTCATCACTGTGACTTCTCTGACAGATGAAGAGGTGAAAGGCACCTTTGGTGAAGAAAAAGCGGTGCTCCTGTCCAGGTATCATCAAGGCGCACAGCAAGCCTTGATAAACGCTGGCTTCATGAGATCAAATGAGCTTATGGTGTTGCAAGCGTACTTTCTGTACCTGGTACGTCGACCTTGGTGCTTTCCCTACATTCTTGAATAAACCTTTTCTCCAGTATATGCTCCCATCGACTCATTTCCGCTATAGTTTAGTGTAGTACAATACGTCGATCCTCGGTCTCTTTTCTGCCTGATCGGCATTGCAGTACGTATAGCCACACGTCTCGGCTTACATCGAGACGGCACTCAGCTCGGCTTGTCACCATTCGAAACAGAGCAGCGGAAACGACTATGGTGGCAGATTGTCGCTTTTGACAAACGAATTGCAGAGGTAACTGGATCGACGATTACGGCGCTCTCTTCCTCTGGAACCGACTCCGGGCTCCCCCTTAATGTGAACGATGCAGACCTACACCTCCACGCCAAAGAACCCCCAGTCCCCAGCACTAGCGCGACTGAGATGCTCTTCTGTCTCATACGCATTGAACTCACAATGGCAGCTGTTCCTAATGGCATGCGATCCAATCCTGCGGCTCTAAACAATCTGTTCGCGCAACACCACGCAACCCCCTCGCCAGCCGACGCCACTATTCAAGAAACGAACAGCCAGCCTCCGACAAGCGGTCTCGATCGCTACTGTGCACACATGGAGTCCACGTATCTAGAACACTGCGATCATAGAATCCCCGTTCAGTTCTTTGCTCTGATGATGGCGCGTGTGTCGCTTTGCAGACTTCGAATTGTCAACTTTATGTCTCGGGGCGTGTCCGCCACCACTCTCGAAGACCGGGAGCGCGACGCCCTCTTCATTACTGCTACCCAAATGCTTGAGTACGATAATGTTATCCATACGACCCCCAGTCTACGCAACTTTCTTTGGTACACTCAGCTACTAGTCCCCCTGCCAGGCTATGTCTTCCTCGTCGGTGAGCTGCGCCAGCGCACTACGGGCGAGCCATGTGAGCGTGCATGGAAAGCCATCTGCGGCAACTACAACCACAGGGGCCTAGTCCGCAAGCTGAGAAGTCCCATGCATGTTGCCTTCGGTCGCATGCTCCTAAAGGCCTGGGACGCACATGAGGAGGCCGACCTCCAACTTGGGAGGAATGTGCAACCTCCACAGATGGTTACATTGCTGCGTGAACATGTGGCCCAGCTATCTTCAGCATCGCAATCAAAGCCAGATGTGGCAGGCAATGGTAGCACAGACTCTGTGAGGACCACAACCGGTGACTCCGTCACTGGAACCAGAATGTGGGCTGGCGGCGATAACCCTGTACTAAACAGAATGAGCCGGCCATCCGAGATGGTTTCCAACGAAGAATTGATTCTCCCGTCTCTGCACAGCGCGAATCAAATGAATGATGAGGTTCTGCCCGACCAGAATGACGCCGACTGGTCATATCTTATGCAACCTGATGTGCTGGGGGAGCTTTGCGGCAATACTGGGCCAGCTTTTACGCACAGCGGTGGTTTTTATTATCCCTTTGGGCCATGATGATAGCCGGGAACCACTGAGGATTCCTGGCAGAAGTCCCGGTTCAATTCAAGTGCTCCTCCCCACACCCAGGAAATGATCGGAACAGGTAAACTGACACCACGTTGGATTATAATCATGTGTCGAGCTCCCCGTCTGACATGCTCCAGATATCAAGGTGGGAACTCACCTCTCATTCGTGTCCTGTGTCACTACATCCGAAGCTGGCTACATACCTAATTGCTAGTGCAGGTACTGAACCGGCCCAGAGATACCGTACATCCGAGTCTTCGAGATATCCCATAACACGTAAAGGGCAGAGTGCCAGCTCCTCCTCCAAAGGCATTATGTGTGCACTAGATCTGGGGTCTTCACGGTGATAGCGTCTACCCATGTATCAGCCCCTGCAATCCTGTAACTACACCTCCCATGGTGGATGATATCTTGCGTAAGGAAGGTGGAGGGGCATAAGTCTATACTCGGCGACAGGTTATCGATAACAGCACGCCAAGTACAACATTTTGTCGCGTATCCATTGCGAGAGTCTAGATCAACGATTTCAGACAGTGGTGTGGACCGTTATACTGTGCAATATACACAATGTCATCTATAGCCCTAGCTATTGGATTTTCATGCGTGCAAGTTCAGGTAAAGCCCATTTCTGCATCCATTCGCATCCCATGACTTGCACAGCCGTCAGCCTCTCCTCGGGCCGAAATGCCAATATAGTATGTAATATAGCGAACCAGGCAGTCTTCTCCTCCTGTCCTATTTCACTCATGTCAAACTTCCGTCTTGGTTTCTGCACTGCATCGTGGAATCGCTGCACTAGTGGCCTTGCGGTGGCGCCACTGTGTCTTGTGCTATTTTTATTGAACCACCGTGCACGAGAGTCCCACTGTAACTACCATTGCGGCGGCAGCTTTCCGAGGGTATCAACTTGCTCCTTAATTACCCAGTCAGCTGAAGGATTAAATCCTTCAAAGAGCGGTTGCTGGGCGATGATTGTCCAAATCGTACATGCCAGAGTCCAGATATCAGAAGGAAAGGAAAGCGGCGTTTCGGATTCAAAATGGGCTTCTGGGGGAACTAGAGTGTCCAGGACATTCGAGTAATGTCGCTTACTACTAAGTGGCGTAAAGGACTCTCTGAAGTCAGTCAGGAATATCTGAGCTTCTGGTAGAGAAACAAGTCCGCTTTCTTTCCCTAGCCAAGCAGGTACAACAACGTGGGTGGGAGCACTTTGAGGGAGGGAGCCCTAGTCTAGACGGATGACAGGCTTATGATGCGGTTGTCCACACCTCTCGTATAGCTGCTCTTTCGAGAGTGTGTCTATACTCTCCGGCAGACGGATTAAAATATTACCAGCATGGAGATCTACAGTAAATCCAGTACATTAGGAAGCATTCGAAAACATCCCCCAACTCCCCCAAATACAACGTCTGGAAAAGGATTCTTACCACCATGAGCAATGCCCTCGGAGTGTAGGAACACCACAGCCTGGACAAGTTGGGCAACAATACCCCTGGCTATGGGCAGTTGGAAGAGCCGAATCGATGAAGCATCTTTGGCCTCGGCTAGACTCATCATTCCTGGTACTGTGACCAAGCACTGGTGTGTACCATTCGGGCCAGAAAGAAGAAATTCGTCCAATATAGGTGGAATCAACGCTTTCCCCGAGTGTACGTCAGCCTGAGAACGCACGAGGTCCAGCTGGCGCAAGATATTGCTCTCCTGGGAGTCCACCGAATCAATTGATGAGACCAAACTCTTTATTGAGACATATTTGCTGGTTTGCTGATCTCTCGCCAACCATACAGTTGAGTACGCACCGAAACCAAGCTTATGGATAATGCAGTATCGGTCTTTCAATTGCTATCCCACCATTACTGGATGGTATCCTCCAGGACGGTATCGCTCCAGCTTCTCCACATCGTCGATGGGCATATATTCGACACTACTAAGGGAGGACTGCATTTGGTTCCTACTAACCGTGCAGGACTTGAAATGTGGAATTCCATGGACAGCGCTGGTAGAGCGGAAGACAGGCTTAGAAAACAGGCATAAGTGCCGCTTCATGGTATTAGAGGACTCCGTGCTGCAGAGAGCTAAATGCGCGAAAGGCTGTTGAGAATGATTGAGACTTCCATAATGCGTGTTCCTGAGACTTGGCGGTATTCTTCGCAAAGAGAATAACGTTATAGGTTCCTGCAAAATCCCGCAAAATGCTCCAGCTCCGCAAGACCCCATTAATATAACTGTTACTTACTATAATTCCTTGCGCATAGCAAAACATAAAGAGGTTTTCTGTGTGATTTAACAGAATCCAATTTTCTAACGGCAAATGCAGGTTCTGGAGAGATAAAATGTCCACCTTTGTAACGTTAGTAAGGGTTTCAACTTCTCAATCATTGGTCTACTCCCTATCCCTTAGATCGTCATTCTATAGAATAAAGCGTGCTTGGGCAGCATATCCTGCATGCAATGGTCTCATCTGGCAAGGACAGTACTCATATTCATTCCTGCCACTTGCAAATAGAATATCCTTCCGTGGCGGATTACTGCTCGGCCTCTAAATGATATCGGTCGTTTGTAATTGAGGCTTCGCAAGCTAGACCGGAATCCTTGTCTAGTACTTATTATAGATTCAATATGTGTCTCATGTTCAGTTTCCCCTGCTTCATATTCGATGATCACATCAATAGTCTTCGCTATCGATAAACTCCCATTTGGCCTTCACCGCATGATGTAACTTCTTCATAGGCCAGGCATGGATGGCCTTGGTCTTCTCAATGACAGCCTCTAATGCTTCGCGTTCCCTCGGATCAGTGAAGTACTCGCCGTAAAGTATGATGCTAATCACTGCATTAACCAGGGCGGGCGAGAGGCTCTGGTGGCTGAGGCCAATCCCGCAAATGTTGAGCACTATCGATCGGACCTGTGCCTCAACCTTGCGGTGTGCAATGCGGCAATGCGGATCGTTTCTATGAGTCAATCAAAATCAAGAGTCGGGTAAAGAGACGTGGGCAAAGGTATTAGAAGGCAACATACCTGATGTTAGGATTTTCCGCGATCAAGATCATTCGAGCGATTTCATAGTGCTGGGCGCCAAATACTTGTGCACTTGAGCAGTACCACACAGTCGAAAATATCTCCCCCTTGGACTTATCGGCCTTTTTGTCGAGGATTGGAACGAACTCAGGCATAAGTTCCGTGGTAATCGAGTGCAGTTTTTCCTTTAACACAGCTGTATTCAAGATAATCAGCTGCATGTACTTGTTCCAGCAGAGCTTGTTGAAGCTCACCCCAGTCTAGTGGCGACCTGTCCCCCAGCCACCATCTCGTTACATCTCCGGCAAATAATATCAGTTTGTTGGCAGCAGAGGCACCTTGGCGCTTATCTTGGTCGGGGGTCATTCGGGGGAAGCGCTGCATAGCTAATGCATAGTAGATCTCCTGCCTAATAGCTATCCAGAATACAGCATTGGCGAAGCTGTGGTGTGTGGGTATTGAGACAGTGGTTTCTATGATGGCCTGTATGATAGCAAGGAAATTAACAGGCTGCTGGTCACGAGCTCCAGTGCTACTATCAATCTCCTCCTCCTCCTCTTCAATCTCTTCATATTGCCGCAGGATCACTGCAGCTGCCATAATGTTCTCTTGGTATTCTCTGTCACAAATCTTATGGAAGTCTAAGAGCGCGGGTATGCATTTTAGCATATACTCAACCGCGGTAGACGTCGACAGATGGGGAAGAACCTGCCCGTGATAGCTCGGTCCTCTGGATGTCCTGTACTGCGGTAAACGACTGAGATGGCGCGATGCAACGGCATAAATAGCATTTCGAAGTGGAGGGCAATGTCGGGCGCGGTACGGAACCACTACTTGAAAATGTCTCCTGTCATCACAGACGTCAAACTATGCCCCTGTCAGCTTTGGTTTAACATCGCACACGGTGTATACTATACCCAGGGAGAAAGTTCCTCAATAAAGTACCGTAAGAGGCAGGCTTCTTGTACGCTTTCAAATGGTTCGAGGGCTGCATCGCTAGAAGTGGGAGTAGGACTGTATCCAGACTGAACTGGTACACTGCAAGAACTGGTCCCCTTGCTACTGGCACGGTGGCCTATTTCCTCTGGACTCCCTGACACAGATATAGTATGGGCATGAAAGCTTGTATCAGATTTATCTGATAGCTGGGGGCTGAATTCACTTGTAACCGAATCCTGTAATGACTCATCTTCTCTATAAATGGGTCCAGTGAGACTTGAAACATCATGCGTTAACTGATCAGCTTCGCATGCTGTGATAGCTAGAGCATGTAGACGCTGGTTTTCGGAAGCAGTGAAATCAAGGCAATGGGAAGGTTCGGAAGAGGGCTGTGCTGTTGGACTCGTGTGAGGGATGGTAGAAGGCCCTTGGTCGGTGTGTCCAATGGAATGGTCAAACTGGACATGGCTGACAACAGATCCGCCTGTATCATGCACACGTAGCCGAGCTACGAAAGCCGATCAGTCCTCACAGTCTCACTAGATTATTGGAATTCCTCCAGAAGGTTACTCACCTCGCTTAGGCCTACTGTTCACCCAATGCTGGTCTTCCGAAAAATGGGCAGTAGACCCTGGACGGAAGATCTGTCTTTTTGATACTACAACACAGTCTAGATTCTTCGCTTCACATCGTCCGCACTTGGGTGCTTGCTTATCACCTGTAAGTTAAACACGCTATGATCAGCATGGTTTCCGGCCACTCTATGTATGCAGTCATGCAAGGGTGTAGCATCCAATAGCATCCGAATACGAGCCACATTTGTCTTTCTTCCTTCTTGGGCGCTCAAGAGCTAGACCTGTACCACTGTTACTAGCACTACTTTAGTCTTACATTTCAGGTGTTTGTCTGTCGGATGAGTTAGTACGAAAGAGTGTACAGGGGAGGCTAGTACACGACTGACCACGGCAATTCCAGCATGGTTCTTGAACTGCTCGACTCCGCTGCATTGGCATCATCTCTCTGTCGGCGACGATATCCAAAAAGGGTTAAATTGATGTGGCCATCGAAAGGTCATGGTCACCGAGTGAGGTTCAAGTTGGCTGAAGACATCGACCGCGGCGGGACCTTCCATATCGGGGAATCCTACAAGTAAAATGCGGGGAACAACCCCAGCGCCATCTTAGGAAGATTTCCCCGCTGTCGCTCGCAGCTATACTAGATATGGAAAGCGTCGCCGCAAAGACAGTCTTTCGAGTATCAACAGTGTATAGAACAACAGAAATGAAGCATCACGATGTCGCAGCCCACATACCTAGATGAGATGCTTTCAAGGGTATATATAGACGGTACCATGTCACGGATGATCTCCCAACACAATAAATCATCTTCTGTCAGACAAGTTACACAGCGAAGTACAACATGGAACAACTCTCGATTGCAGTTGCTGGCCTTGGCCGGATGGTAAGCTTGCGAGCCATAATATCTCGAGATCGGTCCTAACAGAGATACACGCAGGGTAAACGCCATGTCCACACCTTGATCTACCGGGTCCCTCGTGCGCGTGTTGTGGCTGTATGTAGCACAGTGCCCGAAGAGGTTGAGTGGGCAAAGAACAACGAAGAGTACAAAGAATTCGGCATTGCGGTATACAGCAACTACGATGATATGCTGGCTCATCAAGGACTCAATGCCGTTTGGGTCTCCACTAGTACGGATGTGCACGCAAGCCAGACATTGGCTGCCATCGAGAAAGGAATCCACGTCCTCTGTGAAAAGCCATTGAGCACGGATCTGAAGGAGGTATGCGACAGCCACCGGCGGAAATCATGATCTCTAGATGACAAATAAATGCTAATGTGGTTGGTTCAAATTAGGCTCAGTCTGTCGTCGATATCGCCAACCAGCACCCAGAGCTCAAGGTGATGGCTGGATTCTCCCGCCGATTCGATGCCTCATACCGCGACGCTAGTGACAAAATTTTCCAAGGGAAGGCCATCGGAAGCCCATTCATGGTTCGCTCCAACACTTGCGATCTTCGTGACGACACCGGATTCTTTGTGCGCTATGCAGGCCGCAATGGCGGTATCTTCGTGGATTGTGCCATCCATGACATTGATTTATCCCTTTGGTATTTGGGAAACCCCGTACCAAAGGCCTGCTGGGCCGCTGGCACACTGCAGCACCACCCAGAGCTGAAAGATCTGTCGGATGTTGACAACGCAGTGGGAATGGTAGAGTTCTGGGGCGGGAAGATTGCATACTTCTACTGCTCACGAACCCAAGCCCACGGACACGATGTGTGCACAGAGATCACTGGCTCCGATGGCAAGATCATGGTGAATGTCATGCCCCGAAGCAACCATGTCGTGGTCGCCGACAAGTTGGGCATGAGAAACCAAGTGCCCCCCGAGTACTGGCAACGGTTTGAGGACGCATTTGCCGTGGAAGCAAACGAGTTCACCGAGGCAGTTCTGAAGGACAAGCCTGTACCTTTGCCTCTTGAAAATGGTATCATGGTGATGAAAATTGGCAGAGCTTTGCAGGATGCCCTTCTCACTGGCCAATTGGTGCGATTCGATGAGAACGGAGAACGTGTCTGAATTGGGTAGCCATGGTTAATTTTGTGAGAGCTGGAAGAGGGCTTTGGAGTGTTAGACCATAAAGATAGACCAAAATTTGCTTACTTGAAACACCTACAGTATGTATAACATATCCTGTAGCGCATTAAAAACTGAGATAGTCTATGGTTTTTTTTAAAAAAAAAAAAAGAGTACTTGTGGCGTACAGAGCCCGTCTCTTGTAGAGAAGGTGAGAGGGGAGTTCATTTCCGGATATCATGGACAAGTATCTATGCTTTGAGAACACGTTCTTTAGTATTGTACGTTATTGTCCTTGCGGGAGAGTTATATGGCTGGCGTGCTACAGTACCTGCTCCTTGACGCAGGGAATGAACCATATGATCAGAATTACAGCAATCCATGCAAACAATGGTATGGCAAACCTCAGGCTCCGAGTTGCACATCCCCCGGAATTTACTTTGATCTACTCCGCGATTCCCCCGCATTTTCCCCAGAAAACGATCACCCACGCTACAACTGACAATAGCCGACGGACCAATCATGGCAGGGGTAACGAGAGTTAAATGAACTCAAAAATCAGGCTGCCTCGCCGGGCATTACTGAAAACGGAAATTCTCGATGTCGGTATTGATTCAATGACGTCTACAGGACAAGAATCATTTCCGTGTTTTCAATAACCGTAAACTTTCGACTCGGAATTCCGATATATCATCTGAATATGCCGGTGTACTTAATGACGCCGGGCATCAATTTGTCTTCGGTGTTCTTCAAGAAAGAAACCCGGTTGACATTCAATTCAATCGGGATCGCGTCCCCCTATTGATGATCATGGCGACGGATAGGAAGAAAGACACTAAGCCACACTTCACTTCGGAAGGGGTTTCCACTTCGGAGCATCACGAAACGGTTGCTATCAAACCCGATATAGAACTACAAGAGACACCTGCCTACGGTCCCGATGGCATCCAAGGCCTCGTCAGCTCGGGGTATGTCCTTGGAGCGGCTTTCCTAGCATCCCTTGGAGGCTTCTCATTTGGATATGATCAAGGAGTGATATCCATTATAAATGTCATGGAGCAATTTCACGCCGTCTATCCTCAAGCCGAGACCGCCTTCGGCAAAGGGTTAATGACGGGGATGCTGTTGCTCGGGGCGTTTGTAGGCTGTCTCTTCATGCCCTACCTCGCCGATCGAATCTCCCGCAAGTGGGCACTGACCGTAGTCGTCGTGATCTTTGATATCGGTGCCATAATCCAAACCTGCGCGCGAAACTATGGCACGTTAGTGGCAGGGAGGGCCATCGGTGGCATCGGGGTTGGAACACTCGCAATGGTATGTACATGACGCTCGATATACCCGAACGATCCTTACTACACTGGTTCATCTCGCTCACCTAGTCATGAAGGGTGCCCCGCTCTACATCTCCGAGATATCTCCACCCAACCTACGAGGAACGCTGTTGGTGTTGGAGTCTGTCTCCATTGTCTCTGGCGTCGTCATCTCATACTGGATTACATTCGGTACAAGGTTGATCGAGAGCGAGGTCTCGTTCCGTCTGCCATTCGGTCTGCAGATGGTGTGCGCAACAATTCTTGGTGTTGGCATCCATTTCTTCCCCTACTCACCTCGATGGCTTGCCCTCGTCAACCGCCAACAGGATTGCCTCACCAGTCTGTCCAAGCTCCGAGGCCTGCCAGAGACCGATGAACGAGTACAAGCTGAATTCCAAGGTATCATCACTGAGGTCAAGTTTCAAGAGCTTATCCAGGAGCGAAGGCACCCTGGTAAGCACGGTGTCAAACGACAGCTGCTCGCTTGGCGAGACCTATTCGGCCGGAAAGGCTGGCGGAGGACAGTCGTTGGTTGTGGAGTCGCGTTTTTCCAGCAATTCATAGGGATCAACGCATTTATCTACTACGCGCCGACATTGTTTCAATCCATCGGCCAATCCGACGAGATGTCGCTTATACTGTCGGGCGTCTTCAATGTCCTACAGCTAGTCACCGTCCTTGTTTGCTTCGTGATCATCGATAAGGTTGGACGCCGGCCGTTGGCAATCTTCGGTGGCTTTGCCACCGGAGTCGCGTACATTGTCATTGCCATTCTATCTGGGCTATATGGCAAAGACTGGTCCGCGCACACAGCTGCCGGCTGGGCCTGTGTCGCCATGGCCTTTCTATTCATTCTGATTTTCGGTCTCACGTATTCTCCTCTTGGCTGGGCCCTGCCCTCCGAAGTCTTTCCCAACGCGACTCGGTCGAAGGGTGTGGCATTGTCGACCAGCACCAACTGGCTCTCCAATTTTATCGTAGGTGTTGCCACGCCTCCCATGATGGAGAACCTCGGCTACCGCACCTATGTCTTCTTCGCAGTCTGGTGTGTCATGGCCGGTATCTGGGCACTTATCTTTGTCCCCGAGACCAGCGGCAAAACCCTAGAAGAGATTGATGACGTGTTTGGCGATACCAGCGGACATGAAGAGCAAGAGGTTATGAGAGCCGCTGCTCTATCAACCATGAGGCCGCCGGTCCAGCCCACTGTATGAAGGCGCGGATATGATACCCCATTAGTTCATTTTGTTTATTTTTCTCTCTCACGAGATATATGTAGAGTTACTCCAATAACCCCTTTAACCCAGTGATATCGATGTCATCAAATTCATGCATATAATATCATATTCTCTATTGCACATCGCTTCATCAGTATCATCAAATAAACCATCTATCCCACAACAAACAGTCGCCGGCACAAGACAAACCCAACCCCAGACTACAAACTAAACTCCAACCTATTTCCCGCGAAATCCCTCGCAAAAAACCGAGTCGGGTACTCCTCCGTCATCTCACCTGCAACAAGTCAACAATACCACTCATATAGAAGATGATGAAGGAGGGAAAACTAACCAGAAATAGCCTCGCCAGGCTTATCCGCCTCCCTCGGCGCAGCCCGTCCCCCACGAACGTGATGGTCCCAAATCCGCTGTTGCAGCTTCTGCAGATCCTCCAGGGATCCAATCTTAAAGCAGGGATGACGCGAGGAATCCATCGATTCGTTTGTACCGAATGCGATGTGGACCTGCTGGGGACCTCCTGCGATGTCGAACCTGTATTCGCCGTGTTAATTTCAAATTACTGTAGAGAAAGGAAGAGAATACATGATAGTATGACATACCACGCCGTCGTTTCGACTTGCGCCTGGGGGACTGGGCGGGCTGCTAGACCGAGGGTTTGGACGTAGAATTCGTTGGCCTCGGGGAGGGAACCCTCGGGCACGAGGAGGTTGATGTGTGCGAGACCGGCGATCATGGTGGCTCGTCCTTTAGGCTTTATATTTGGTAGTTATGTAGGGGCTGATATAAGTGAGGGTAACCGATGCTGAGGGGAAGTGTTGGTGAGGGTTCAGTTGGAGTACTCATTTGACTTATATTTAAATTTATAGGGTTGTGCTTTTGCTGGTGGGTTCAATTAGGAAATGATTCCCGGGTCATGCGTCGGAATCCCTTTCCCGGTGCTTCTGGGGTCATTTCCGGCGCATTTCTCAGCCTGTTTATGTGTCTCGTGGTGGATTTGGCTAGACTATCTCGGTTTCTGTGATAGGGGTCTTTATGAGTCATTCCAGATACATCTAACTACGTTGACTGGTGTTATGTCGTGATTCACGGTGTGACTTTCGTCATCTGGAGTGGAGCAGATGGGAATGTCTGTATATCGTCACATTACCTACTCTTGGGCTCAGCCTCTATGATAGGCAACAAGAGGGACGAACTCCTATCAGAACTAGGACAAGATCAAGCAAAGATACAGTCAATTACAAACGCACTCTACGGTCCATCCGTCGAAACCGAGGAAAAAGTCGTCAAATTGTCTAATTGGAATAAACACCCTCTTGCCACTATATACGCCGTCAATCGACTCAACTGAAGGCAGCATATCACATGATTCCCATAACATAGCGATAGATACACATTATTTTATTTCCACCGGGTCTGCTTCATCTATGCAGACGCGACCATCTTGTCCTTGACATACAAGTCGACATACTTGTCCACGTCGTAACCCTCAAGGGCAGACTTGTTCAAGCCCAAGTCAAGCAGCTCGTCGATGCGAGCCTGGTCGAAGTGAGCCTGCAAGTGACGCTTGTACTTGGCCAGGATCTCGGGCTTGGCCTCTTCGCGGCGCAAACGGTGGCCCAGAGGAGCCTCGACAACGACCTCCTCCAGCACAGTACCGTCGTTCAGGGTGACGGTCAGGGCATTGGGGATGGTGCGCTTGGCCGGGTCGTGGTAGTCCGTGGTGAACTGAGTGTCTTCAACGCAGCTAATGCGCTTGCGGAGATCCTCAACGAGTGGGGAGGTGGCCGCCTCCGAGCCATCGGCGTAGTCGGTGGCGGTGAGGCGGTTGAATGCCAGCATGGTGGCAACCATGTACTACATCAAATTAGATCACTGTTCAACCATCTCCCCTCCCACAATTCTTTCAGATGAGAGCTTACCTGGACGCAGTGGTCACGGTCCGCGAAGTTGTCCATCGCCTTGAACTGCTTGTCGATGATGCGAATGCAAGCTTCGTGGGTGCGGTTGGTGATTTCCTTGATATCCTTGGCGCTCTTGCCCATGGCAGCGAGCTTCTTGTTGATGATCTCGGCAGCTTCGATCGCTGTCTGAGAGTGGAATTCGGCTGCGACACAAATGGTTAGATGTCATCTAAGATTCAGTGCACGGGCATACATACCAGGATAGGAGACCTTGAAAAGGACATTCTCCATAACATAGCTGCCATAGGGGCGCTGGAACTTGAACTTGTTGCCCTTGAACAGCACATCGTAGAAGCCCCAGACAGGGGCAGAAAGAACAGTGTGCAATCCACCCTCACCCTTCTGCACCTTGAGCACAAGGTTGACAGCCCGCTGACATGCGTCACCGGCAGCCCAGGACTTTCTTGACATGGTGTTGGGGGAGTGTCTGTAAGTCCGAAGACTCTGTCCGTCGACGAACGCCTGGGTGATGGCATCCGCAGTCTGTT